TAGAGTTAAACTGTTCAGTTGTAAGATTATCGATATGATTTTATTATCGTCAATTTTGCTTTCACTAAATTTAACTAAGACAAAGCGTTTGTATATTTTTAGGTAATGATAAAATATTTTTGCTTTATTTCCTGCACTATAATGTGAAATGATTTTTGGAATTTTAATTTTCATTTCTTATGAATTAAGAGAATTTAATTTATTTTTGATCTTCTGAATAAAAAAAAAAAAATTAATGTGTTAGTAGTTTAATATTTTCCTCGAATACCTAATTTACACTTATCAATTTGTCATTTTTGTTTGTCAACTATTCTTGGCATTTAATAACTTCTTAGCCTAACTGAATGCAATTTTTATTTGGACATTTCTTATTTGTTTTGCATGGCCAAGCTAGATCGGAATGAAAAAAACTATAAACTTTTTGAGTATTGGGACTCAGAGTTAGCCTTGTATATATGTTTCTCTCTGTTGATACATCGAGAGATATAGCATGCTTTAGAAAACATAGAAAGATTAATTAGTTTTGTTCCATTCGATATATTGAATATGCCCCAAATATTTAATGTTGTTTTTCTTGAATTTCTTTTTTTGTGTTAAAACAATGACATTTATATCTTTTTGTGTTTATTTTGAACCTTTAGCTGTTATCCTTTCATTTTATACTACTTTTCATGATGACTTGGATGACTTGTATAACTTACTATTTGACAAGGATGATATTCAATAATAATCATAATAATATAAATTATGTTTCAAGTTTTGCAGCTCTGGTGATAGTTTGATATTGAAATGTTTTTTTTGATTTTGATGATGACATTTCCAATAATTAATAATAGCGATAGATAGAGTGAATAATATTTGTCATATGATTGAATGATAATCACTACCTTCAACCTTTTCATTTGCATACTATCAATTATTTGTGAATAATAAATAACGGTTGACATATGCTAAATGACAATGACAATTATGAATAGGTGTGTATTGTTAACTAATCTGATGTTATATCATTTCATTTATTAATGTGAACAAGCTACTTTTTTTAAAAAAAAAAAGAAACATGAATAATAGAAATGCTATCTATGCTTTGTTCAAATAACCCATCCATGTATAAAAGATTGAAAGTTTCCGCTTCGATAAATAGATACTTATCATGCAGATTACAGCAGAACAGAATTTCTCTTTTTTTCCCTCTCTCTCCCTCTCTCTCTCTCTCTCCCTCTCTCTCTCTCTCTCCCTCTCTCTCTCTCTCCCTCTCTCTCTCTCTCCTTCTCTCTGTCCCTGTGTATAAATCTTTCCGTTTATTCTTCTGCGACAAGGTTAATTTGATTATTTACGCAGCATTAACATAAAGCGATTAACGATTAATCAAGAGCTAAAGTGGTAGGTAGCACTAGCAGTTTTAATATATCCATGTATCTATCTATCTATCTATCTATCCATATTGCGATAATAGTATATTTTTTTATTTACTTCTCTTTTCTGTCATTTTTTTTTTTTTTTTTTTTTTTGAAGTAATTTCTTCTTCATTACAAACTTGTTTTTTAGCATCTTTTTCACAAATCTTTTCTTCATCACTAAAATGAAAAGAGGAAGAAGGTTACATGAATTCTTTTATTCCACTGTAGGCAATGAAATAAAATAAGATGAAGTATATATATATATATATGTTTCAATATTTTTTTGCACCACAAAATTCAATTTCATAGATATATCAATTTGTAATTTTTAAAATGAATTGTTAAGTGATAGGATTTGTTAAATTCGTTTTGTATTATTTGCATTTCTCATTCATTTACTAATATACCATTTCTAAAATTATTCAATTGTTCCTCTTCAATAATATATTGCATTCGAATTAAATAATCAACAAATAAATAAATAAATGGTTTTTAGGTTGTTAACTCAGATTTATCGATTAAGCTTCCATACTGGATTAAAAAGCTTAACATTTTGTAAAAAAAAATAAAGCTATTAATTATGTGATATGAATAATACCTGCTGCATAGTTTCGAAGCTTTTTCAAACTTTATTTGTATTTTTATTTTATGATGCCTTATATATTTTTATGTTTATTTTACTTTTTTTTTTCTTTTTTTTTTACTAATTTTATTTTACTAATCTTCTTTACTAATTTTTTTTTTTTTTTTTTTTTTCAGCGAGAAAAGATGTTAGCCAATTTTGTTGGAATTGCTTTTTACACCTACTAACAGTGGTTGGTTGACCTTAGGAGGAAATCTTGAATGGAAAAGTACATTAGAAGGATTTGCACTGGTTTTATTAGTAAGATGTATGCTTATTAAATTACAAAAAAAAAAAAAAAATTACATTTATGCTCTCTTTGACTTATCCATTCAAAGATAGAAAGGAACACGTCACGTCATCTGTTCTCAATTTTTAAATCGAAAAAAAAAATTTTTTCTTACATATTTTTCAAACAAACCAGCTGTTCAAATTTTTCAAGACACATCATTGCTACTCTTTGAAGATTCTTCCTACTTTAAACAGTTCAGATTAAGTTATGAAATTTCAGTTCCTTGTAGGAGTTGTAATCATTAATTTAATTGTCTGATGGATGACATCATTGAGTGTATCAAAAGTGACCGATGTATTTGACTCGTTAACCGTTTTCTTTTCTTTTCTTTTCATCTCATTGGTTAGATGTAATAGCTTAGTTTAATATTTATTTTAGTTTTGCTGGTATTTGTGATACAATTTTTATTGCCCTTCAACTAAGTTTATAATTTTAAACATTCCACATTTCCTGGCACTTAGCAAGCAAGAATTTCCGGAGTTACAGGAAGCATTTTGTGTTTGGTGCACATCGCTAATAAATGGATCTATTCTCTCTGGGCTTTTAAATTCTTTTCAATTTAATTTGAAAATCTGTACAATATGAAATGTCTAATATATTATCAGTAATTGATTATATCTTACTGAATTAGTTTACAGGACGGAAAAATGATTGAAATTTTTTAGTATCAAACACTGCTTTCTATATTTAGCTACTATTTTATTTCTTCCATAATTTCCATAATCGAAATTGTCTGATCATTAGACGAGGGATAGTGAATTTTAAATGATTTAAAAAAAAAAAAAAAAATATTGTCTGATTAGCGTCAATAATTTAAAAATTCGAATGTTATATGAAAAAAAAAAAAAAAAAAAAAAAAACGCAAAAGCAATATTAATTGGTGAAAAATCGGCAAAATTTTGTTTGCATTGCATTAATTCTATTTAAGGTGACAAAAAAAAAAAAACTGGTACATTTAATTTGAATTTTTTAAACTTCACTTATAATATTTAAATTACATCAGGAATTTCCGGTAAAATAGAATCTATTTCTTTCAGTCATTTGTATATTCCTCTTTTTGCCTCTTTTGCTATACATTTTCTTCCAAAACCAAATCATGAATGTTTTGTTGATAGCATCTGATCGTTAAAAGAAAAAAAGAAGAAGGAAGACTTGTCATTTATATAAAACTCGTTAACCCTTTTTTTTTTTCTTGTTTAAATTTTTTCTTTTTTTTTTTTTTTTTTTGTTTTTAGTTGTTTCAGTAGGGTAGTAGTATATTCAAGATTCCTTTCTTGTTCTCCTTTCAGATTACAAAAACTTTCAAGCGAACATCAAGAGGATAGATTTTTTCTTTCTTAACATGATAATGATGATGGTGGTGATAGTAATGTTATTATTATGAGATAGCTATTAATTTCAAATATCCTTTTTTTTTTTTTTTTTGCTTTTTTAATTCTCTAAAATTAACATGGAAATTTCAGTAAAGAAAGGTAAAATTTTCAGTGGCTTTTTTATTCATATATGTATGTATTTATGGAAATATTGTTTACTTTATTTTCATTTTCATCTTTTTATTTATTTATTTATTTATTTATTTTTTTTTTTTGAGTAATAAAATCCACACTAACTACTACTTTATCTGTCCCTGCGTGAAAAAAAAAAAAAAAAAAAATTTTTAAAGCTTTTCAAAGAAATTAGCAGCAGCCGTAATGTACTGAAATTCCAGATGTTTTAATATATTGTGATATCATATTGATGAGAAAGATTTCTTAAGGTAGCAAAAATAAATTTTTCATTTTTCAACAATTTTAAATCTTTTTTACTTCTCACTTTCTTTCAGAAGTTTTTTTTTTTTTTTTTCGTTTTTTCCTTTTCCAATGGAATGTTTTTTCGTTTTTTTTTTTTTTCTTTAAAGTGAGTGTCATTTGAAAATGTTTGATTTTGAGTCTTTAAAATAAACGCAACAACTCATTTATTTCTGCTAATTTTAGAATTTTTCTGTCTTTTTTTTTTTTTTCATTTTGATTTGTTTTAAAATACAAAACACTTGCTTAGAAGTCTACTACAATAGTTTTGATATTCTTTCATTTTGATCAATGCTAGTAAATTTCAACTTTTTATTCTTTCAACAGAAGTAGAATAAAGAGAAAGAATAGAAAGAGAGTTAATGATGAAGAAGAGGTTAAACGAAAACGTAAAAGATGTCACTGGTGATTGCGCTGTGATCTTTTGCTGACCTTGACTTTGTTGAGGTTCACGTCTCCCTATTTTTCTCTCCTTTTTTTTTTTTTTTGTACCAACTTTGATGAATGTATTTTAAATTTGATTTTTACACTTTAGCATCTGATTTGTTGATAAAATGAAACTTTTATTTAATTTTTTTAATTTATACCATGCCAATACCAATGAAGTAAATAGGACAGACAAATTCAATAAATAAAAAAAGTACACGTGTCCTTACCTAATGTAATAATTCTGCTATTTCAACAATTGAACTATCATTTTGTTTAATCAGATATTAATTTTATTTGTTCTTACCTTATTCGATATTCGTTTTTCTAATGATAATTTAAAAAAAAAAAAAAACCGATTAAAATGACGACGGATAAAAAAAGCTCTTATATATTTTTTCTTTTTTAGACAGCGACAAACGAAACTGTAAATTCGCTAGTCCTGATTAATGAATGATATGTGCATATAAACAATGGAAAACGTATGTTTATTCTTTTTTTTATTTGATAAAATTTTATTGATTTTAAGAAAAATTTTGCAAACATTAAGCAATTACACCAATAACTTTTTTTTTTCGAAATTTTGAAACATAGAGAGCTTAAGCAGATATGAATAACAGATAATAGATAAGACTAAATTACATTATCATTTCAGTTGATAAGAATACTCAACTTGGATTGTCTAAATTTGATCCCCTTTAAGACTAAATTACATTATCATTTCAGTTGGTAAGAATACTCAACTTGGATTGTCTAAATTTGATCCCCTTTAAGACTAAATTACATTATCATTTCAGTTGATAAGAATACTCAACTTGGATTGTCTAAATTTGATCCCCTTTAAGACTAAATTACATTATCATTTCAGTTGATAAGAATACTCAACTTGGATTGTCTAAATTTGATCCCCTTATATATATATATATATATATACATAGCATTAATATTGTTAATGTCAATTAGTTATTTTATCGTTCATTTCGGATTAGCTATTTGATACGTTCAATTAATCATTTAGTCTCTGAAAAAATTTTATTGAATGATTATCTTAGGATAGGAAAATTTGTTTAGATAAAAAGATAATAATAGTACTATTTTTTGTTTTTTGAAAACAAAAATGAGCATCTGTACTGAATATTTTTTCAAATATTAAAGCAAATTGCACCATCGCCTGCCTATATTATTCTTCCATAAATTTTTGCACATATTGGCTGCAAATAATTCCTCATTTCATTTGTTATGCTTTTTTTTTTTTTTTTTTTCCTATTTTCAACTTACATCATTTTATTTTTATAATCAAAAACTTTTTGAATTTATCTAATAATTTAGTCATGATTGCATTTCTCATTATCTATTCTAAGATAAGATATATATTGATAGCTTGAATTACAGTGGCCAGGTGTTTAAATGCATGAGAAATAAAAAGATTTAGTTAAGCTATTTGTTTATTTGTCTTAGTTTTGAGCCTGGAAAAAGGAATGAAGTGAAATTAATTTCATAAAAAGAATGGAATGTTCAAATTACTATTTATTTCAGGATAAGAAATATGATAAGATGAAATATAGAAAGAATTATAGAATTATAGTTCAATGTTTATAACTTGATAATTGATAATAATGAAAATGATAATAATAATAATAATAATAATAATAATAATAATAATAATAATAATAATAACAATAATAATTGGGAGAGGATTGTTTTAATAGAAAATTACGATTTCGTTCTTAATTCTATGAGAATAAATGGCAGCATTTTACATTGCTTTTATGCTCGTTGCATTTGCACTGCACTTTAATTCTGTGAAGTGTATATTTTCAGAGCTATAACAAACTGTAATTGATTTTCTTCTTCTTTTATGAAATAACGCGCTTTGCAGTTTTAACATAAAATATAAATTAAAATTATATTCAATAAAATAAAATTGATAAAAAAGATGGTTGTGTTGCGAGTGGTAGAGAGATAGAAGATATTTCATTATTCATAGGAAACAATTGGATTATACTTCTTGTAACATTCAATTGTCATAGTGATAGACATGGAATAAAGCATATATATGTGTTTATGTTTTTGAGTAAGATGAAACATACTAAATTGTGTGTTGCATTTACAAAATGATTATTTTCATAAAGGGAATACATCTTTTCATGCAATATAAGGAAAATTTTTTTTTTTTGGTTATTGCATCAGTATGAAATTTTTTCCGCCCAACAAAACAGGGAAGAAAGACAGGTGAGTCAACGTAAAATCAATTTTAAAAGCAAGAAGTGAACGAGATGTTAAATTAAAATTGAAATTTTGGGTATGCTGAATCACGCTGTGAAGTGTTAAAAAACTTTTGCAAATGTTACAACAAATCAAACTTATTAGCTCTTTTTGTCTATTGCTGCTGCTATGTGGTGCGAAGGAGATACCTATACTTTCAAGCATTTAAATATTGTAAAAAGTTAAATGGATTTCACACCATTAACTACATTACATAAGCTTACATTTTGCTACAGAAAAAAGCAAGCAGTGCGTTTTAATTTATGATAATAACGATTACTGGTAATTATAATATTAACAAACAAGTGTTTTCTTTCTTTTTTTTTTTTTTTTTCTCCATCATAATCTTTAGTAATATATCAGTTTTATTTTCTATTCCTTAATTTAATATTGGCTCTGTTGGTATTTTGCAGGGGCACCTACCCTCAACAAACACGCCAATCTCACCGCATGCGCAATCAGAATCATCAAACGCCCCCGCAACAAATGGTAAGCCTAATTACTTACATAATATATTAACAAATTTAATAACTTACTGCGCGCTATTTGCTTCTATCTTTTTCTATTGCTATTACTACTGCTCCTAAAACTATCATTATCATTATCATCACAAAAGCTCATTATAATTGTTTCATTTGCATTGATAATTTGTGTCATTACTGTAATTGTTGACGACATAAAGTTAAACTCAAAACCAGTTAAAGTTTCAAAAATTTATCAAATATTAAACTGTAACAAGAGAAGAAAAGGGAAGGAAAATGTCGAATAGTAAGAAAAGGAGGGACAAATGAGTAAGTCTCCTTCTACGAAATATCATGAAACAGTTTAATATATTGGAAATGTAGTCTTCGTGAAGAATCATTTTAGACAAAATGTTTTGAGACAAATCTTCTATCAGCTGTCATATCACATGTGAAAAGAAAAAATTTTTTTAAAGAGTGTTATGAGCCAATTTTCATTAAATATGTTGATGAAGAAAGGACCAGTCTGATCAGAATTGATCATAAAGAAAAAATGAAGTATTTTAATTGATTATAATTCGAATATTTGATTTTTTAGCTGATCAATGCCTAATCTTCAGTGCCTTCCTCCATACATCTGTAGACAGCACTTTGTGTTTGAAAACCGTTGCTATTTGGATGTTACGTTTAGCTAAAAAATAAATATATAGCATTAAAAAAATATCTATTATAAACAATTCTTTTTTTTTTTTTTTTTTTTAAGAGAAAAATATTTATTTTGAATTTTTCATGAATTAGTTTTATATTTTAATTCAGGGAAATTGAGCGGTGGTAGCAAAACGCAGTATACGTATGAATATTTGGCTCAGTTACTGAAAGACAAGAAACAGCTGGAAGCATTCCCTAATGTTTTCCATCATCTCGATCGTCTCGCTGAAGAAGGTTCTTCTATTTTATTTTATTTAGAAGAAATAGCCGTATAATGTAAATCTGTAATATTTATGAAATAGCAGTCGATGTTATTTCAAACGTTTTGGCTTGGTTTTTTTTTTTTTTTTTTTTTCAAATCTGAGAGAATGCTTTTATATTTGATAGAAAGTAATCCTACTGAAAGTCCTGATTCTAAAAGTGACTTTTTTTTTTTTTGGAAAATTCAGCATTTCAATTACAAATTTTTTATACAGAAATCAGCAGAGTTCGAGTATCGTTATTTCAATTCGAGTTTGCAAAGGATGCAATGTCAAATTTACCAGAACCAGAGGGTGACGTTACCACCATGACGGAAAAAATATTTGTTCCTGTGAAGGAACATCCAGATGTAAGTGTTTAAGTCAAACTCATAAACAATACACTGCTTTTCCTTATTAATTTTTATGTGTTTTTTATACATGTATTTGAGTTGACTGAAAGTTTCATTATAACAATGGCTTACTTTCTAAAGAAGTATGATCTTTAATCAGTAATAAGGTAAAGTAAAAATAAAAAAATAAAAATGATTTATCGGTTCATTTCGGCGGCATGCGACCGTATTCGATTTTCAGTTACAGATGGATAAAATGCTGTATTGAATGATAATCGGATATATTTTGTTGTTAAAAAAAAATCCTCATTTTTTACAATATTTGAAGCGAAATTTCAATGGCATAAAAAAAAATTCTTTAGTTGCTATTATTGTTTTTTTTTTTTTTTTTTTAATTCATAAGTTCTTTTCAGTATAATTTTGTCGGAAGGATACTGGGTCCACGTGGTATGACAGCGAAACAACTAGAACAAGAAACTGGCTGTAAAATAATGGTACGTGGCAAGGGTTCAATGCGCGATAAAGCTAAGGTTTGAACTTCTTGTTATGTCTAATCTCTTAGATTAGTAATTTCATGTTTCAGCTTCTAAAATTTCATAAAATTGTATTCATAAATATATATTTTATCTACATCTAAATTTCAAGAATTTCGTATCTTGAATTTGCAGGAAGAAGCAAACCGCGGAAAACCTAACTGGGAACATTTATCAGAAGAGTTACATGTTTTGATACAGTGTGAAGACACACCTAATCGTGCATTGTTAAAATTAAAACGAGCTGCAGCTGAAGTAAAAAAGTTACTTGTGCCTTCGGTGAGTTCATTTCCTCTGGAAATAATATGTTATCTTGAATGTGCTTTAAACTTTCGATATAAGAATAATGGTATCGTTTAATATTGGTACCAAGTATTCTTGAATATGTTTGTGCTTTCTTTAGCTTGAATTTTTCAATTGAAACCTCTTTGTGATTCAGTTATATTAACAATGACTAGCTGTAGATATTCCTCTCGTTATTTTGAATTGTTCAAATTAAATCAATGGGAATACACTTAACATGATTTTTTAAATCATTTCATAAATGATATCATTAGAGCTTTCTCAACTGATCGTTTTTGTAGTCAGACGATGATGAGCTAAAGCGTAAACAGCTGATGGAATTAGCGATCATTAATGGAACTTATCGATCTGGAACTGTTAATCAAACAGCTGCTGCGCAAGCTGCAGCTGCGGCTGCAGTTAACAAAAATTCATTGGCTGCTTTACAAGCTCGTCTGATGGCACCGCTACCTCTTGCTGCTACACAGGTGATTTCATGAATTTCTTGTAAATATTTTACAATAAGCAATTTGTAGTAGTGCTTTTTTTTTTTAATAATTATCATCCTTATCTTTATTTGTAGTTGCATAAATGGCCTTTTTTAGCCGAATAATCTCCGATCACCTGGTTTAACTGGAGCACCAATTATTCTGTCGCCTTCACGTGGTGCTGCACCTACTGCTGCAACCGCAGCAGCCGCAGCTCTTGCAGCACAATTGCAAGCAGTAGCAAATCAGCAACAAAATGTTGCAGCTGCATTCACACAACAAGGACCAGCTGCTGTAGCTACATTGCCAGCACAGCTACTGCAGAATCCAGCATTAGCGCAAAATGAGTATGGTCAACTGTACCTCAGGTAAGTTATTCAGTAATAACTTATGTGGTAGATGTACTGAGGTCGTTCTCTTACCTTTAATGCATCATGTTGATTTGCTTTTCGGATGTTACTATACTGTAATCGTGTGCAATCTTTGAAAAGAATTTAGCAATTTTTAACTTATTTCAATATTTTCAGCTCGTTATCATATGATCCGTCGGGTGCAGCAGGTTATGGAGCACCGGTAAGCAGCACTGCCGCAACCCTTCAAGCTCAAGCTCAAGCGCAAGCACAACAGCAACAGCAGCAGCAATATGCAGCTGCGGCTGCGGCTGCCATGCTTGGTGCCAATGCATATATCGGCGATTATACATCAGTCGATATATCGCATGCCGGTCAGTAAATTGTTTTTTAACTGAGAAATCAGGAAAATGAGCTTTGATATCCTGAATGGATGTTAACGTTTATCATTAATAAGCTTTAAGTGTAATGGAAAGGGATAATTGTTAACGCTTGAACGGAATTTGAATGAAATTTATTTGAAATCATTAAAATTTAAGCTGTATAGAACGAGGAAAAAAATATTAATCTGAAGTCAGAGCAGTGACAAGATTAAGATTTAAAGCTGATCGATAAAATCTATTATTTTATCGATCAGTTCTTGCTAGTTAATTAAGTTGAAGAGATGACGATCTTTCACATAATCCAATTTTTTTTTTTTTTTTTACAAATTTTTACTCGATTGTATTTAAAAAAATTATCTTTTTGAAGTGCTTTATTTAGTTCCTTTCATCTCATATTCTGTCCGTTTCGGATTTTTCTCTTAATGTTATTGTTTTTGTTATTAGTAACAGATCTCAACTTTTCTGAGACATATCCTACAGGTTTTTTTTTTTTCTGAAATTTTTATTGTATTTCGAGATCTGATATTGTTTCTTCACCTATTTCTTTTGATCTCTTATACTCATAGATGAAAAGTATCCATAGATGAAAGCGGCCTATATTGGATTTTATAATTGTTCAGATTTAAAGTGCTTGTGATAAGTATGTCGAATGAACAAGCTTTATTAAAGATATGCTATAAAACATAGGATATCTTAATTTTATTCAATCTTTCATAAGTATTAACAACAGTTTTTCCAATTTCGCGGATAATTTATTTATTGATATTAGTGGAATATATTATAGCAGAGAAATTATTAACAAATATAAACATACAGATGGGTAAATGTCTACTGATCTGTAAATAATTAGTTCTCATTTTAGCGCTTGATCTCACTGGTACTGACATACTCACTTCAATCTTTTTTTTTGTTTACTAAGTTACTTATTTACTTATTCTCACTTATACGAGGTACCAGTTTGCTGGCTTCACTTTTTCACCCAATAGTAACACTCATATTCACTTTATACCATAGCACTGATTTGGTCATATCTTTATTACGAAGTTAAGTTAGGTTTCCAAGAATGGAAGGAAAGGAAGTGGTGATTCTCATGTGATTTTAAAAGTAAATTATAACAGTATATTTAAGGAAATGAAGTGGATTTTTAGTTTAGTTAATCCAAGATGATAAAAGGCAACAGGACAGAATATGTGACATTTAGAAGTTAGATTTGCATCTTATTGTTTCAGAAATAATTTTAGATGGAATTGGTATAGAAGATTTAGTATTCACCTTTCCTCTCATCTCCACTCTTTTCCTACTATTGTTTTTGTTTAATCAAAGGCCCTAACATAGTAAGCTTTAGGGAATCAACCCTTAACTTCTTATTCATTATCATTTAACCAAAATTAACCAGAAAGATTTTTGCAGAAGTTATTGTTTATAGGTGCAATGCTGTGTAATCAACGACGTGTGCTTGGTCAGTCCAGGGACCATCCATATGGTAGTGGAAAGTCAGCCACTTCATAAAATTTCTCACTTCAAACAAAACTTACTTCTTCTTTACCACAAAAAAAAAGCAAAAAAAAAAAAAAAAAAAAACAAACAAAGTACCAACCAACACGGTTTGTTTTCAACTCTCTGTCATTTGAAGTAACCTGTAGAAGAAAGAAAGCTTATCACAAAATGTCATCTGAAATAGTTGGCTAGCGCTGATTGCACGTGATAAAATTTTGTGTTTACATCTTACTGTTAACGTATTCTTTTCCAACAAATACTATTTTAACTTGTATGAGCACATCTGGGTCATTTTTGTGTTACTTCGATTTGTTTTACTTTATGTTTGAAATTTAGATGGATGAGAAATTATTTCATATCTTTTTTGATTTGAATACTTCTAAATCTAAAATATTAGTAGACAGTTTGCTTAGTCCTAGATGTGCCGTTGTGCTAATATATGGCAGAAGTGTATTTTATGGCAGAAGCAACATTGTCGCAACTGCCCTCTTATGCATCTTATAATAAAATTACCACCATAAAATTACAACAACTAACAACCTCATATCCCTTACAGGATTGTTGTTTTGGATCAGGTATTTTTCTGGGTTATATGCTTAAACATTATTTCAGTCTTCTAGTAACTACAGCTACAACTACTACTACTACTACTACTATTACTACTAGTATTGCTTTTACTGCTACTATTATCATTGTTCGTACTGATTTGTCGTGTAGCGCTTTCACTAAGTGCCTTAACTTTATTATTTTTTGTTAGCATAATTTCCACTTTTTTTTTTTTTTTTTGAATCTTCACATCTGCTGGGTTTAATTCCATTGTTCAGTTCTTTTATTTTTAGATTTTTGTTTTATGAATTTAAACTTTGTTGCAATTTTAGCTCATGCTTTTTCAGTTTTGCTAAGTTTTTATTGTATAAGGTGATTGATGTGGTTTATCATCAAGTTCTGTATTTCACATTAATCTAATTCATGATCCAGAAAAATCGCTTTTTAATGAAGTGTCATGACATTGTAAAGAATCAATTTCCGGACTTGCTTCTATCATGGATTTGTTGGTTCCATAATTTTAAATTTAATTAAAATTATGAAAAGCGGTTTGTGTGCATATCTTTTATCCAATAGCTTTTATCAAGCTTCATTGCTAACATTCCAAATCAAAATGCATGTTTAGTTTTTACATTTCCTTCTCCGTTGGGATGATGATTTTGTTAGGAGCAAAGTGGGAAGATCCGGAAACTCGCGTAATCTTATAATTTTCATAATGTATTATTATTTTTTGTTGTAACAATCATGAATTGAAATCCATCTTTAAATTCAGACTCTTAGCTTCAAATTGTTCAAAATTATTTTTTTTTTTTTTTTTTAGCTCTATTGCTGACAAAATACACTTCAATTATTAGTTTAGAAGAGCAAGAAAAGTAGCTTAAAAAAAGTAAGTCAAAAATAAGTCTTTATTAGCAACCTTATGCTTCTTTATTAACGTCGTATATCAACTATATTTTGAATTAATTCATTTATTTATTGATCAATATTACTACTTGAGTATTCATGTTTACAGTAGTCTAAACAAGGTTAACTTACTCAAATTCTTAGTTTCTTGGCTTCACCTATTCCTCAGACCATAATTTTCTTCTCTTTAGTCTTTATAATTTCTTTTAGGGATGAAAAATTTGATAGGCTAGATTCATTTATATGTATCATAAGAATTGGTTAAACAAATTTAAGTTTAGATAGAGAATTTTCAGTTTAAACGAATGAACTTTTTTAGATTTTTTTTTTTTTTTTAAATGATAATGAATATCTATAAGCATAATGAATTAGCAGTAACTGTATATTTTCTCTTTTTTATTTGCTTAATGTATATATATATAAATGTTGAGGAAATTGGTGCCCAAAATTTTTGTTTTTCACATTTTTTACTCTTATATTCCTTTTCTCTCCTATCTATCTAAATTGTTGTTTGTTTGTTTTTTTTTTTTTTTTTTTTCCTTTTTTGTAGTCTCTCTTCAAAAATGCCTTGAAGTGCCTGCGGATCCGATAGTAAGTATCCCATGAAAGAAAGAATTTTTGCTTCCTTTCTACCTTCCTTCCTTCCTTCTCTCTCTCTTCAACAATTCATTTTAATATCAATATTTGCAATAAATTGATAGATATTTCAATTTACGAAACTCTAATAAAACAATCAAATATTAAAATCTATTAAAAAAGTATGATTTGAAAAAAGAATTCATTTCGTTTGAAGGAATCCGTTGGAACTATCTACTTACTTCTCCATCTCATTAACTCTTCAAAAAAGTTCTAATTTTAATTAACAATATACTATGCTTATTTTGATTTTCAGTATTTTCTCTTCAATTTCTATTTATCATTGTCATTTTATATGCTTGTGCTTTGTTTGCTTATTAAGTCTTACTGTCCACAATTGTTTTAATCATTAATTATCATATTTGCACACCTTGATCGCTGTTATGCGTGAAACCTCCTTGGGTGTTTTTCATCAGTTTTTTTTTTTTTTCTTTTTTCCTCTTTTTTGTTATATATGTTTTTCTTTCTGTGCCTTTTAAAAGATGCACTCTTTGTATTTTGAGTTTTTTTTTTTCCCCATTGTTCAATTGTTTTTTGTATTAAAATTTGCCTTGATCAATGAATTTTACTTAATTTTTTTTTTGAATTCTAATTTTTTTTTTTTTAGTGGAAATAATAAAAATTGTCATAGAAATTTTTTCTTCTTTCTTGTTTACAGTTCCGTTACAGAAAATTACAGTTATAATTGAAAGAATACACTTACCCGAATTTCTTCTACAAAACTTTTATATCCAAAGAATATTTGCCAAGACTTTTTCCTCAAATTCCGTCATAATATATTTTACAGATCCATTATTTCTATGCAGATAACATTTTGTAGGAAATGTATCACAACCAGCTAAGTTATTTAATAACTTAGTTGATAATTAATTAATTTTTGAAATGTTACTGAGAGATGAAGACGATTTCTCAATTTATACCTTTTTTTTTTTCAAATTTTACTTTCTAAGATACAAAACTACACTTAGAACTTCGTAACCCTAGTAACTGGACTGTTTTGTTTTCCAGATATGCTAAATTTGCAAATCAGTTAAACCATAAGTTATTCTATATTTCAAAATAACAAAGAATATCATATGTAAAATTCTTATTTTAATTTGAAAAAAAAAAAAAAAGGAAAAACTTAGATTTTATTGCTGTTTTAAAATTGAACTTAAAAAATTTACTTATATTTCTTTTACAATATCCACTCAATAGTGCATAAGAAGGCAAAATAATTGTTTGACCTAAAAATTTTCTGTGACACTGATAAAGATAAAGAAATGAAAAGAAAAGTGATAGCATTGAGAATTTAAAAATTTATGATCGTAAAACGAATTTGCTTGAACTGATAGAATCTGCTATAACCAACATTCATCTATAAAGAAGCTTAGCAGTTATTATTCATAGATTGATTGGTTTGTTGTTGTTCGAAAAGCGATGGTTGAATAAGAGAAATGAGATTATGGATTATTTCAAATCAATATATGCAAATTAGTCAGCAATAGAAAAAGTTAAAGTTACTAATGTGGAAATAAAAGTAGTTCAAAATAGCAAATAATTTAGTAATTCCGATAAGTATCCAAAGAAGTCTCCTTAAAATGAGAAGAACAATTTATATTTTTAGAAAGATTTAGAATTAGCAGAAAAAATTAAAATTTCATCAATAATTCGATTTCAATTACATATTACTGATAAAAATATGGATGAGCAATTTACCATTGCACAATCATTTTACTTTCTTTTTTTTGAGCTTGGAAAGTGTTTAAATTGAGAAGAAAATATACAATTCAATCCTGTTAGTAATATATGATTCCGGACAATATGTGATCATAGAAATGCTTGGGACGAATATATCAGTTTAATGAAGACAAAGCTTACCTATTGTGGTAATATAATATCAGTGATAAGTGATCTATCACAAATGTACAAAAAAGCATATCAGTTTCATTAGACAAAGCTTAGCTATTGTGATAATATAATATCAGTGATAAGTGATCTATCACAAATGTACAAAAAAGCATATCAGTTTCATTAGATAAAGCTTACCTATTGTGATAATGCGATATCAGTGATAAGTGATCTATCACAAATGTACAAAAAAGCATATCAGTTTCATTAGATAAAGCTTACCTATTGTGATAATGCGATATCAGTGATAAGTTATCATAAATGTACAAAACTATGAACAATAAGAAAAGCACATTACAGGTACAAAGAATGCTATCAAAAGTATTATTAAGTATAGAACTAGTAGCAAAAAAAAAAAAAACTTCTTAGTTCTACAAAAGTATAAAATTGCTTACTTTAGAACTATGAATATTTACTCTGAAGAATTTCGAATAGAATAATAAGTAACATCTGATATCAACTGTATATATACATACAAAATGTTAATTTTATAATTAAATTTTATACTATCATAGATTTTTAAAATTAACACAAAAAGTGCGTTAACTACAAATGTAACTAATTTTTCCTTCGATATTTTAAAGCATTTCAGCTGAATAATAAATTCGACCAAATTGCCAACATTGCTAATAATTTGAGTTTTTGAGTTACTGTGTGAAAATCAAAATGTTTTATAAAATATTGAAATAACCAAAATAAATTCATAATTCAGAAATTTTGAGCATAAATATTATTTCATTTCGAATATTTTTCAAAAACAAAAACAAAAAAAAAAAATTGACAAAACATTTCAGTACGTAATATGATGAATCATTTCATCCAACCGATCATTTTTTCAATATTAGAAACTTCCAGCATTTCAAATATTGTATCTTCCAATTTCACAATCCCTTTTTTGTTTTTAATTTAAAACATAATTTGTTGAAATGTATTTAGAAATCATATGATGAACAATCATTTTACTTCATTCTTATTATTTGTTGAAGAAATTATAATTGTAAATTCTTTGTTTCTGAGAATTATACTTAATTGTAAACAGATTTTCCTATTGTTCTATTAGCTCGCTGAATTACAAAAAAAAGAAAGGAAAACTCTCATGCCATGCTTATACTTTTGTAAACAACCACTATATAAAGGATGAGATTCTTCCAGTCACAACATTTGCACGGGCAGTGATGGGTAACGACGTGACGGGCATCCCGTGGGTTGGGTAGAGGTTAGATATCGGTTGAAATGGTTGCGGGCATAAGCATTGCGGCAGTATGGGCGAGTGAGTTGGAGAGGTTTGCTTTGGCAAAAGTTGGGCAGAGGATCACGTTTTTGGTTGGCAAAGCTTGGAGAAACGAATCTCTGCGGGTAGGTAGACTATGAGCTGATTGGGCAAGGGTTGGGCGGTGAGTTGGTAGGGCTTCCGAACTTCACGAATCGTCCAAGGTATGAATTCATGTGGCGGATCTGTCTAATGGGTAAATTGGTCGGATGAGCTAATTGGAAATTTTAAAGCATTCAGACGAATGGAGTGGCTTGAAATCAGGACCGGAATTGATGGTTCACACACGGATTTCAGGGCAAACAGTGAATGGCAGTTTCCGTAAAAACTGCGGTTTGTAAGGTTTCTCGACACGAAGAGGTTGTCAACCAAGATTTCCTGGTGTAATAATAGCTCTGATTACTAAAATGTTGAAGATTTAAGCCGCTTGTCTAAGTCGTAAGGTTTTTTTTTCATTAAATCGCTAAAGTTTTATGAAGCTATCTATCAGGTTAAATTTGAGGTTATTTCAGGATCGGCAGGTGTGTGCAGAAGGTTTTTTGGAAATGAGTTAATTGTAAAGAGTACCATGCATCATTAGTGAGTGCAACATTCTAATTTTGCAAATGTAACTTTTTTTTTTCCAGCCCAAAAATCGGTGTATTCCTGTCAAGTAACATCAAGGTAGCAACATCAAGGTACATGATTTCAAGATTGCTTTATTGATAAAACAAATTCATGCGAAGATTGTTGCAATTGGGGAGGTCTTCGAATATCAGAAATTATGCAAAAACCTGACTGAAAAGGTCTGCTATCTCGGAATACTTGCAGGAAGTTAACATCGTCGGATCGCAAGAACAACAGGATAAGCTAAATCGCCTGCCATCCCTCCCAGTATGTTAAAGTTACTTGGAATTTTTTTTTAGTTTACTTGAGTCTCGGGAAATTGTGTTATAAGTGTGGCACTCTAACGCGCTTTGGGGAACAGGAAATTTAATTTACACACACTTGCCGATTCCTGAAAATCTCGACGGAAATCGCTTATTAACATCGAGACCAGTGCAATTGCCATTTCGGTAAGTGATCAGTAATCTATGACATGTATGTATCGTCAGTTTTCCAGATTTTATCCATCATTCAAGCTTTTTGTCATGAATAGTACTCAGCAGTTCCGCGTGACGGTGCAATCATAAGTGATATGATCCGTGGTCATTCCTAATCGATGGATCGAGTTCGGATGGCCAGTCGAGTGTAGGGTTGGTTGCCGGGTGGTCGAGCAATCAAATGACTGGTGTTGGTCGGATAATCGAGAAGTCGAGATCGAGTGACCAAGCAATCCGAAAATTGATCCTATGGCGAGAGTGAATATGTGATCCTAGTGAATACAATCATTCATGTTCAAGTTAAATATTTTGCAAGAGAAGTTCAAACGCACAATAAAATGTCTATCGATTCTTGTTTTACATATCCATCAAATTCATATGCCGGGTTGTCGTCTTGGAGATGGTGGAATTGTCGTTGGTTCATACGGAAGTGACGAAGTTACCATAACTGGTGGGGAAAACACCCAAAATGAAAATCCAGGGCTTCCTTTTTCACTGGTATCGGTACTAATATGCTACTGAATTTGTCGTCTATCGAATTCAGGTCGAGAAATAACTGGGAATACTGGGGAAGAGAGGGAAGACGAGAGTTGATGTTTGCGTAATATTTGCCTCAGTGTCACATGGGTAAGTCGGTAGGTGTTAGGTTTTCAAGAAGGGGAACTGTGGCGGGGTTGTTTACTTGAAGCTAATGAGAAATTATTGAAATAAATTTTGAAATCTTAAATAACAAAGAATTGGACTGTACCTAGTTGGACATTGCCTTCTTTTTTTTTCGCATTTGAAGTATTCTCGAACAGAAGAGGAGTGTGAGTTTCAACGAGACTTTAGTTCTTCAAGTATTCAGTTTCTATTATTAATTTGTTTGTCGCACTTCGAAATATACTTACGACGAAACTAAGCTAACGTACATGAATGAATATCTCAGATTTCATTGTAAGTCAGTTGTGCTTCAAATTATGCAAGCTTGCTTGCACATTCTCCTGCATGACATTTATTTTCACTGTTGTTAGTTACATCGATGATCATTTCATTCTCTTTGAAACTTTGAAATTATTCTTTTGAAATAAATGTGTACAGAATATTTGTGATGATTTGCCGTCAATTGGTGTATCATTAGTATATGGCTAATTTTGATTAGAAATATTATTTTGATTTTTAATTTTAATGTTTCAAATTTGTTAAATTGTTTATTTATTTTCTATGGTTTCAATAAAAAAATACCTGAAATTTTACTTTTATAATTAGCAAAATACCAATGAATCACAAAAAGATAAATAAGTGAATTTCTTCATCAAAAAAAGTTCACTTTAATTGTTTTTTTTTTTTTTTTCTTTCTTGAAGCTATCAATTACTGCTCAGTGAGAGAATGTATGTAGGTAGAAATGTATAGAGTAGGGCTTCATCCGATGAGTAAGATATGACCGAACACTCTCGAGAATTGTTATAAAGTAAGAGGTCTTCATCGAGAGATTGTTGTGTTGTGGTCGAGAATGTTGTTGAAATTGCTATAGCAGAAAAGATCGACGAGAATGAAAGCTTTTTGAAAGGATTTCATAGCTTAGTGAATAGATGTGGGGGCGAAAGGAATGGTTCAAAATAGCAAAAAATGATCAAATTAAGCTTAAACTTTTAAGCAATACAATTCAAAATAAATTGAAGTAAATATAATAATAATAATAATAATAATAATAATAATAATAATAATAATAATAATAATAATAATAATAATAATAATATTGTTATAATGAAAATATTTTAAATGATAAAATTATTATCAATTAGTGATTAGTAAAAATGATATAAGTGTTAATCAAATTAAATTAAATTTAAAATTAATCAAAGAAAAAAAAAAATTAAGAATAGCAAATAAGTAGCAAATAATTAAGCAATTGTATGATAATCAATATTTTTTCTAGCAATAAACTTACAAGAAAATTTCAGAGAGAATAAAGAAGAATGAAAAAATAAAAAAAAAAAAAACTTAATTTCTATTTCTCTTTTCTAACTTTTATCACAAATGTACAACATAAGTTAGTTCTCTCACACATAAATGTTTTAAATTGTTTGATGAAGAAGAAGAAGAAGAAATAATTTGAAAGAGAAAAGGAAGCAGAAAAGTGAACAAAAGAAAAAAAAAAAACTTTTCAGTAAGATAAAAAAAAAAGAAATTCTTTTTTTTTTCAAAAATAATGCAAAAATCTTTTATCATTCTTATCACCATTTATTATCATTATTATCAACAACAACAATAATAGCAACTAATGAACAGTCATAATCATATCAAATGATAATGTTATTTTCTTTTTCCGTTAAATGTCACATAATTTTCTTCGTTTTCCTCTTCACGGATAGATGATAGCTAGCTAGCTAGATAGATAGATATACCTTTGTTCATCATTTCAAAACCACAGCAAAAATTTTTAAAATATTGTTTAGCACATCCTTCCAGCTTTTTCTCCTTCTCACCATCACCATCATCATCATCATCATCATCATTCTCTTTGCAATTTTCCACTCTAACATTTTCCTCATCTTACATTCATTCTTCTAACTTAAAACAATTCGATATTTCGAAGACTTTTCACTTAATCACAAACACTACAGCCTGACTTCAGGCGCATTCGGTTCGCTTCCCACCATTTAGCACCACCATTTTATTTACCACTCCACCCTTTTGTTTTTGTTTTTGTTTTTGTTTTTATTTTGAAGTAATAACTCTAAATAAAAGAACGGACGAATTTTTTTTTTTTTGAAAAAAAAAAAAAAAAAAATAGCAAATAAATTGGACGATTTCGATATTTCGATCAAATACAGTAAAACTTATTATTTTCTTCTTCTATTCTATTCGCTTTGATTATTTTCTGTATTATTCCAAACATTTTGGAAAAAAACGAAACGGTTGCAAAGTGTTACTGTTAAAAAAGAAAAATCAACAAAATCAACGATAAGTAAACAAAAATATTTTTATTTTTATCTTTATAAAATCAACAAGTGCAGCAGCGGCAGCCAAATTATTGGATTATTCTGTAGCATTTATTGAAATTTTCTTTTTTTTTTTTTTTGTTTTTTTTTGCATTTCTATTAATTAATTGCTTACAAACAAGAAAAAAAGAGAAAAAAAAATGAATCTAGCAAGTCGACGTCAACGTCAATATCAACGTAAATACAACTCATACAGGTAAATTTAAAGATTATATTTCAAAAAAAAATTAAAATCAAATTAGAATTTTAGTTCGAAATGACCTTATAATAGCGATTTTAATAGTTGCTTTATATATCTTCCTTTTTTTTTTTTCTCATTTTTATTAAAATCCTAAATAATTCCTATGTATAATTAAAATGCTGCTACTTAAGCATCAGTTTAAATTTTTTAAATTATCAACCATTTTGCTCAAAATTGAAATTTAACTTTAAAACGATATAAAATTGAGAATATATATTTGAATGCAAAATTCAATTAAATTAGTATCACTTCAATTTCCTTTCAATTCTAAAATTAAATGAAAAATTTGTTGCTTTAAAAAAAATATAAAAAAAAAAGTTTTTCATTTAAGAAATACTTATGCAATTAATTTCATGTCGTATCTATATGCAATTTCTCAATTCCGGCTTTCAATCGGAAATGTTATGAAAAAAAAAAAAAAAAAAAAACTACAAAAATAAATGAAAGAGATTTAATTTTTTCGAAAAAGATTTATTTTTAAGAAAATTTATTTAATAAAAATTTTTTTCTTTCTTTTTCTTAAAATATAAATTATATAAAATTTTTCAAATTTACTTAATTAAAGAATACCTTTCTTCCACTTTTATCAATTAATATTTTATCTATAAATCAATACCATTCTTTGTTCTATAAAATTTCATTTTCAAAATATTCAGGAAATACACAGCAACAGAAGATGTGAATTATGCGGCGCATACATCTCGATCATCTTACCGCTCCGAATCGATCACTTCAAGAAGTAGCGATCATGGTCGAAGTTCATCATCAGAAATTATCTCTGTAGGATTATTCAAAATTATTACCACCACTTGCTGCTATTTTAAACTGTTCGAAATTTATAAAATGTTTAACATTTCAATATTTAAAATAATGAAAAGCAATTATTATTTTATCGAATTTTCAATTTAATTATAAAATTAGGTATCGGAGACTCGATCATTGCCAGTTTACATAGCAACACAAGATTATATCCCTGAACCTGGTGACATTGAGTCAATATCGTTGGAACAAGGACAAATTGTTGAAGTGTTAGATAAAAAGAATGCCGCTTCATGGCTTATCAGAACAAAGGTTTAATCATTTTTCATTTAAAACTTTGAATAATTTTTTTTTTTTTTTGAGAAAGAAAATTTGAATTTCTAGCAAAAAAAATTCTTCTAGGCACGTCCACCAAAATCAGGTTGGGTACCAGGATCATATTTTGAATCACCAACAGAATATTATAAACAACGAAAACGAACTCGAGAATTAGTTAATAGTGATCTAAATTTAACCGATGAGCAAGAAGCAATTATGAAACGAGAGTAAGTTTAGCATAAATTTATCGCTACTAAAAATTTTTCAAAAATATTTTTGATCATTTAAAAATTAAAAATATTTTCTATACTAGCAAATTCTTATTTTTATTTAATTTTACAATAAAATTTTCATAAAATTTTCAAATTAAATGCTTTTTTTTTTATTAATTATTTTACAGTCAAGTTTATCATGATTTGCTACGTTCCGAGGAGGAATTTGTTAATGAATTACGAACAATTGTTGATATATATTTAAAAGCATTGGATGATGAGGGAATTCCGGATGAAGTAAAAGAGAAAAAAAATGAATTAATGATGAATTTGAAACAGTTACACAATTTTCATGCAAAGTATGCTATTACTTACTTTGTATTTAAAATAATTTATTTTTTAAAAAAAAAAAAAAAAAAAATTTTTTTCATTATTATTATTATTAAAGTTATTTAGAATAAAAGAAAATGCATGAATGAATTTAATTAATTATAATTATTTCAAATTTATCAATATTTCAATACTCATAATTATTTCGTTTTAAAATTTTTATTGCCTTTTTTTTTTAAAAAAAAAAAAAAATTTCAGCATAATGCTAAAAGGTCTACAGTACTATTCGGATGATCCAAATAAAGTGGGTCAAACGTTTACACGGCTTTCACGTGATTTTGACTTACACATACAATTTCATCATAATTTACCACATGTAAAGGAATTACTTAAAGAGAAAACAATCATCGATTTTCTTCAGGTATGTAAAATAATATACCAGGTATGACATTTGAAATTTTTACCGAAAAAAAATGCAAATTTATTTTTTTATAATTTGTAAAATTTCACATCAAATTGTTAAAAAAAAAAAAAAAAAAACAGTAAACAAAAATTATTTAAATCACTGTGATTGTTTGAAAGTTATCACAGATTGAAATTTATAATCGTAAATTTGCATTTTTGAATTTGCTTTTATTATCATTATTTTCTTGCTTTGATCTGCTTTTCTAATCCTTATTTTGTCTTCCTTGTACTTTTTTATCACTTTGATCAAACTTTTATCATCTCATTTGATCATTTAATTCAATGTTCTATTTTATTTTCAAAGTATCGCTTCATTTTATCAATTAATTTAAAGTTTTATCTTATTTTAATTCAAACTGTCATCTTATTTTATCAATTAATTTAAAGTTTTATCTTATTTTAATTCAAAATATCATCAAATTTTATCAATAAATTGAAAGTTTCATTTTATTTTCAAAGTATTGCCTCATTTTATCAATTAATTTAAAGTTTTATTTTATTTTAATTCAACATATCATCTCATTTTATCAATTAATTCAAAAATTTTGCTATCTAAAACCAGAAATTAAAGGAAAAAAAAAACAAATTTTACAAATTTTGCCAAAAAATTTTTAAAATTAATTTGCTCAAAGAAAATTTATTTTTAAAATTTGCTCTTTGCCAATTTTCACTTTTACAATTTGAGCAACTGATATCATTCATATCACAAATTTAGTCTGTAATAATAAATCTTTCTCTTTCTCATTTTATTATGCTAGCATTTGGCAAATTCCAATTTGCAATTAATTCTTAAAACAAATAAATAAATTTAAAAATTTCGTTTCTAAACAAACTACGACAATTACAAACTTTGCTTACAATACTGATAGTTTTAATTTCAATTTTTTGAAATAAATTTTTTAAGATTAAATTCGCTTAAAATGCATAATTTCTCATTTTCATTTCTTTTTTCCAATTATTTTTCAACTTTTTAATTTTAATCAATTTCAAATCGTTTTTTTTTTTCTCCATTTTCTTAACAAAATATATGTAAGATTAATTGGAACTAAGAATTTATTTATTTTTTTATTCTCTGTTTCATTTTATAATTTGAACTTTCATTTTTTGATTTCTTTTAAAATTCAATTCAATCTTTGATTTATTCAAATAAAATCTCTCTCATAAATATGCAATAATAATTTGGCACTAATTGAGAAAAGTTATATTTTTCCATTTGTATTCCATAATTTTAATAATTTTTTTTTTTCATTACTTCCAATTTTCCTATTTAATATTTTTCATTCTTTTCCATTTATCCTAGCTGTAAAATTTTCCATATATAATTTTTGATAAAAATATTTTTTTTTTTAAAAAAAAAAGAAATATTTTTCTACTTGTATTTCTTAATTTTAATAAATTTCAAATCTTTTAATGTCCATTGAATTTATTTGTTGAAATTAATATAAATTTGATTATATTATTTTCAAATTTTCAATACATAAAAGCCATACAGTAAATATAATTATTACATTTTTTCATCCATTAAATACGATAAAGTAAATTTAAAGAAAAAAAAAAAATTTCAGTTAAACAATATTACATGAATTTTAGTACTTCTCATTCATTCTTTTTAATAATTAAAAGAAAATTCCAATTTTTTTTTTTCTAAAATTTTATGTTTTTTTGTAATTCAAAAATTTCTTTGCAAAAAAAAAAAAATATTTATTTTAATTTAATCGTATAAATTTCATAAAAAATCCAAAAATTTTTCAATTTAATATTGCAATTTTAAAAAAGTATTTAAAAAATTTGTTGATGCAATATAGCTGTTATAACTCTTCAATTTTGTTTATTACTTTATTATTATTTTTTCTTCAATTTTTTAAAATTGATTTATCAAAAATTTATTCTTCAATTTTAAATTATTTCAAAAAAATTCTACCATTTACTATTTTTTTGAAGATAATTTTCTCGTTGAAATTTGAACATATAATTCCCATTTCATAAAATATATGTTAAGTTTTAATATAAAAAAATTTTAATAAAAGAAAAAATTAAATTTTATGAAATTTTTTTATAAAATTTATTGAATTCCTGAAAGGAATTATTCAAGTAGATTACAATATGAACATTTTCCGGAAAAGAAAAATAAAAAATATGCAAATTTCTCATTGTTTATAGCATTTTTCATTTTTCATTTTTTTTTTCTTTTTTTGCAAATATTCTTATCTTTATTCCCATATTATATGTTTATAAATTTAAGAGTGAAAATTTATGAGTGAAAATCAATATTTCAATAATTTAAATTCATATTTCTTTTACTAAATTTAATTTAAATTCAGCGACATTCGTCCCAAATTTTTATTTGACCTATAGCTATTGCTGTTGTAGTTTAGAAAATTGATTTTGTGAAATATTTATTGAAGTTAAGAGGATAAATTTAAATATTTAAAACAATTAAAAATTGCTTTGTTTTACTAATTTTATTTGATGAAACTTAATTAATTAAATTTAACATGAACAGTTCATTTTTCTTTCCTCTTTTATCTATTTTCTATTCCATTTTTTTTTTTTTTTTTTAAATTTTGCAATGAGTATTTCAACTCAAATAAAATATTTTAAAAATTTAATTGTTTAAAAGTTTCAAAGTTTCATATGCAAACGATTATTATTTGCAGTTCAAATTTTGATTAAAGACTAAAGTTTACTTTATGCGAATTTAATTTTTATTTTTTCACTTTTTACAAGAAAAGATTTTACTAAATTCATTGCAATATGAAAAAAAAAAGCAATTATCAAAAATCTGTTTTTTTTGTATTTGTTAGATAAATTAATGCAAATTCGAATTAATAATTTTGTATCGCTATTTCCAATCAAAACAGTAATTTGAAATAAGAGCCAAGTCATTTAGCCAGGACTTCTGTGCCACTATCCAACTATTTGAAATAAGAGCCAAGTCATTTAGCCAGGAGTTCTGTGCCACTATCCAACTATTTGAAATAAGAGCCAAGTCATTTAGCCAGGACTTCTGTGCCACTATCCAACTATTTGAAATAAGAGCCAAATCATTCAGTCAAGACTTCTAAGCCACTATCCAACTATTTGAAATAAGAGCCAAGTCATTTAGCCAAGACTTCTGAGCCACTATCCAACTATTTGAAATAAGAGCCAAGTCATTCAATAAAGACTTCTGAGCTACTATCCAACTATTTGAAATAAGAGCCAAGTCATTCAGCCAAGACTTCTAAGCCACTATCCAACTATTTGAAATAAGAGCCAAATCATTCAGTCAAGACTTCTAAGCCACTATCCAACTATTTGAAATAAGAGCCAAGTCATTTAGCCAAGACTTCTGAGCCACTATCCAACTATTTGAAATAAGAGCCAAGTCATTCAGTAAAGACTTCTGAGCTACTATCCAACTATTTGAATAAGATCCAAGTCATTTAGCCAAGACTTCCAAACCACTATCCAACTAAAGAAGCTTCTCATTAACAAACTTCTCATTTAATTTTAACAATTGCTATCAGTTGGCTATTGGTGACCATTGGTGACCATTGGTGACCAATGGTCACCAATAACTTTAAAATCCCAAATTCTCGAACAAAGTACATTTGACAATCATTCCTCAGTACAATATTTTATTGTTTTATATTCCATTTGAAATTCATTAAAAAAAATTGTTCGTTCTAAAATATTCTAAAAACAAAAAAAAAAAATTCTAAAATAAAATTAAAAAAAATTTGAAAATAAAATCATTTCATAAAGAAATGATTAAACAAAACGCAATCAATAATATTTATCAGTTAAAAAATATGAAAAAAATAATTAAACATTAAAATGATATATTTATACAATCTTACATTTATTTTAACTTAATATTTTAAAAATTTAAATGGCAAATTTCAACAATTTTCAACGCTATGAAAATTTGAAATACTTTTGTTTCAATTTAATCTGTGAAAATAATCACATCAGATCATAAATATTAAAAAAAAAAACAAAGATTAATTTACACTAAAGAAAATTCGAAAAATTATTAAGCTCCTTCAAAAATATAAGGAAAACGGGATAATTTTATTTAAATTAAGGCTAAATTTAATTAAGGCCTAAGAATGACGAATAGAAAATGGTAAAAGTGAAATCTATAAAATTTAAAAACTTAAATTAGAAAGTTATCAAGAGAAAAATAATTTGTTTTCAAATATTTTTATGTTTGAAAAAAATGCAATAAGTAATTAATTTTGCAATTAGCATTTTCTCCTGAATTAATCAGAATAAAAAATTGAAATTCCATTCTAAATTGCTAATTTTTTTCTTTTTTTTTTTTAAAGTTATAGATATTTCCAAAAAATTCATTAATTCTTTATCTTTTTAAACTTTAATCAAAAACATATTAACATAATTAGTTTTTTTTTTTTTTTTTTCTGTAAACAGATACCTCTACAAATCTCTGATATATAAACAAATATTTTAAACTTTTAAAATGGATTTTAAGTTCGGTACCATTGAGTTTTAAAAAAAAAATACATATATATGAATATAAAATTTTTTTCGGTTCATTCAATTTTCTAACTTTAAATGTTATATATTTAATTTTATGCAAATTTCTGGAAGTTTCACAATTATTTTTTTTTGAAATCCTAAAGTATTTTTTCTACTTTTGCTTTGCAATATAATATTTTCTTATTTTTTATTTTATTATTTAGCTCTTTTGTCACAATTACTTAACAGTTTTCAATCCATTGAAAATCCAACTAATTTAATTGGAATTAGTTTAAATTTAGTTTAAAATTTTAGTTTAAAATTTAGTTAAAATTTTGTTTCTCTTTTTCATCTTTCTTTTTTTATGCTTCACAATCTTGGAGCAATCACAATTTTTTTGCATTTTAATTATTATTAAACTTTAAGCTTACCATTTCTAAACAGTTGGAAATTCAACACCTTTGACCTTTACGTATTAGTGATAATTTTATTGTCGAAACACTTTTGACCTTTACATATCAGTGATAATTTTGTTGTCGAAACATCTTTGACCATTACATATTAGTGATAATTTTGTTGTCGATACACCTTTGACCTTTGCATATTACTGATAATTTTGTTGTCGAAACACCTTTGACCTTTGCATATTACTGATAATTTTGTTGTCGAAACACCTTTGACCTTTGCATATCAGTGATAATTTTGTCGTCGAAACATCTTTGACCTTTGCATATCAGTGATAATTTTGTTGTCGAAACATCTTTGACCTTTGCATATCAGTGATAATTTTGTTGTCGAAACACCTTTGACCTTTACATATTAGTGATAATTTTGTTGTCGAAACACCTTTGACCTTTACATATTAGTGATAATTTTGTTGTCGAAACATCTTTGACCATTACATATTAGTGATAATTTTGTTCTCGAAACACCTTTGACCTTTGCATATCAGTAATAATTTTGTTGTCGAAACACCTTTGACCTTTACATATTAGTGATAATTTTGTTGTCGAAACACCTTTGGCCTTTACATATCAGTGATAATTTTGTTGTCGAAACATCTTTGACCCTTACATATCAGTGATAATTTTGTCGTCGAAACATCTTTGACCTTTGCATATTACTGATAATTTTGTTGTCGAAACACCTTTGACCTTTGCATATTACTGATAATTTTTTTGTCGAAACACCTTTGACCTTTGCATATCAGTGATAATTTTGTCGTCGAAACATCTTTGACCTTTGCATATCAGTGATAATTTTGTTGTCGAAACATCTTTGACCTTTGCATATCAGTGATAATTTTGTTGTCGAAACATCTTTGACCTTTGCATATCAGTGATAATTTTGTTGTCGAAACATCTTTGACCTTTGCATATCAGTGATAATTTTGTTGTCGAAACATCATTTTTGTTGTCGATAGGCCTTCAAAATAGTTTATCTTTGAATTGACCTATTCTGAAAATTAGAGACATCTTTGACAAATTTCTTTTTATAATTTCAATATGTTTTAAATTTGTTTCCAAAATTATTTTTGCAAAATTTATTAGTCATTTAATTGTTTTTCAAATTATTTCTACAAAATTCGATTGTTATTTAAATTGAAAATTATTTTCAATGAGTCATTTGTTTACTGCTATGGAATTTTTTTTTTTTTTTTAAATTCATTGGAATTTAAAAATTTCTCAGTTAATTTTAGTTTCAAATAATTACAATAAATAATTTATATTTATATTAAAAATTTGATTTTTTTGCGAATTCTTTTGAGTTAAAATTTTCATTTTGTAATTTTTTCAAAATTAATTTATTAATGCTAAAATTATTTTTATAACATTTTAGGATTTGAGTAATAAAGTAGAAGCTGGAACAAAAACATTTGAAGAGCATTTACAAAATGTTGATAATCGTATTGTTCAGTATCAGAATTACTTCAAGGTATTTTAAGACTCTACAAAAATTTTATTGGGAATTTAAAATAAATAAAAATTTAAATTAGAAATGAAATTATTTTCGAACAAAAATTACATACTTTGATTTTATGAAAAAACTAAATAAAATTCTATTATTTCAATTCAATTTCAAAAAAAAAGAAAAAAAAAGAATCTGAATGATACTTTTTGTAAAGTGGCAGAATCTTTTAAAATAATTTTAAAATAAAAAAAAAATAAATTCAAAAAAAAAAAATAAATAAATTGCATTTCGGAATATTAATTAATGAGAAAAAAATATTTGAGGAATTTGTGAAATATGCATCACGAGCTAAGCTTAATACAAAAATAATGCAAAAAGCACTTGAATTGATGATGTCAGTTCCGGAACGTGCAAACGATATGATATATATCCGGAATATTGAACAGTATCCCGGTGATCTGAGTAAACTTGGACGACTTTATAGACATGTTAGTTGTTAAATTTAACTTTTTTTTTTTTTTTAAAATTGTTAAATTTAAATATAAAACCAAATAATTAAAATAATTTTCATAATATTGTAAACAATTCAGATAGAAATATTTGGTGCTTTTTTTTTTTTTTTTTGTAAATTTATTTTTTGTACTTTATTATTTATAGTTCATTTTTCAAATTTAAAAAAAAAAAATAAGGATGAAGAAAAAATTGCATTCCAAAATAATTTTTACTATTTCATATATTTTAATCTAAAGAAATTTAAATAATTAATCATTGAAATTTTTCCTATTCTTAATTCATTTTATGAAAAATTTTTCTTCTTTTAAAATTTTTCTTCTTTCTTTTAATTTGATAAAAAAAAAAACTGATTTTAATGAATTAAAACAAATAATTGATTATATATTAAAAAAAATGCCAAAATTTTTATTTAATAAATGATTTATTATTTGTATCGGAAATGAGTTATCATCATATTATAATATCTAAAGCTTAAATTAAACTTAAATTTAAATTTAAATTAATAATTGATTTTTTAGGATTCATTTTTGGTTTGGGAAGGTGAACAAGAACCAATTGAACGTTATGTATTTTTATTCAAAAATAAATTAATGTTTACGGATAAAAATAATAGTAAAGACGTACCAACCTATAAACATTACGCTACCATACGGGTAAGTAAGTCATTATACTCTATTTGGAGCGTAAAAAAAATTTTTTAAATTTAACGAATTATATTTAATTAAATTGAAAATAATTAAAAATTAATAATAATAAAAAGAGAACGAAAACAAATTGATTCGATTAATTATAAAATAATTAATTGTATGCATAAATTTATTGCATTTTTATAGCTTGACAAATATACAATACGAATTTCGGAAACAGAACCGAATATTTTGGAATTTCAACCAAATGAACCAGGAATTCCGGAATTTCAAATTCGTGCAAAAGATATTCAATCGATGGAATTTGTTCGACAAGCTTGGTTAAAAGATATTAATGAAATGAAGGAACACGATGGTATGTTAATTTATTCTTTCAAATTAAATTTTTAATTTTATTTTATCACAAAAGTTTACAAAAAATAATTTTTGCATTTATTAAATATGTAAATGAAAAAATACTAAAAAAAAAAAAAAAATCGGTTAATAGTTTAATAGCATCTAAATCAATTATATAATTTTCAAATTTGATTTTTTCCTCTTTTCTCCTTTGTTTATAAAAATACAAATTTAAAATTTTAAATCAGAATTAAAGTTTAAATGCTATCTTTTTAAATGATATCTTAAGCTACAAAAAAATTTAAGTATTATATTAAAAAATATTCTCATACCTTTCTCATATTCCTATCAAAAAAAAAAAAAAAAAAAATATTTTAGATAAAATTTTTTTTAAAAAAAAAACAGTAAGTGAGTAAATGAGTGAGTGATTTAATGAATTGAAAAATAAAAGTAAATTATTATTTCAAATTTATAATCTAATATTTAACAATTCAGCCTTTCTCTCTTTTTTTCTCTTCTAATGTCTTTCTCTATTTGAATCTCTTTCTTCTGCTAATACTTTTAATAAAATTTAACTGAGAGATATGAGAGTATGCTTGTAGCAAAAGTAAGAGATAAAAAATGAAAATGTAAAGGTACTTGTTAAATGCGTGGGCGGTAAATGTCCTCATTTTATATACTCTCTCTCTCTCTCTCTCTCATCGTTCCAAATAACAATGACAACAATAACAACAAATGACGATTAGAAATGGAACTAAAGTTCGAAAGATGAAATTTAGTTAGATTTAAAATTGTAACAGAGAGAGAGGGAGAGAGAGAGAGAGGGAAAGAGAGAGGGATTTGAGGTGGAAGAAGAAGAAGAAGAAAGAGTGAAATTGGATTACTCATCATCATCTTCTTTATCTCTTCTTTTTATCACACTTCGTTAAACTATCAAATAAATAAATTTCTCGAAAGTACTGAAAATGAACGAATTTAACTAAAATCTCAGCTAGTTCTTTCATTCTATAACTTTTTCTCTCTTCTCTTCACATTCTATCAACACAAATTGCATAATGATTCATAAAGAAATAACATAGAAATGTTAGTTAGTTAGTTAGTTTGAGTAGTAGAGACTATAAGCTTTAGCTTTAGCTTTAGCTTTAACTCTCGACTGACGAATATTTTGCACTCGATCATCGACCGATCCAACCAACCGACCCATCTATCGACTCACTTCTTGACTCACTTTATTCCATCCATTTATCCTACTAGAAATGATAATGTTGTTGGCATAAAATTTATTCTGCTTATTTGTAAATATGCAAATTTTCTTCATCAATTGCAAATGTAAAAGCAGAAGAAGAATTTCAAAAATTTCGAACTGAAATTTAATCCTGATTCATTTTCGTCATCAATAACTAATTGACGTATTAAATTACACTGCTAACTTCCTCATAAAATCTATATTCGAGTGTATATATTATTACCATTGCTTCATATTACATCTAACAGCTATCAGCATTTGTAATTCATTGAAAATTCAAATTTAAATTAAAAAAAAAAAAAGAATAAATAAATTAATTAATTAATTAAACATGGTACTTCGCTGTTTGTATATAATTGAATTAACGGATATGGATGAAGGTGGCCTAGAATTGGTTGATCCATCATGGTGTAAGTAATTTTTTTTTATTTTTCTAAAATTTTTTATTGGTATTAAAAATTTTGAAAATATTAGAGCAAGATATGGAAGTGGATACAATCAGTGAATTAGATGTAACAATGAGTGATGTTCGATCAGAATTCAGCGAATATTCTACAATTTCCAGAAGCTTGTTTGGTATGATTGATGATGCCAACATTCAATCTTCAAAGGAAACAGGAATTAAAATGAAATTTTAAATTTCATCAAGTACTATTAATTTGGTAGACTTTTATTAGTTTCAGCTAGCTAAAATATTTTTACTTTTAGGTCCCGAGGAAGGACCACCACGGAAAAAAATCAAATCACCACCAGTTATATCACCAACCGCTTCAACAACCAGTTTATACAGTGGTGGTAGCAGTTCAATTGACTGGAGTTAGTATTTCTTTTTTTTTTTAGATTGTAAATTTGGAAAATGTTTTCAGAATTTGAGTCTAAAATTTATTTATTACATTTGAACCTTTTTTTCTTTTTTTTTCGAGAATCAAAATATAATTTTGTTTGAAAGATAATTTAAATCTAATAATATAATTCATATATAAAATGCAGCACAGTTCTTCAATTTTATTAATTTTTTTTAAAATTAATTTATATTAAATCATTTTTCTTTTACTTTTATTAATTCGTTTTCTTTATCAGGAAAAATTTTAGAAAAATAATTTTGATTTAATAGAGCTTTAACTTTTAAAATGTGTATTTTTAGCAACAACAGGTACCACTCTTGACATGCAAGGTACACGTGTTACCAGGACGCAATATGGTTTCAGAACATTACAAGAATCATCGGCAAAAATGTGCCTTAAAGTTACCGGTTATCCATTACCTGAAATTACTTGGTTATTATTTTCTGCTCTACTAAAATTTGAAAATTGAAAAGTTAAATATAAATAAATTTATTTAATAGGCTTATTTTGCTATGGTGTAGCATTTTGTATATTTCTTACTTTTAATTTTAATGAATTTTTTAAAAGTAAACATTACAGTAATTTGTCTAATAAAATATATTTAAAACTAATATTACATAAAAATTGTTTTAAAAAAATATGGAACAATTCAAAAACAAATTACTATAAAGTTTTTTTTTCTTTAATAATAAATATAATAATTATTATTCATTACTTAATGTAATAATTATTACTTTATACCTTTTTTTACTATTTAACATATCACTAACTAATTATGCTAAAATTTTAATTCAATTTTTTAGGTATAAAGATGATCAAATGTTAAATGAAGATGAAAGGCATACATTCTATGCGGATGAAGATGGATTCTTTGCTTTAACCATAGATCCGGTACAGGTTGAAGATACCGGACGGTATACATGTATGGCTACTAATGAATACGGACAAGCATCCACATCTGCATTCTTCAAAGTACTAAAAGGTAATTTTACAGTAATTTAATTACCACCAATACTTCATTTTCCAATAAAAAATATTTATTATCAAAAATTTAAAACTACCATTAGCAATAGATCCGGTGCGGATTGAAGATTATTTTATATTTCAGAAAAAAAAAAGAGAAAGAAAAAGCAAAATTGATTTTTTTTTTGCAATTATTTAAGTTATTTATGTTTGTCATTTCAAATAATGATATTCTTAAGCTAAATATTTGAAATGACGAATTTGATGAGTAATACAAATAAATGTATGCACAACTGTTAGTTATGTTCAAAGAACAAAAAAGTTCAAAATTAAATATTTAAGTATAAATTATTGTTAAATAAATCATATATTTTATCATTTATTTAATTAGCTTTAATAAATTAATTATATCTTCAAAAAAGCTTTTCAAAAATTTACATTTCATTTTTGAAACTGTAAATTAATATAAAAATTTAATGAAAATGTTTATTAATTCTGAAATGGATATAAGAGATTAATTAATAAACATAAATTTTACCGCAAAGAAAAAAAAAGTGGCGAAATCATTGATTAGCAATTTTTTTTTTTTTTTTTAACCAATGATTTTATTATAATATTGAATAGCTGAAAATATTGGGTGGGGAATATCAGGTGACAATTTAAAAAATTTTAAACTGTAAAAATGTTTTTCTTCTTTTTCTATCATTTTGTTATTACTATTAAAGATATTTGAAATTAAATGAAAATTTTCAGTTGAAAAGGAAGCAGCGCCACCAGCATTTGTCACAACATTATGTGATCAGGAAGTGAAAGAAGGTGAAATGGTGTCATTTGAATGTGAGGTAATGCAACAAAATTAGTTTATTTTAATAATAATAATAATAATATTAGCGTATCATTAAATTTTTCAAAATTTAAATTTCATTTTTCAAAAAAAAAAAAATTTTTTTTCCTGAATTCATATTTATTTGACAAAATTTTTCATAGTTAAGCAGTAGCAGCAGCAGCAGCAGCAGAAAATCTCGGCTAAGAATGATTCATTTAATTTTCCGGTTTTTTTGTTTTTTCAAAATCAGAAATAGCAGTAATGATTTTAAACATAGTATTTTCCACTGAAAAGATAAGCCTATTATTAAGGTAGAGGGATGGCCGGAACCAGAATTAATTTGGTTAGTTGATGAGCAACCACTTCGACCGTCACATGATTTTAAATTAGAATATGATGGACAAAATGCTAAACTAGAAATTCGTGATGCTCAACCTGAAGATACCGGTATTTATACAGTACGGATTAAGAATGAATTTGGTTCAGCTGAATCAAATGCTAGACTGGTTGTGGAACCGGATCCAGACAAGAATCATATTGCACCGGAATTTCAGGTTCTTTTATTGTTGTAGTTTTTTTTTTTTTGAACTTAAGTTTTATGTACATATAATCCGGAAATTAGTTGGTAATCCGGAAATCATTCATTATGCTATTTTTGTTTGTTCATTTAAATGATATTATTTCTCTATTAATAGTAGCACTTCTTCAATTTTTCTTTTTTTTAAAAAAAAAATTAAACTAATATATTTAACAGAAAGTTTATTTTAGATTTTAGTTTGAGTGATAAAATTTATGAAATTAATTATTTTGAATTTGTAGGCAGTAATTGAAGATGTTGAATGCAATGAAGGAGATACGGTTAAATTTAAAGCAGTTGTTACTGGTGATCCTATTCCGGATGTAAGTAACTTTTACTTTTATTCATTAATTCAAGAAAACAATTAACTTATTTTATTAGCATTTGTAAGGTAAAATAATAGCTAAATATAGAATATTTAAATTTTAAAATTAATTCAAGAAAGCAATTTTTTTTTTATAGCTATTTAAAAATTTGAAATTTTTTTTTTTTTTGTTAAAGTTTCAGTTTTGTTATTTGCTTATTTATATACGTTTACAAATAAATTATGAAATTATTTTAGATAATTTGGATGATCAATGGAGTACCATTATCCGAATCAGATAAAATCAAATTTATCAGTGAAGATGGAATTTGTATTCTAACAATTACCGATGTCTCAAGACATTTTGATGGTACTGTGACATGTCAAGTAAGTTATCATTACTAAAAATTTCTTGTACAATCAAAAAATCATTCAAATTTAGTTTTGAAAATTTTTTTAATGAATATTTCAAAAAAAATAAAAAGGTTAAATAAGAAATTATTCAATTAAAATTTTACAACAAAGTTTTTTCGTTTTAATTTTATTTCAGAGTGTTAATCGACTTGGTACACAAAATTGTGATGCACAGTTAAAAGTACGGGTACCGCCAAGTCCACCACATTTTGAACGACCACTTGAAGATAAAATTACACAAGAGGAGCAAACAGTTGTCTTAGAAACGGAAGTGAACGGCTTTCCGGATCCAAAAGTATCATTTACGATCAAAGGAAAACCGGTTAGCTACTTTTTTTTACACCATTACTTATCAGACATTTAGCATCGAATAGGAAGACATTACTATATTTATCAGTGAAATCTTCAAATGTCACTCAAAAATATCTATCACAAAAGAGACTTTCAATTTAGATTGCATAACTGATTTATCGGATAATTGATTACTTCATTTGAATAATTTTTTTTTTTCTTTTCAATATTATTTTTTATCATAAAAAACATTACAACAAACTTTAATTTTCTACTAGGTTAATTCTAAATTTATAATTAAAAAATTTTAAATTCTAATTATCGATTAAAAAGACAAAAATAAAGTGAATAAAAAAAAAAAAAAAAAAAAAAAAAGATTGATTTTAGATTGTATCCGGTGAAAATGGTATTGAAATTGTTAGCAGAGGTGATGGATGCTATCGAATTGAAATTTCAAAAGCTAATATTGATTTGCATGACGGTGAAATTGTTTGTACCGCAATTAATGAACACGGACAAGCGGAAAGTAGAGCACGTATTGTTGTGGAATGTATCGATCGAGAATCATTTTCTGCACCAACATTTGTTAAAGATATTGAAGATCAGGTGAAAAAAAAAAAAATATTTTAAATATTTTTAAATCATTTCTAAAGTAAATCAAATTATGAATGTTTTTTTTTTTTTTCTAGTACAAAAAATTTGAAAAATTTTAATTGATTAAAATTTTACAGACAGTTAAATATGGTGAAATGGCAATTTTTGAAACATCAATACGTGGTAATCCAAATCCTGAAATTACCTGGTTTATTAACGGTCAAAAAGTTGATAAGATAACACCTGGAATACATCTGGAAACACAATCAGTTACAGATCATAAACTAATCATTGATTCAGCTCAATATGCAGGCACAATTTTATGCAGGTCATTTTTGATCTTTTTAAACATTGAAATCATTTTAATTATTTTTAATTGAGTTGTAAACATTTTAATGTAATCATTAAATGAATTAATTTTTTTTTTTTAAAAATTAAATTTTAGAGCTGAAAATTCAGTTGGACGTTATGAAACAAAAGCAAAATTAACAGTAATTTCTGCTGAAAAGAAGAAACGTGCACCAGAATTTATTGAAAAATTAATCGATACAAATGTTATTGAAGAATCAAATGCGGTTTTTGAGGTACGAGTTGAAGCTGAACCAATGGCTAAATTGAAATGGTTCTTAGGTGAAAAAGAATTAACCGAATCAGAAGTATGTTTTTTTTTTTTTTTTTTTTTTATTTCATAGTTGAAATTTTAATGATTTAATGATTTTCATATTAATTAATTAATTACTTAATTATTCGTACTCTAACAACAAAAAAAAAAAAAAGGTGTAAAAATTTGATTAACAACCTATAATGGTAATTTTTATTTCTAAATTACAATATTTTAGCGTGTCAAAATTCGTGAATTTGATGGTAGTTGGAAATTGGAAATTAATAAATTAACAACTGAAGAAAGTGGTATCATTAGTTGTGTAGCAGAGAATTCGGAAGGTAGTTCAGAAACATCAGCGCATTTGACAGTTAGCAAGAAAACATTTGCGCCACAATTTGAAGATCGTCCCAAGAATGTTACCGTTGAACAGGGCCAAGAGGCTCGATTTCAAGCTCATGCAATTGCACTACCTGAACCTGTATATCAATGGTTCATTGGTGGTCGAAAAATTAGGGAAACTATGGAAGGTGCCAAAGTTGAAACTGTCAACGGTGTTTCAACACTTGTAATTGATACTAAAATTTTCGATTCTTCTACTATTTCTGTGACAGCTACAAATTCCATTGGTATGTATGTTTTTTTATTTGCAAATAATAATCCTTTAAATATTAAAATATTAGAATAATTTAATTACCTGGTTTCATTTACCTGTATTAATGAACAAAAGCAAATAAAAGTGCCAATTCAGGTGTTGATGAAACGGGCGCTTTGTTGACAGTGCAAGAAAAAGCAATGGAAGAGCAACAAATGAATGTAACCAAAATTTGAGAAAATTTCATTTTAAATTTCATTTTTTCTACATTTATTATTTAGAAAAACATTAAAATATTAGAATAATTTAAACATTAAAATATTAGAATAATTTAAACATTAAAATATTAGAATAATTTAAACATTAAAATATTAGAATAATTTAAACATTAAAATATTAGAACAATTTGGATGCAGATTTGTTCTTTTTAATTTTTCATAATAATAGTTGAGGTTAAATTTTGAATATTTTTTAACTAAAAAATAGGAAATTCTTTGGTGGTAAGTCTTAACAATTTTATACGAATTTTTATGCTATGATAGAATGAATGTAAATGAAATATTAGCAAAAAATTAATGAAAAATTTATTATTCATTTTGATTCTTAAATTTTCATCAATCAATCAATAATATCTAACATTTTATTATCGATTCAGAAAAAACCAATGCAACTAATTTTCATTTTTTAAGTAAGTAAAAGAAAAATAAAAATTTTTTTTTTTCAAAAATTTAAAAGTTCAAAAGTTTTGCAGATACCAGTGATTACGAAGGCACTTTATGATCAAACTGTTAAATCTGGTGAAATGGCTAATTTTGAGGTATCTGTTGAATCAAATGAAATTATTACAGAATGGTATAGCAATGGGAAACAATTAATCGATGGAATGCCAGGTGTTTCTTTGTTTTTTAAAAAAATATTTTTTAGAATAAATTCTTTAGAATAAGTTGTTTTTCTTTTTTTTTTTTTTGAATTTTCATTTTATTTTTTTTAAAGATTGCATTGAAATGCATTTAAATGTTCAAAAATTATATTTTCTAAATATATATGTAAAAATTTAATAATAAAAAAACTGAATTAATTACTCTTTTTTTTTTTTTTTTGCAGGAGTAAAAATTTCACATCAAAATTCCAATTTTATATTAACCATTGATTCGGCTCAATATGCTGGTATTATTACTTTTAAAGCTTCAAATAAAGCTGGTAAAGCGGAAAGTAGTGCAAATTTAATTGCAATTCAAGAAAAGATTATCCAGAAAGCACCGGAATTCCTGAATGCACTCAGTGATATTTCGGTGAAAGAAGGTGATAAAGTTGAAGTTACTATTGAATCAACTGGTAATGCTACTTTTGAATGGACATTGAACGAGAAAATATTACAGGTAAAAAAAAAAAAAAAAAAAAAAAAAAAAAATTGAAAAAAAATAAAAAAAAATGCGAATTGAATTTTTAAATTTGAATTTGTTATGAAATAATTTAGAAATTAAATCTAAACTAAAATTATAAAAGAGATAATATTTCTATGAATTATGTATTTATTACTTTTAAATATTTCTAAAAAAAAAAAAGAAAAATCGAATGGTTTTGCAGAATGGTATTGGAGGTATTACAATTAGAAATGAAGAAAGTAAAAGTATTCTGATATTCGATCAAGTTACACTACAACAAGCTGGTAACATTAAGGTAATAGCAAGTAATGAAGGTGGACAAGCATTCTCATCATTTAATATGACTGTCACTGAAAAGGACATTGCACCTGAAATTATTGCAGGTAAAATTTATTAATTAAATTTCATTTCATTTTATATTTCAAATATCTTTTTACTGTTGTAAGTGAAAAAAGATTTTAATTTCAAAAAAAAAAAAAAAAAGGCTTTAAATTTTGCTTTTTTAAATATCTGTAATGTTAAGGTGTCCTCCTTAATTTTCATTTTATCACTTTTTGGTAATTTATCATAAATTATTTTACCGGAAATTTTCTTAGATAATTTTCAATCATTTAGGACCGAATTCATTATCAATTAAAGAGAATGATACAGCTGAATTTCGGGTTGAAATAACTGGAAAACCTACACCAATAGTGAAATGGCAATTAAACGGACGTGAACTATCATCATCATCAGATACAAATATTACAATTAAATCATTTGAAGAAATTTATATTTTAAAAATTGAAAAAGCAAACGTGAAACACGCTGGTGAAGTAGTTGTTACCGCAGAAAATGCAGCTGGTATGGTTGGCAAGGAAGTGGTTTTAAAAGTGCGTAATTTTTTGTTTTCATTTGAGAAATTATAGAAATGTTAAATAAATAAACAAATATTACAAATTAATAGTTTAAATTTAAAATTGAATAAATTAAAATTTTCTAGAATTTTTTAACAAATATATCTTTAATTTTACATTGAAATTTTTAACTTTTTTAAATTTTTTGTTGGAAAAATTTTAAAATTTATTTTTTTTTATTTATTTATTTACTTATTTTTTTTTAGGTTGAACCAGATGTAACAAAGCCAATATTTAAAACTCATTTAATTGATCGTAGTGTTAATGAAGGTGAACCATTACGATGGGATATTGCAATTGAACGTCCATATAAAGGTGTCACAGTTAAATGGTTTTTAAACGGCAAAGAATTAACAAATAATGAAAATGTACAAATTATAGATGATGGTATGTGCATTTTTTTTTAAATAAATTTTTTAATTTAATTAAACTTTTAATCTTAAAAGGTTTTAAATTTAATAAATTTTCAATTTCGCAAAGTTTTAAATTTAATAAATTTTTAATTTTATAAACTTTTAAATTTAATAAATTTTTAATTTTATAAACTTTTAAATTTAATAAACTTTTAATTTTATAAACTTTTAAATTTAATAAACTTTTGATTTTCAGCAACTTTTAAATTTAATAAACTTTTAATTTCATAATCATAAAAAAAAATTCAATTATTTGAAGAAAAAAAAAAAAAAAAAGAAAGTTCAAGATTAAATAATACTATTGAGATTGGTAAATTTTGAAAAATTATTACTTTCAAATATTTAATTGTAAATTAATATCAATTTTTAATTAATATCAATTTTCAGGTGAAGGTAAATATCATATAACTATAAATGAAGCTAAATCAGATATGTGTGGAACATTAATTGTTAAAGCAACAAACACCTATGGTACAAGTGAATCACATGCATTTGTTGATGTTAAAGAAGTTAATCGGAAACCGGAAATTATACGACAACCGCAAGATCATACGGTTGAGGAAAATGAAACTGTAAAATTTAGTGCTATCATTTTTGGAAAGCCAACGCCAACTATTAATTGGTATATGGATGAAATGAAATTAGTGAATAGCAGTGAAATTGGTGTTAAATTTGATGAAATCACTGGAAAAACATCAATTAAAATTTTCAAAGCAAATTTAACTGATAGTGGAAAGAAGGTATTATTTTAAAAAATATTCCACGATAATTTCATATTTTAAACGATACTTTTGTGAAATTCTAATGATAGTAAAAAATGGTAATTAAATGAATATAAACTATCACAAATATTATAATTAAATTCATATTTTAAAAATTCAACAAGCAAATGTGAAGATTTTTTCATTTGTTAATTTAATTTAGATTACAATGAAAGCGAAAAATACAGAAGGTGAAGTAGAAGCAAGTGCAATTTTAACTGTTAACAAAAAATCGGAACCACCAAATATTTTAACTGAAATGAAAAGTCGTCAAGTAAATGAAGGTGAAACAGTAAATTTTTCAATTAAAGTAACCGGTTATCCAATTCCGGAAGTAGCATGGTTTCATAATGGTGAACCAATTGTACCTAGCAGGTATGTTGTTTAGCATTTTGTATTTGTTACCAAAAATTATTTATTATTTTTGTTTTTTCATTTATTAGAGTGTTTTTAATAGTTAATTTGCAATGATTTAGATTAATTTAATATAAAATAATAATTTTTTTTTAAAATAAAAACAATAATTATTAATTTAATATGAAATAATAATAAGTCAATTACAAAATTTTATTGCACTAACAATTTCATTTTGAAATAATCAAATTTCAATTCAAATTTTAGTAATATCAAAATTACTGAAGAGGATGGTATGCATACATTGGTATTAAATGATGTTCTACCGGAACAAAGTGGTGAAATTTCATGTGAAGCAAGAAATAGTGTCGGATCTAAAAAGCAATTAGCAACATTAGCAATTAAACCAACCGGAAAAGCACCATTTTTTGAGAGAAATATCGAAGATAAATTGGTGGTAGAAGGAGAAGAATTAATTATGGATGCAAAACTTGCTGAGGTTTTAATCATTATATCAAATTATTGTCAAATTATTTTTAATCAATATTTCATATTATTTTTACAAATTATAGTAATATAAATTAAAGATATCTCTCAATTAGATACTTCTAATCATCTGGTGATAAAGATGATAAGAATGAATACTTCTAATGATAGCAAACAATTAATTTAAGTTTGAATTTTTGTTAATTGTTTTCTTTTTTTTTTTCAAAAAAAAAAAGTTCAAATTGCTTTGTAAATTTTAGGTGAAACCATTTCCCACAATAACATGGTTAAAAGATGGTAAACCATTGCAAAATGATCGTTTTAAATTAAGTCGAGAAGATGATGGAACACTGAAATTGAAAATTGATTCCGTTGAACTGGATGATAAATCACGAATTACAATCCGAGCTGAAAATCAATTTGGATCAGCTGGTATGTAAATAATATCAAAACGATGAGTAAAATTTAAATTTCATTAGTTTTTTTTTTTTTCTTTGCTTTGAAAAATTACAATTTATTCATTTGTATCTTAATTATTTGATTTTTGATCTTTAATTACTTAAAAAGCACTAAAATTAGTTTAAAAAATGTTTGGTGAGGTAATGCAAAAGAAAAAAAAAACTCAAATATATTGAGAAATTATTGCATATTCAAAATTAATTTACTATTGTTTTTGTTTGAATTAAAAATATAAAATTAGACGGAAAACAAAAAAAAAAAAGTATGGAAAAATAGTTCTCATTAATTTTTTTAATTGTTTTGCATCATTTTCTTTTTTTTTTTTTAAATTTCAATTTAATTCAAATAAGATTCCACTTGAATAAACAGATTGTTCGGCATCAATTGGTGTAACTAAGAAGCGACCGATAGCAAAACCGGCTTTCTTATCCGATATACCGGCAACTACGATCACTGAAGGAGAATCTTTGAATGTTAAAGTAATTATCACCGGTGATCCTACACCATTTACTAAATGGTATATCAATGATCAGGTACCTTTTTTTTTTTTTTTTAAATTTTCAAAAATGTCAAATTATTATTTAATTTGTCTTTTATTCATTATTATCTTATCATACTTCATTTATTCTAATAGTAATCTCTACTTGATGCTAAATTTTTTTTTTTTTTTTTGCTCGCAAATTTTTAGCTAAATAAAGTTTATGAAAAAGTCAAACCATTAGCTAAGATTTACTAACAAAGTTTCAAATTAATTTTGATTTTATAAAAATTCAAAAATGACAAATGTTTACAGCTTGTAATAGCAACTGAGGATACAGAAATGAAAGAAGAAAATGGTGTATATTCGTTGACAATTCATGGTTGCACCAAAGATATGACTGGTACCATTAAATGTATTGCATATAATAAAGCTGGTGAGGTAACAGCACAAGGTAGTCTTACTGTTTTGACACCAATACCGGTGGAATTTGAAACCTCACTTTGTGATGCTGTATGTCGTGAAGGTGATACATTAAAATTGAAAGCTGTATTAATGGGTGAACCAACACCAGAAGTTTCATGGTTAGTTTAATATTTTGGTGTAAAAAAAAAAAACCCTCATTAATTTAAATTTTTAACATTTCAATAAATTAATTTTTTTTTTTTTTTTTTGCACTAAATTATCTAATAGAAGGTGTACCAAAAATAAAAATGAAATTTGAAATTAAATTTAAATTTTAATAACAAAATGTTTTAAATTAAATTATTAATTAAAGGTATGTGAATGGAAAAAAATTGGAAGAATCACAAAATATTAAAATACATGCAGAAAAAGGAACTTATACAGTTACGATTAGAAATATCACATGTGATTATTCTGGAAAGGTATTGATATTAACAAAAAAATTTGTTTGACAATTTTTATGCTTAAATTTTATCATTTTGAAATTAATTCCGGAAGTTTTTTTCCGGAAACTTTTTTTTTTTTTTTTTCATAAAAGGAAAATTATTTATTTTTTAAAATTTTAGGTTGTATGTGAAGCAGTAAATGAGTATGGTAAAGCAGTGTCAGAAGCATCACTTCTGGTATTACCACGTGGTGAACCACCAGATTTTATTGAATGGCTTAGCAATGTGAAAGCACGACAAGGGTCACAGGTCACTCATAAGGTAAGCTTATAAATAATTTGTAATGAAAAGGAAATTTTACCAACAATTTTAAATATTTATTAAAAGTTTGTGATAATTACGAGAAATCTGATTAACAGAGTTTACTGATACGATTGAAACATTAATTAATGATTAAAGACTTAAATTAGAAAAAACAAAAATGAATTATATTTTATAATTAGTTACAAAATAAGTTAATTTAGCATACTTTTGCTTTTTTTTTTTCTTTTATGTTAATATCTATTTTTTTTTTGTTAATATCTATTTTTTGCTTTTTTTATGTTAATATCGTTTGCTTAACAAAATTCAAACAAAATTTCTTAAAATTACTTTCTTCAACTTTTTTTTTTCTTTTTTTTTTTAAAAAAAATTAAAAAATAATATTTAATTTTTAGGTAGTTTTTACCGGTGATCCAAAACCAAATCTTACTTGGTATATCAACAATGAAGAAATGAAAAATAGTGATGAAATTATTATTGTTACGGATGAGAATACATCAACGCTAGTGATCAAAAATTTTAATCAGGAAAAGCATACCGGTGAAATTATTTGTAAAGCTGAAAATGATGCTGGTGAAGTATCCTGTACAGCTAGCATGGGTGTAAGTAATTCTGCAAATTTATAATTAGTAAAATTTTCAATTTGAATAATTTTTACAAATGTCAATATTTGAAAAATAACTAGCTAGCAAATTTTATAGATTGTCAATGTTTGCAAAGCATTGAATTAATTATGGATTTTTAAAATTTTTTAAATAAATTATTTTTCAATTTTTGTTTAATTTATTAATAAATTAAATTTTTAGCCTTACACCTCAGATATATTCTCGGAATCACAAACGGAATCTGAAGCAATGGCCGAAGAGGTGCTTAACTTTGAAGAGGGTCCTGAATTTGGTCTGTTAATATTGAAATAATTATTAAAACGAATTTTAATTTGCTTTTCAAATTTTTAAATTGTAAATATTATACTGCAAAATAATTCCAAAAGAATTTTTTAATTTTTACATATTTTATGCTTATTTCATTCGTAAATCATTTCAGGTACGGAAATTGATTCCATTGAAGAATTTCAACGTACGCCTACACCAATTATGGCTCCAAAATTCATTACTAAAATTAAGGATACTCGAGCAGCACGTGGACATCAAGCAATCTTTGAATGTGTTGTTCCGGATACCAAAGGTGTTTGTTGTAAGTGGTAAGTTTTTAAATTTTACTTCTTTTCTGTGTTGAAGTAATCTTGACATAATTTTGACCGGAATATCTAAATCGGATTTATATTCTGTAGTATTTCAGTTAATTTTAGTGTATTTTCTTTTCAGGTTGAAAGATGGCCGTGAGATAGAACTAATTGCAAGAATTCGTGTACAAACTCGAACTATCGAAGGTTATGTAACTAGTGAACTGATCATTGATAATGTTATACCGGAAGATGCCGGAAAATACACCGTTGTGGTGGAAAATGTTGCCGGCACAGATTCTTGTGAAGCAAATCTGAATGTAATCGGTATGTGTACACAATACTCAAATATGATTTCAAATTTTAAATTCATTAATCGAATTTAAAAAATTTTAACTTTTGTTTTTCTTCTAATTTTTTTTTTTAGTTAATAACTTTTATTTGATTAAAAACAAAAAAAAAAAAAAGAAAAAAAAATGAGCATTAATTGGTAATTTCATTTCATTTTAAAAAGCTATATTAAAGAATCATTTTTTTTTTTCAGAAGTACTTATGAAACCGGAAACATGCGCACCGGAATTTGTTGTTGCTATACAAGATAAAACATGCAATGAAGCGGAAAAAGTTATTTTCGAATGTAAAGTAATCGGTGAACCACAACCAACCGTTTCATGGTTTCATGAAAAGGTTCCTATTTATGTTCTAATAATTGAATTTGAAAAATTTACAAAATCGATTTATTGATAAAATAGAATTTCGTTGAATTTAATTCTTAAATTGATAAACTATTTTTTTTTTTTTTTTAGACTGCTATAGTTGAGGAAGCAAGTAAAACAATTATTGAATCGGAAGGTGCTATTCAACGATTAGTAATTGTCTCAGCTGATGTTATTGACCGAGGACAATATATATGCTTGGCTGAAAATGTTGAAGGCAAAGCAGAATCTAAGGCAATTCTTACTGTCTTGGGTAAGTTCACAAATTAAAATATTACTAATGTTGGTGACAATAGGTTGACAATGTAGTAGCGGTAAGAATATTCTTCCTGATTTATATTAGATGAAATTAATTAATATAGTCTCTTCTACATTTACATTTCATTCTCTTCCAATTTCCTTTTGTAAAAAAAAAAAAAAAAAAAAAAGATTACATTATAGGAAATAAATATTTAAGTATTAAAATTGAATATAAAATTAGATTAGAAATGATAATATCATTTGAATGAAATAAATAATTTAACGGCCTGTTACTTCTTTTATTATCCTTGGGCTTTTCATTACTGGGCAATCTCTTTCTTCAACCAACCAACCAACCACCTGTTTCTTTGTTTTCAGCTGAAGCGCCACAATTTACTCGTCACATCAGTTCTAAAGAAGTAAGCATAGGTGAGAAAGTAATTTTGGATTGTTCTGTTAAAGGTTCACCCCAACCAATAGTACAATTTTATCGGGAATCTACCCGAATTATTTCCGATTCTCATCATTTTATCGAACATGATAGCTCGAATGTACACTGGAGAATGGTAATTGAGAAAACGGAAGAATCAGATTTCCGGAAGTATCACGCTGTTGCAATTAACTCGGTTGGTATGGCAGAATCAGAAGCAGAAATTAGGCAGAAAGAAATGAATCGAAAACTAGAATTAACCGGAGTGCTTAAGGATCGAAAAGTTACGGAAGGTGATGAAGTTATTATGGAGGTAAAATTCTCCGGTATTATACCATCAGACGTTAAATGGTTCAAAGATAGCAAGGAAGTTGTGGAAGAAAGAGAAAAAGTTATAATAAAAACTGAAGAAGGACGATCTACACTGATCATTAAAAATGCAAAACCGGAAGCAAGCGGAAATTATCGGGTTGAATTGATTGATTCGGAATGTAAGGAGACGTCAAGTGCTACTGTTACAGTGGAATCTGCTGCTATACCACCGCAATTCACAGAAATGCTAACCGATGTTGAAGTTCATGAACTGGAAACAACGGAAATGAAGGTAACTGCAACCGGAGTACCTACACCTGAGATACAATGGTTCAAAAATGATGTGCCGGTACAAATCGACAGTGAACGAATATTCGTCCGAGAAACCGGAACCGGTCAGCATATTTTAACCATTAAGCAGATGCAAATGGAAGATGCTGGTGTTTATTCATGTAAAGCATCTAATAAGGCAGGTTCTGAAGAATGCAAAGCAAATTTTGCGGTACTTGAAGTTTTGCAAGAGCCAAGGTTTACCAAAGAATTATCCGAAATTAAGGTGAAGGAAGTTGAAACTGCTGAACTTGCGGTAACAATAACAGGAAAACCGATACCGGAAGTTTGCTGGATCAAAGATGGAATACCTGTAAATATTGATAATGTTCATTTTGCAACCAAACAAGATGAAAATGGACAACATACCTTGGTAATTAAACAAGCTAGATTAGATGATGCTGGTATTTATTCATGCAAAGCTAGCAATAAAGTTGGTGAAACGGAAACCAAAATTTCATTTGCAGTAGAGCAAGAAATTGAGGTACTACAATTTCTAGAAGAGCTGAAAGAATTTGCGGTGCAAAAAGGTGAAACAGCTGAATTATCGGTAACAGTAATTGGAAAACCAACACCAGAAATAGCATGGTATAAAGATGGAATACCAGTAAACATTGACAACAAACATATTCTAATGAAAACAAATGAACAAGGCCAATCAACATTAATTATTAAGCAAGCTGGTTTAAAAGATAGCGGTGTTTACTCATGCAAAGCTACCAATATAATTGGAATAGCTAAAAGTGAAGCTAAATTTGCGGTTGAAGAATTTCTCGAAGAACCAAAATTCATTGAATGTTTACAAGAGGTTTCAGTGCAAGAAAATGAAACAGCACAACTTTCAGTTACGGTAGTTGGAAAACCACCACCTGAGGTAGTATGGTTGAAAGATGGTGTACCAATTAATATTGATAATGAGCATATCATTTCGAAGAAAGATGAACAAGGACATCATACATTGATAATTAAAGAAGCTCAACTGAAAGATATTGGTACTTACTCATGTAAAGCGATCAATTCAGCTGGTACCAAAGAATTAGAAACAAAATTAGCTGTTATATCAGAATTGATACCACCATTATTTACAGATGAAATTGGTGAATTAGAAATACAGGAAGGTGAAAAAGCCGAATTGAAATGTACCGTTATTGGTAAACCAATACCAGAGGTAACTTGGTTAAGAAATGGTATTGTGATACAGATTGATAATACACATTTCTTTAAAAAAGATGATGAAACTGGAAGACAAACATTAATAATTACTAATGTAAATAGCGAAGATTTTGGTACCTATACATGTATTGCTACAAATTCAGTTGGTAGTGCTGAAATTGCTGGAAAAATTAAATTTCCAAAATATGGTTTTGAAAAGATGCAAGAGGAAGAAGTTAAACCAATGTTTATTGAACCATTAGAAACACATACCGTTAAAGAAGGTGAAACAATCAGTATAAAATGTCGAGTAAATGAAAATGCTGGTGCTGATATTCATTGGTACCTAGGTGATAAGCCAATTGAACCAAATGAACATTTAATGGTGGAAAAACTTGAAAATGGTATTATGAAGCTAATAATTCAAAATGCTACCAAAGAAGATGTTGGTGTATACCGTTGTGAAGCAATTAATAAATCCGGAAAAGCAGCAACAACAGCAAAGCTTAATTTTGCAATTGAGGAAAATTTGGCAGAAGCAGAAGATGAGCTACCTGCTTCAATTGGATTTATTCAACCATTGAGCGATATTGTCACAGCAGATAATTCAACAGCAGAATTGTCATGTGCTTTAAGTGCTACCAGAGGTGATGTTCAGGTACATTGGTCTAAAGATGGTTTAGAAGTATCACCACAACATGTCACCATTGAGCAACTTCATGATGGTACTCAGAAATTAAAAATTGCTAAAGTAACCGCAGAAGATGCTGGAACATATCGATGTACCGCTTCCATTGGTGATTCATCTGCATGGACCGAAGGAAAAATCACCATTCTAGGTTCACAGTATTTTAGGATAATTTCTCATAAAATCTTTTAGGTATTGCTTTCATTTCATATGATAACTGAAAAGCAAATAGATTTTTCGGTTGAAAATTTTTTGAATTTCAAAAGTTTGAACTTTTGTGTTTTTTTTTTTTTTCAATTTTTATATTGAGATTTTGAGAAACATTTGCATCTTAGGAAGCAATCACTTAAAAGATTTCTAATACAGTTAAGATTTAAGCATGCTCAATCACTTTTTTTTTTTTTTTTTATTCTAAGCTTAATAATAATTAAAAACTAATATGCATGCGCATATGTCCAATAAGATTTAAGTTTACATGCTATATTGACAAATAATATTTCTTTTCAACAATTTATATCAGTCAAATTTATAAAAATTAAATTAAATTAAGATTCTTTTGTTGTTGTTTAAAAGCTAAATCTTTTGCTATCTTTATTCCATCTTGGATATTTCCGCTTTTATACTAACTTGATCTCTTGCTATCTGAAGCTTTTCTTTAATCTATTTCAAAATATATTAAATTTTGTTTATTCATTTAATTTCTGGCTATAATTTAATTTTAGAACAAGCAAAAGCAATAGTGCAAGATGAAGGACCACCAGAATTTACGGAACTTTTGAAATCTTGCACAGTAGCTGAAAATGCTGAAATTATCCTTCAATGCAAACTGAAAGGCTTGCCAAAACCAACGATATCCTGGATGAAAGATGGTACCAAGGTAAATGAATTTTACCTGTACGATTTCAAATTAATATTAAAAAAAAAAAAATGTGACAATATAAATTGGATAATTTTACTTCATAAAAGACATCACAGAACTTTTTGACAAAGTTTTAAGATTACAAATTTTAATTTAACATTTTAAACGTAGCAAATAATTAGCAAAAATATTCGTAAAAGTGTAATTAATATTCTGATTGTTAAAAATTAATTTAAGTATAATTCATTTCTGATATTTTTTAGCTATTTGAAATTTGCATCCTAAAAATATGCATGGAAAAATAGTTTTTTATTTTCAGTTGGATCAAAATCATCGTGTAATTACAGAGTACCATGAAGATGGTACCATTATATTGAAAATTAAAAATGCCAGGAAAGAGGATAGTGGTGAATATCGATGTGATGCAGTTAATACATTTGGTGCTGCTTGGACTGCTGGACCTGTTCGGGTTGCAACCGAATCAGAATTACAACGAGAAGGCGAAGCACCTGATTTTATTGAACCGATCAAACCTGTTACTGTAAGGCTTTTAATATATGATTCAAAAATTTTGAATTGCAAGAATTTTATGTTAACAATAAAATCTAAAATTATTTATATTCAATTTTTATTTCTTTTTATTTCAGGTTTCAGTTGGTGAAACAGCAATATTAGAGGGTAAAGTGAAAGGGGAACCAAAACCAGAGATTAAATGGTTTAATGGTGAGAATATTGTGAAGGAAACCTCAAACATTCAGCTAGAAAATCTTCCGGATGGTACTCAAAGACTTACAATTAAAAATGCAACCGTTGATGATACCGGAGAGTATCGTTGTGTTGCAAGTAATCAATACGGTGATGTATGGTGTGATGTTACACTTACCGTTCAAGGTTTTTTTTTTTTGAAATTAAATTTTTTAACCAAATTATTCTCAAATTTTTTGAATGAATCATTGAAAGTCAAAATGAAATCTTTTTTTTTTTTTTTAAATTTCATAGTCTAAAATTATTGGTATATTTAATTTTAGTTCCTATATCAGAGGAAGAAGGTGCAAATGAATATGCAGCACCAACATTTTTGAGAACCTTAGAAGGAATTCATGCTAAAGAATTAGAACATGTTGTATTAGAATGTAAAATTGTTGGTGAACCAATGCCTGAAATTAAATGGTTTAAGGTAGGAGAAATTTTGTATTGTAAATAAATATAGTTTATTTATTTATTTTTTTTTTTTATATATATTTTCTCATAATTAAATTGATCGTTCTCTTTAGATTGTGAAGAATTTCAGAATAAAAAAAAAAAACGAATTTAAAAAACAAAAAGAAAATGAAAAACGAATCATTTTAATCTTTTAATTTGAAAATTTGTAGTATGTTCGTAACTTTTCAAGAATTTTTTAATTAATGTTTCTTCCTTTCTTTTTTTTTTCTTTGATATTTTATTTTATTTTTTAGTATTTTATTTTTAATTTTAGGATAAAGAAGAAATTAGCGCAAATGATACACATTTCAAAAAGGAAACACTTCCGGATGGTACAGCTCGGTTAATTATTGATTCGGTTAATAAGGTATTTAAATTTTTTTTTTCTGGTTTCGATGAAATTGATTGATTGATTTTTTTTTTTTTTTTTTTGAATTTTAATCATTCTATGAGATAAATTATGCAAATTTACTTACAGGATGATACTGGTGAATTCAGATGTGAAGCACAGAATAACTTTGGTACAGCACGTACAGATGCTATGCTAAATGTTTGGTATGATTTTGAGGTACCAGTGCAAAGTGAAATTTCACCAGAATTTGCACAGGAATTGAAAGCAGTACAGGCTACTGAAGGACAACAAATTTCATTTGAATGTCGGTAAGTATCATTTTAGCAATTTATCGCATAAATTTTGTACTTATGAAATTTTTTTAAAAATTTTGAACTGTTGAAAAATATTGCAATAAATAAAATGAGAAATTTAATGAATAATTAGTCAGTTTAAAGTATTATTGATTATATTATCTTTAGAGATTAATATATTTTATTTATTTATTTATTTATTGTTTTAGAGTAGTTGGTGTTCCTGTACCAGAGGTAAAATGGTTTAGAGATGGTGAAGAAGTAAAATCTGATGAACATGTCCGTATCGAAAGTCTACCGGATGGTACCAATCGTTTAGTGATTGATTCAGTTAGTGTTGAAGATCAAGGTAATTATCGATGTGAAGCAACAAATAGCGCCGGATCGATGAGTTCAAAAGCTCCATTAACCGTTCATGGTGAAGTATTTTGCAATAAATAATTTGTATAATCTAATTTTTCAAAATTTTGCATAAAAACCTATGATAAGATTATGTAAATTATAAAAGTTTTTATATTCGAATTAGAATTAAAATTAAAATTTTACAGAACAAAAAAATAAAAAAAGAAAAAAATGATTGAAATCCTTTTAATATCAAAATATTTTAGAAGTGGAAACATTAAAGTTGAAAAAAGGCTTAGCAGATACGAAAGTGGAAATTGGAACTAAGATTCGATTGTTCATTGAAATTGAAGGAAAACCAAAAACAGTACGATGGTTTCATGGAAAGGATGAAATTAAAGCAAACAAGTTTGGATGAATTTTTTTTTTTTTTTTTTTTGTTTTTTAACAAACTGAAAATTTGATGATAAGAGATAGTAGGAGAATTGATAAAAGATAAAAAAGGATTAAGAAATTTTGTACTGAAATAAGCTAATATCTGTTATCAGAAATGGTTTAAGGTGAAAATTTGACAGAATTGATTTTAGTTTTTTTTTTTTTTTTTTTTTTTTTTTTGCAAATTTTTTCCTTCTATACTTATAATCTAATAATTTTTGAAGAAATTTTTCTAATTAAAATTACGGAATAATAAAACTATTTTTAGACGAACAAAACTGGAAACAATTACGCAAAATGAGTATAGCTTAGAAACTGATAAAGCGGAAAGTTCAGATGAAGGTACTTATCGTGTAGTTTTATCAACTGATACGGAAATGGTTGAATCGTCATGTGCAGTAACCGTATTCAAACATGAAACAGTACCAGTATTTCGGAAAGGTCTTCAGGATCAGAATGTACCGAAAGGAACCAAGCTTGTCCTTGAGGTAGACAGTTTCATATTGTCAACAGAAATGATTTTGCCATGAATTTAAAAGGAAAAAAAAAAATTAAAATTTAGGATTGAATTATGAAATTTTTGGATTAAAAAATTCCATTTTATAGCAATAATTGTAAAAAATCAAGCAATTTAAATCAAACTAAAATTTAGATAATAAATTATGCTAGTTTATGCATTTCGAACGGAACATTTTATGCTAAAATTTGAATTTTTAGATCGAATTAGATGGTACACCGAAACAGATTAAATGGTTAAAATCCGGTATACCGATTAATGATAAAATAATGAAAGCGAAAGATCTTGGTAATGGAAAGTATCAGTTAGTAATAGATGAAATTAAGGAAAATGATACCGGTGAATATACCGTACAGGTATCTAACGATGCCGGAATAATCGAATCAAAAGCAAATATTACTCTAAAAAAAGGTACCATAATTTACAATTATTTCTTTTGATAAAATAATTGTAAATTTCGTTTATAAAATAAATTTTCAGAGAAACCGGAAATTATCAGTAAATTAAAGCCAGTAACAGTTGAAGTTGGTGAAAAAGTAACATTTGAAGTGGAAACTAAAGGAACAATTAAACAAGTTAAATGGTTAGTTATTGAAATAAATTATAGTATACTTTTTTTTTTTAAAAAAAAAAAATAGATTTTAAACAAATTGTAAATTTATGAATTTTTTTTTTTTGATTTCCAAAAAAGGAAATTTGTTGTTTTTGTCGCGGATTATTCAATTCAGTTTGAAATGAAAATACGAAATCGTTAACTCATTGTAAGAGCAAAATATTCCGGAATTTTTTTTTTTTTTTAGGTATAAGAATGGCGTAGAAGCAAAAAATGTTGAAACGAAGAAAATCGGTGATAACAAATATCAGTTAATTATTGATAAGGCAACAAAAGACGACGAAGCTGAATATAAGGTTTAACACTTTAAAAAAGACTTTAAATAACCAAAAGTAAATAAATTATAGAATAAATAAATCAATAATTTAAATTATTTGAATGTCGTATATATTAACAGGAAATTTCTAGAATTTTCGATTAATCCTCATCCAATATTTTTTATTTAATGTAGTTTTAATTACAAATTATTTGAATATTTTTTGGTTTACTCAAATTTTAATAATGATTTGATCAAGTTTATTTTGAAAAAAAAAATTAATTTTAGCCTAAAATAAAAAAAAAAAAAAAAGTTTTAGCCTAATTTTTTTTTGCAGGTTGTGTTGTCAAATGAAGAAGGTGATGCCGAGTCATCAGCTAAACTTACCGTAAAACTACCAAAAATTGAATTTACTAAAAGTTTAGAGGACCAAACGGTTGATGCTGGTACCAAGGCTGTTCTAAGCATCGAAGTTAATTTACCTCCAAAACAAGTTAAATGGTAAATGATAATCTTTCAAAAGTTTTTTTTTTTTTTTTAATGTTAATTAACTTTTCTAAACAAATTAGTGATGCGACAATAATTCAATGGAAATCTAAGATAAATATAAATTTTGAGGTACAAGAACGGCAAAGAAATCACTGGAAGTGATAAGGCTAAACCGAATAAGTCCAATGATAATACTTATCAATTGTTGATACCAGATGCAGGCAAAGATGATACTGCTGAATATAAAGTACGCTTCAGTTTTGTACTTATCAGAGTTTCTTTTTTGTTTATTTTAATTTTGAAATTGCTAAGAGCAATAATTTATTTGAATATCTGATCATTTGTTAACTCGAAGACACATTTCAAATTCAGTTGTCTATTTATCAGTCTTATCACTTATCAGTCTTATCTTCTCAATCTGTTAACTTCAGGTTGTACTTATCACTGATGATGAAACTGTCGATTCTTCTTGTGCGTTAACAGTAAAGTTACCAAAGTTAATTATTATAAGAGGCTTAGAAAATCAATCTGTTAATGCTGGTGAAAAAGTATTACTTGGTGTCGAGGTTAATACGCCACCGAAATCGGTTAAATGGTAAGCAAACCTGTTCAAGCTATTATTACCTGTTCCGGTAAAGCAACGATCAGATCAAAAAATTAAGCACAAAATTTATTCTTACGTATTTTAAGCACTTTCTTATGCTTATTTTTAGGTATAAAAATGGTAGAGAAATTGGCTCAGATGATAAGGCAAAACCGATAAAAGTTAATGATAAGAATTATCAACTTGAAATATCTAATGCTACAGAAGATGATGCTTTTGATTATAAGGTTTGCAAAAGTTTTTTAATATTCCTTTTTTTTTTGCATAAATATTAAGCATTTGAAATAATAAATTGAAATTTTACTCTTTTATCAATTTCAGATTATACTTTCAAATGAGGAAGATAGTGTGGAATCGAGTTGCACGTTAACAGTTAAAAAACCAATTGAAAAACCATCAATCAAAAAAGGAATTGAGGATCAGTTTATTGCAATTGGAAAATCTCTGGAAATTGCAATTGAGGTTACTTAATTTATTTTCTTTACCACTTTTTGTTTTTTTTTTTTAATTTTGAAAAATTTCAAAATTTAAAACTTGTATTGAAGTGTTGAGTTGAAGATTTTTAAATTTTTTTTTTTAGCGCCTTCAATTTTTAAAAATTTTTAAAAATTAACCAAGAAAATAGCAATACTTGTGAAATAATTTTACAGACAAAAGGTGAGCCAAAAGTTGTAAAATGGTATAAAAATGGGCAGTTATTATCAGGCGAAACAAGTAAAACAGTTAAAACAGATAAGATTGATGATAACAATTATGTGTTAAAAGTCGAGAAATGTACTTTGGATGATAGTGGTACTTATTCGGTTGAAGTACAAAATGAAGCAGGTCAAGCTAAAAGTTCAGGCGAGGTAATTTAATTTCTCTTCGTTTTTTCATTATCTTTGCTAATATTGTTATTATCTTTTCATTATCAATCTTTTATCAGTTAGCTAAACTTTTCACTATCTCTTCATTATCAGTCTTTCATTAATTAGCTAACTGATATCAGCAATTTCTACAATTTAATTAGTATTATCAATTGTAACATTTATATCACTGATAATATATGACATTTGAATATATTTATTTATACTATTTTGTTGCTATCAAAAAATTTGATTAATCCTATTTTAATTTCAAATTTTATCAGAGAACTTTCTAGATAATCGTCGAAGATAAGCTAAGCTTTTTGACACCATTGGAAGATATTGAAGTGATTGAAGCTGAACAAGCGGTATTTATGGTTGAAACAAATGTTCATCCACGAATTGTTAAATGGTATAAAAATGGCCAAGAAATTAAGGCTGTAAGTGGTCGAATCGAAATGAAAGATAATACGACGAGATTTCAACTTATCATTAAAAAAGCTGAAAGTGATGATAAAGCTGATTATAAGGTATTTATAAGCATATTCAAATAACAGTATTCTTTACTAGTATATATCTTAATCATTCAATTGATTATTTTTTAATGCTTTCTGTTAATTTTAAAATATTAATGTCAAAAATTTTTTTTTTTTTTGTTATTTGTAAAGGATTTTTGAAAGAAATTAATTTCTTTGAAACTCTACGATTGTCTCTAAAAGATTTTAATGATTGAATTTCACAGTTTAATAGTAATTTAGTGTGTGAAAAAGCTATCTTCTTATTTTTTTGAAATATTTTTTTTTTATAATTTTAGGTTGTCTTATCGAATAGCGCCGGAGATTTGGAATCATCAGCAAAATTAACAGTGAAAAAATCAAAGGGTCAACCAAAAATTATTAAAGGTTTAGAAGATCAGGTAACTCTTAATTTTTTGTTTTTTTTTTCTTCTAAATTCTAGATTAAAATAAATGATATTGAATTAAGTTCTAAATCGATGAAAATAGAAAAAAAAATTTTTTGAAAAATAAACAAAGATTTTGATTATTCAAGATTGAATGAATTACTCATATTTATTCAGGTTATTGCAAAAGGTGATCAATTGATACTGGAAATTAAGGTGGATGAAGAACCAACTGAAGTTCGATGGCTCAAAAATGGCATTGCACTTCCGAAAAATGTTGATGCTAAAATTGAAAAAGTTGATGAGCAATTGTGAGCAATTTTAATTTACAATCTGATTTGAAGAAATAAATCATTTTAATTCATTTTCAATTACAGTCTATAAAATTTTGTCTCATTTGTTTTATTAATTAAAATTTAATTTAACTAAATTTTTTTAAATTAATGTTACTTTTAAAACTTTAAAGTATCATTTAGAATAGCTTTTCTAGGTATCGTTTAACAATTCCACAAGTTGATACTACCGATGCAGGTGCATATAGTGTTGAAGTAATTAATGAAGTTGGCAAAGTGCAAAGTACTGGCAATGTGGATGTTGATTTAAAGCCTGAAATTGTTAAAGGCCTAGAAGATTGTGAAGTTAATGAAGGTGATGAGCAATTGTTCAAGGTTGAAACAAATGTACCTGTTCGAGAAGTTAAATGGTAAAATTTCATTCTCATTTTATCAATTAACAATTTAAATATACAGGTTTATTCAATTTGTACAAGTTTGATTTTCTATTAAATTTTATTTTAAATTTGATGCTAAAAATTGAAATCTTTATTTGATCTGTTCAAATTATAATTTTTATTGTTAATTTTAGGTATAAGAATGGTCAAGAAATAAAGCCTTCACCAAAGACAATTACGAAACAAATTACTTCGAAAAAGTTTGAACTTATTGTTCCTGAAGCATCAATAGACGATACTGCCACCTATAAGGTATCTCTTTTTTTAAATTTAAATATTGAAATTAAAATATTTTTGAGTTTAAAAGCATTAGATGGATTTTGCATTGATCTATTAAAGAAGATCAATTATTCTTATATCTTTTTAGCATATTAGAAAAAATATAAATTAAATAACTTTTAAATGAATCATTTTGCAAAGGCAAAATAATAATGAATTAACTAAGCAGAATAAATGTAATTCAATTCAATTATTACCTGTAGCAGATTTTAATAAGTTCATTTATTTCAGGTAATGCTAAGTAATAAAGCTGGCACTTGTGATTCATCAGCTAATTTAACTGTTGTAAAGCCTAATGTGCTAAAAGTTCTTGAAAATTTGAAAGATGTTGAAGTAAATGAAGGTGAACCGATCAAACTTTCCATAAAAGTTGAAGGACAACCAAAAACTGTCAAATGGTTCAAAAATGGCCAAGAAATTAAGCCAGATGATCGTGTGCAAATTGTAAGTATCTGCTAATCAAAGTATTAACTTTTTAGTATTTTAAACTTTTCATTTTTAAATATATCAATTTTTTTTTTCCTAATCCTGAAATATGCAATGAAATTTAATTGTAGTTATTCATTTGTTTATTTATTTTTCCAGTTTATCTTTTGTGCATATTATAATTTTGAAAAAAATTAATTTTGCAGACAGAAAATCCTGAAACTGGTGTGTATACGTTAACAATACCGGAAAGTTTAGCATCAGATGATGCCGCATATCGTGTGGTACTGTCGAATAGACTTGGAGAAGTGCAAAGTGGCTCTATCAGTCGTGTCAAATGTAAAACTTTGTTGAATTATCTTTTTAGGCAAATAAGTTTAAAAAATTTAAATTTCAAAAAATTTTCATCTGTAGTATTAGTTGGATTTTGGAAAGTTTTGAAATTAAATTATGAATGATAAAATTTGAATAATTTTTAGCAAAGAAAATAGAACCAATCATAAGTGCAGCAACTTTTATTACACCATTGGAAGATGTTGTTTTACCAGAAGGTGCCAATTTAACTCTAAAATGTAAAGTATCCGGTGAGCCAACACCAACACTTAAATGGTTTGTACTTTTTAATTATATTAGATTTAAAGTAATATAAAGTTATGTCTTAGGATTACTTCACAGCTATGTAAATTTTCATTTTAGAAAGCACACAAATAATGCATAATATACTGCAAAATTTAAAATTAATTCATTTTGATTATAATATTAACAAAAATTCAAGTTTGAAAAAAAAAAAAAAAAATCATATTTCAGGTATAAAAATGGTAACGAAATTATTAAAAATGATCGTATTGTAATGCGTATGGCATTAGATGGTACAGCAACGTTACGTATTCTGGATAGTAAGAAGGACGATACCGGTAGATATACGGTTACAGCAATTAATTCAGCTGGTGAATCGAAATCTGAATGTAGTGTTCAAATCTTAGACAGTGACGAATTACCATCAGAACCGAAATTTGTTATTCCGCTTAAAGATGTGGTAGCAGAAATTGGTACCAAAGCTGAATTCAATGTTAAAGTTCGTGGTATACCAAAACCTACACTTAAATGGTATATATTCTAATTTTTATGAAATTTTTTCTTTTTTTTTTTTAGTTTGACTCATTAGTTTTAGACAGTTTGATTTTTTCATTGAATTTTTTCATACTTCAATCAATATATCAGTAGTGATAAATATAGAAAACAAAAAAAAAAAAACAAATTAATTAAAATATCATAATTTTTAGGTTTCTTAGGGTTTTTTTTTTTTTCTTTTTGGGTTACTTAATAATATGATAATTTTAGGTTAATTGCTAATCAAGATGTGTCACATTTGGATGGTATTAAAATTGAAGATTTAAATGATGGTAATTGGACTATGATTATTGAAAATGTTACTGAAGCATTTATTGGTCGTATTAAATGTATTGCAATGAATGAACATGGCAAAACAGAATGCGAATCACAACTAATTCAAACTGAGTCAAAAATTGGAAAAGTAAAAAGTGACGAAGGTTATCCACCAAAATTCAATGTACCATTATGGGATCGACGAATACTGGAGGGACAAGTTACAACAATTGAATGTCATGTTGATGCTAAACCAATTGCTAATATTATTTGGACAAAGGTAAACATTTATTAATTTTTAAAAATTAAAATTAATAAATAAATGTTTTGCATGGAAAGTTTTTTGTTTTTTTTTTCAGGATGGTATTACTTTAACAGAATCAGATCGTATTGAAATTCGTAATACACCAGATGGTGCATGTCGTATACGAATTAATAATTTTTGTGATGATGATGTTGGTACCTATAAATGTACTGCTACAAATACATTTGGTGTTGCTGATACACGATCAAATCTTAATATTCAAAGTTAGTGAAATTTTCATATTTTTTTTTTCTAAATTTTTTAAATAAATATTTTAATTTGATTTTTTTTTTAGGCTCAAATAAACAAATTTTTAGTTTTAATTGAAATAAAAAAAAAAAAAGTGTGTAAAAATTTTTTAGTAAAAGAAAAAGAAGAAATAGTAGCAAAAAAAGAATTTCCTCCACGTTTCAATCCACCACTTATGGATAAATTTGCGGATATCGATGAGACAGTCCGTCTATCCTGTAAAGTTGATGCATCACCAAAAGCAGCTATAACCTGGTATAAGGATGGAGTACCATTACGGAGTAATAATCGTATTATCATCGAGAATGATAACGATGGTAATTGTTTGTTGACAATCAATCATAGCACCGAATCGGATGATGGCGCTTATCGTTGTGTTGCTATCAATGATATTGGTTTGTTTATTTATTTGTTTGTTTGTTTGTTTGTTTATTTTTTCATTCCTCTTTTTTTTTCTAGTATTTTACTATAAAATTTCATTTCAGATTATGAAATTTGTAGTTTTTTGTTTTAATTAAGAAAATTTAAATATTCAAATGCAAAAAAAAAAAGAATTTGAAATTTAAATCTTAATGAAAGAATAATAATTTTAATACCATATTAACTTTAATCACTTTTAAATTTTTGAAAGGAAAAAAAAAAAAAACAAAACAAAACAAATTTTGATAGGATTTTATTATAGGTAGCTGTAATTCAGCTTGTATGGTATCTATTCGTAAGATAAAAGAAGAAATTAAAAAAGAAGGTGAAGAACCATTTTTCACCAAAGGTTTGGTGGATAAATGGTTGGAACGTGGTGATAAGTTAATCTTACAATGTACCGTAATTGGTGAACCAAAACCAGAAATTCGATGGTATAATTATAGTTTTAATTTCTTATAATTAGTTTGAAAAAAAAAAAAAAAAAAAAAAAAGGAAAAAAAGAAAGATTAAATTTTCATAAAAATATTCATATATAAAATTTTAATTTTGAAAAATTATAATTTTTATTGTTTCTTTTTTAATTTCAAAGGTATCGTAATGGAATTTTATTACGATCAAATAACAAAATTAACATTGAAAATACATCGGATGGTTTATGCACATTAACAATTGATGAATGCGCAATGTGTGATGAAGGAATTTATCGTTGTGATGCTGAAAATTGTAATGGAAAAGCACGAACACAATCAACTATACATATTGAAAGTTAGTTTAAATTAAATTTTGATAGTACTAATTTTGAAATGATTAAATTTTAGAGCAAAAAAAAATTTTTTTTTTAAGTAAATTATTTGAATTTTTCTTTTTTTTTTTTTTGCAGGACCAATTGAAAAACTGGAAAAGAAGGTTGTCGAAGGTGAAGCACCACGGTTTATCATACCACTTCAGGATATAACAGTTTATACCGGTTCCACAATTGATTTAGAATGTAAAGTAGTTGGTGATCCAATGCCAGCAATTAAATGGTAAATTTAATTGAAATTTAATATATGGGTATTATTATACCTGAAATTACCTAAAATCATTCGTTACTATTATTGCTGGTTAGAATATGCATAGTAGTTGAGAGTTCAAAAATTTTTGTAATTTTTTAATTCAGGTCGAAAGATGGTATGATACTTCGTGATGATTCACGTTATCAATGGGAAATAGATAGTACAGCTGGTACTTATCGGTTGAAGGTTTGAATTTCATTTATTTTATTCGAAAATTTTTAATAAATTTAAAACATTTATAATTCAAGTAATCAATATATTAATTTATTTAAAAATAATTGTGTAATTTTTTAAATTATATATAATTGATGAATAATTTTTCTTTTTTTCTTTTTTTTTTTACAAAAATATTTACCTGTAATGGTATGAAAAAATTTTCTATTTTAGTAATCTATATATTAAAGTATAAATTGAAAATTTTAAACATAGAATTTAAAGAAATTGTTGTTGTTAAAATTATGAATTAATTCAAAAAAAAAAAAAAGTAAATAAATAAATAAATATTTAGATTAATGATGCAAATGTGAATGATGAAGGTGCATATCGATGTGTTGCAACGAATATTGCTGGTTCAGCTACTACAAAATCATTTGTCAGAATAGATGGTATAATATTTCAAAAAAAATAAAAAATAAAATAAAATAAAAAATTTCATCAATTAAACTATTATTTAGATATTTAAACAGTATTTTTAATATTTCAAAAAGAAAAAAAAATTTGTTTAATTAAACTATTATTTAGATATTTAAACAGTATTTTTAATATTTCAAAAAAAAAAAGAAAATTTGTTTAATTAAATTATCATTTAGATATTTAAAATCAGTATTGTTGATTTACAGTACTGGTAGAAATTTGAATTTCTAATTAATTATATGTATTTTTGAAGTATAACTTTTTAGATGGTAGCTTAATTCAAAAGCCATCTTCCAATGAACCACCTCGTTTTAGCATTGCTTTGGGTGATGCACGTGCTGTTGAAGGTATGTTACGTTTAATTACTTTAATTTATTACTTCGACAATTATTTCAAAATTTCATTTTAGAATATTACAGAATAATCTTTTTGAAATTTTACGTAAAGTTTTCTTTTTTTTTTTTTAGGTCAACCGTTGAAATTGGAATGTAAGATTGAAGGAGCACCTTTGACTGATCTTATTTGGTACAAAGATGGTGAACGAATCATTCCTGATGATAGAATTAAGATTGAATCTGATTCAGATGGCCGAACACGTCTTATTATTAAATCATGCATTGCAAATGATGAAGGTATACTTTTATGAATGAATTTTATAATTTTAAAAATATCACTGATAAAAGAGAAATAATTTCAGTTGATTAAATTAATTAAATTTAATTTACTTAATTTTAGGTTTATATCGAGTAATTGCAACAAATCCATTTGGTTCAGCACATAGTAAAGCTACTGCAACAGTTAAAAAAGTGCTCGAAGATGCAACCAATGGTTTTATTGATGGGTAAGGAATTTTTTAAAAATTTAAGAAAAAATAAAATATTAATAGTTTAGTTTTAGAATTTTTTTTTTTCTTCAGATGTTTTCAATAATAGTTTTTCTGAAAAGTTACATCAATTTTTCTCAAATTATCCATGGTGGTTAACATATGATATTTTTGATCGGAATCAGTTAGCAGTAATTTTTTAATAATAACTTTCATCTAATTTATTTAATTGATCTATGATGAAGTTTAGATTTCAATTTGATTATAATGGAATTTAGATTTGAATTATTTGTTTTTTTTTTTTTTTTTTTTTTTACATTTTAGCGAGCAATTCGATGCATATCGTGCTCCACGTGTTATTATACCACTTGAAAGTATCAAAATTATGGAAGGTAATGATTTTACGCTACGATGTAAATTTAGCGGTGATCCAAGGCCAAAAATTAAATGGTTCAAAAATGGTGAACGTGTTTACTCTTATGGTCATTGTACTTTGGTAAGTTTTAATCCAAAAAAAAAAAAAAGTTTTTTTTTTTACAAGAGCTTAAAATTTTCAAATTGAATATTATATGATTTATTTATACAATAATTGTATTATTTAATTTGTTCTAATAGAAATTTATTTGCTTATTTTATAGATTGAAAGCGAAGATGGTAATTGTGAACTAATTGTTAAAAATGCTAATCGATTTGATGGTGGTTGTTATCGATGTGTTGCAGAAAATATATATGGATCAGATAGAACAATATGTGAAGTTGCTGTGCAATGTTAGTTTATTAAATTTTACATTTAAATTACACTAATTATCAATAATGTTTATTTTTTTTTTTTAATATTTAAAAAATTAAATGATCAATTGAGAGATTATGCTCGAGAATAATTTATTGCTAATATCAAAATTTGTATAATTTATATTTGTTTAATTAATCATGTAATTCATTTATGTAATTTAAATGAAATTTTTTTTTTTTTTTTTTGTAGTAAAAGAAAAGAAACCACAACGTAATTTCGAGGATGAAATTCGTGAAGGTAATGCACCAGGTTTCTCGGTGCCACTTGCTATGAAACGTGCTAAAGCAGGTGACACCGTTATTCTGGAATGTGTCCCATATGGAAAACCTTTTCCAGAAATTAAATGGCTTAAAGATGGTATTGAAATTGAAAGCAATGATAAAATTAGGGTAATTTTATTATTTCTTTTATTTAATTATTTAAAATTAATTCATTTTTAAAACAATGAATTTTGATTATTTATTTCTGAATAAGAAATTTGAATATTTTTCTTATAAAAAGAAAAAAAAAAACAATGCAAATTTTCAGATTGAAAGTTTGGATGATAAAACACAACGTATAATTCTAAAAGATGTTGATTTCTTTGCGGAAGGATTCTATCGATGTGTAGCAACCAATGAGTACGGTACCGCTTCTACAAAAGGAGAAATTGCGCTTGAAGGTAAACTTGTGATTCGTTTTTTTAACATTGTTAATAAAATGATAGATAATTTTCTAAATTATACGAATAGTTTTATTTTTATTAAATAGTAATTAAAATTTTCGATGCATAAAATTTTGTTGAAAGTTTACAAAATAGATTGATTATAAAGTTTTGTCTTTAGGGATGTTAGATAATTATTCTAACAAATATGGCTAAATTAAGATTATACCTTTAGCGTTCATATAATTATAAATGATTTAATTTTATGATAAAAATATTAAAATGTAAAATATCTTTAGAAAAAAAAAAGTCAAATGTAAAATATCTTTTATAATTTCTTGAAACGTCTATCTACTTTAACTAATTTGAATTTTTATTTTTTTTATTTTTTTTTAATTTTAATTTAATTAATTTTGTAATTTAGGTGATCGAACATTACTAGCAAAGAAAATGGAACCATTACTTAGTGAGGAACCGACAGAAAGTAAACCACGTATTCGTCGTGGTTTATATAATATGAGTGTACATCAGGTATAAGTCAATTTCATTTTCTATATTTTTTCATTTCTTTTTTATACTTTAGTTTCTCTTTGATTAACAAACTTTAATAAACTTATTTTTTTTAATTTTAATAAACTTAATTAACTTTAATAAACTTGACAATAAATTAAGTTTCAGGGTAATACTATTGAAATGCAAGTGTGTACATCAGGTTGGCCAACTCCAACTGTGAAATGGTTTAAAAATGGTCAAGAATTAAAATCTAGTGGACCAGATGGTCCAGTGGTGGTATGGACCGATGAACGCGGTATTCATCATTGTGTAATCTTGAATGCCTCACCGGAGGATGAAGCTGAATATGCTTTGGAAGCTACCAACAAACTTGGCACAGCACGAACCGAAGGCGCTATCACAATTATCAGGCCAAGAGAAGTACCAGGCTATGAGGATGATCGAGATAGGTGTGAAATAGTACTTCTTTTAGTATTAATTATAATCTAAGCTGAATAGAACTGACTTGATAACTCATTTCTTGAATTATAAATGATTGCTTATCACTGATCTTTTGCTAAATAATGAAATTTACAGAGGTGGTATGCCATATCCTCCAGGATTTATTCGTCAACTCAAGAATAAACATGTCTTCTCACATATGCCAACAATATTTGATTGTCTTGTAGTTGGTTATCCACCACCTGAGGTGTGTTACTTTTAATTCTTCTAAAATTTTAATCAAAAATTTTAACTGAACTCATAAAAAGTTTATTTTTGCAAAACTTGAGCATAACTAATTTAACAAATAATTCAACTTTGAATTTGAAATTTAATGATAAAAATTGAGGTTAATCACTTTATTTTATATGAAGCAACAGGTTTTATAAATTACTGCTTAGGTTGAATGGTTCCATAACGGTAAAAAGATAATACCTGGTGGTCGGATACGTATTCAGTCGTGTGGAGGTGGGTCACACGCCATTATCATCATGGATACACTTCCGGAAGATGCAGGAGAATATGTAGCAATTGCTAAGAACTCGCATGGACAAGCTTCAAGTAGTGCGGTATTAGATGTAACTGGTAAGCTACTGTTCAAGTGATTTTTAACAATGTTCCAGCAAAATTTAATTTCTTTTTAAATTCTAATTCTTGACAAAAATTTTCATACTTTTTACTAGTTATGTTTCTTTTTTTTTTTCAAAGAATTTCTTTGGTTTTTATCCTTTGGAAATTTTATTTTAGTACCTCTCTTGGATTCAATTAAATTTGATGGTTCAATTGATGTTACACCTTATCTAACAGAAGAATATGGTTTTAAGAAAGTTCCACATCATAGTAAGTTGTTAAACTTTTTTTTTTGTTAAATTTAGTTAGAAAGTTTATATAATACTCAAGAAATCATATTTTCAATTAATCATTATACTAAAATTTTAGACATTCCAACACCACCGGATCGTGGTCCATTCATTAAAGAAGTTACCGGACATTACTTAACACTTTCATGGATTCCAACCAAGAGAGCTCCACCACGATATCCTCAAGTAACGTATGTAATTGAAATACGCGAATTACCTGAAAAAGATTGGATTCTAGTAAGTATTTATCAAATCTTAAAAATTTAATGTTTATCAGTGTTTTATTTATTTTTAAAAGGATATAATGATTCATCATTTCATAAATGTTGTCTTTTAATTGCAGCTTGATTATAACATTCCGGAACCGGTATGTAAAGTTCGAAATTTGGAACTTGGTAAAAGTTACCAATTTCGAGTACGTGCGGAGAATATTTACGGTATTAGTGATCCATCACCTGCTTCACCACCATCTCGACTGATGGCACCTCCGCAACCGGTACTTGATAAAAATAAACGAGTTATTCCGCTACTCGATCCGTATGCTGAGAAAGCACTTGGTCAAGCACATGCGGAACAATATGGTATTGCTGCTTATTTTTAAATACAATATAAATATTATATATTTTTTTAAATAATATTATTTTTAAATATCCTTTTTATTTCCACCCAGTTTACTGGCAGAGATTGGAAGAGATCGAAGTACAATTAATTGCATGATCGAATAATATCAAAATAAAATTACATTTCAATAAAAAAAAAAGAAGTTCAAAGTTCAAAATTTTTAGCATGTGCACCATGGTTTGCACCTGGTGTGGAAGAGAAACGATTCTGTGGCGAAAATGATACGCTATCAATAACGCTATGTGTATCCGGTTTTCCTGATCCAAAAATTATTTGGAAATTTCGTAACATGGATATTGATACTGGACCTATGTCTAGGTAAATTTTCTATCATCATAATTTTATGAAGTAATTTAATTGCTCTATCTTAAGAATTAATTTAGTTAAATAATTTATTACTACTACTTCCTTTTTTTTTTATTCTTTTATTTACTTGTTTATTTGTTTACTTTATTAATATTACAGAATTCGGGTACTAAACCATGCTGGCACAGAAACAACACTTATAATAAATGGATTTAATAAGGAAAATGTTGGACAATATCAGTGTATTGCAATTAATCAGTATGGTGAAGCACAACAAAATATCCAAGTTCTTTTGGGTGGTATGTTTATCAAAATTTTCAAAAATATTTTAAATTTTTTTCAGTGGATAATTTAGACGGTTTAACTTTTTATTTCTTAAATTTTATGAAAAAAAAAATTTACAATTTAAAAAAAAAAACAAACACTCATAATGTTTTTGTCATTTTCAGCACGACCAAAGTTTATTCAACCGTTGATTAATAAAGTAGTACCTAATGGTAAACCACTCAGGTTAGATGTACGCATTGAAGGAAGTCCTTTTCCGGAATTGAAATGGATGAAAGTAAATTTACAGTTCATGTTAAAATTAGAATTTGCATAGAAATTCATATTTTTGCTTTATCATGATATTGATAAGGATAAGGATAAGTATAAAAGAATCAGGATGAGACTAATTTTAAGCATTTTAAAAGAATTAGCAAATATATTTTATTGTTTTCCTTTTTTTTTTTTTTTTTATATTAATAGCGTATTTTTTAATTAAAAATTGTTATTTTGTTAATTGTGATATATGAAAAATTTTTGCAATTTCTTGAATTTATTTGAATTATTAATTTTGAAATCGTTTTTTTCTTCTTTTCAGGATTGGAGACCAATCGTAGGATCATCTCACGTTAGTTTTACACGTGAAGGTTCATTATGCTCATTGATCATTAATGAACCGTTGTGGTGCGATTGCGGAATTTATTCCGTCGTAGCCATAAACGATGCTGGCACAGCGACAACATCGTGTTCAGTAACTATCGAAGGTTGAAAATATTTTATTACTATTAATGTTATTATCATTATTATTATTATTGTTGTTATTATTAATAATAATATTTATAACACTACTCTTTTAGCAATTATAAGGTTGTCACAGGATTAGATGTTAAGTTGCATAGAGGTGACAAACTTTTATAAATGAATATACAATAATATTTAAATTATTTCGATCATTGTGCAGTATTTAGGTATATTGATTACTTCATGATTTTTGTTGAATTACTTACTGAATAAGTAATAAAAATTTTTCTTATTTCTCAAAAATCACTTATTTATCAGTTTCTTTATGTCAAAATTTAATTTTTTTTTTTTTATTTTGCTTTAATTTTTTTCGTTTTTTTTTTTTTTCCTTATTTAATTATACTAAATACTTATTTCTTACAATATCAACAATTTGTGATAATTATTATAGTATTACATAAAAATCATAGTTTATAGTAATTTCAAAACATCGAAAAAAGAAATATTTTTGAATGTGAATGATTTGATCTCCAATTATTGATTATTAATTATTACATTAGATTGATTTATTCATTATCACTATCAGTTATTCATTTGATAATGCAACGGAGTAGTATATTATTGATTATTAATTATTATATTAGATTGATTTATTCATTATCAATATCAGTTATTCATTTGATAATGCAACAGAGTATAGTATAAGCATTGGACTGTGATCATTAATTATGCTATCATGATATCCTTAAATCATTTTTTAAAAAAAAATTTTTTTTTTTTCTTCATTTTATATGAAATTTTAGCTGACGGTGACTTCAGCATGATGCATGATATTCGAAAGGAAAAATCTCGCATAACGCTGGAAGCTCGTAAAGTTCGAGAAATTTATGAAATTGATGAAAATGATGAAAAGTACGAGTACAATGCTTCAAATTGAGGCGCAATTCTCTCTCTCTTTCTCTTTCCACTTATATTGAATCACAAACTGTAGTTAATTAATTCAAATTTTTATTTAATAACGGGAAATATTACTTTCCATTTTTACCCTAAAATTTGGGAAGAATTTTTTTTTTTTCTTTTTTATTTCTTATGATTATTTATCATTCATTTTACCATTTCTTTTGATAATACAACGACTATTCATTTTGTGTTTTTTTTATATGAAATGAAACTTTTTTTTTTTAATATCAAATTGTTAACTTATCATATATTCTGGCTTAAAGCTATACTAGTCATACCATTAATGTAATTTCAATTCTGTGATAATTAATTAATTTCGATTCAATTTTAAATACATTGATTAAGATCGATGATTCATAGAAATATGTGGCTTTATTTCAGCAAATTTACATCTTTCCTTTTTTTTTCTCTCTCTCTCTCCCTCTATTTTTAATGGTAAAAATTTTGGTTCATATAAATTTAATCAAATTTTAGAAATTTTAAAAGATATCAAACGAAATTTTCTCTCTTTTTTTTTTTTTTTTGTTGAAATTGCGTCACTATTACATGTTCTTTTGCGATGTATTTCGAAAAAGGCTGCCAATAAATTTAAAAAAATGAAACGAATTTTCATTTCCGCAAATATTTTACTCTTTTTGACAAAAAAAAAAAAAAATGAAAAAGTGTGATTGCTTTGTGTGTACAAATTATTTATGCCTTGCAATGGGTGTTGTTATTAGCTTTCTGCTTCCTTTTTTAATTCCGTTTTTTTTTTTTTCTTCCTTTTCCGGTTGCTGAGTTTCAGCTATTTCAAGAATTTTTAGCCGTTTAGCTAGATCTAGATTTGCTATGAAGTTGTGATGGTGAATACTTCGACAGTGTTTCATGCCATCTACAATGAAATTTCACATTGGAATTTAGATTTTTTTTTTTTTTTAAAATAACCCAAATTTTGTGCATTGGATTAATTAACCTTTCCTTTCCCAACCAAAAAAAAAAAAGGAAAAAAAAACTTAGGTTTGTATAGCACAAGAAACTTTTAAAATCTTAATGAAATTTTTAATAATTTCTCAGCTGAAATAATTAAAATAGTGAAATTTCAATTTTAAAAATTAATTTATTAATTATAAATTTCTTGTGCTAAACAAATACAGAAAGCTAAACAAGGCCTCAGCACACAAAAAGCACTTTCTCTTATGTCAATAAAAGTAGAATGCTGCACGGAAATGGAAATTTGTATTATAAAAAAAAACAAATTACCAAATAATTAGCTCAGAATTTAATTTTCTCGAAATTTAGAAATTTATGAGTAAATTGTGGTTTTAAAAAAAAAAAAAGAAATGAAAGTTTGAAAATACAGTACAAAATTTATGGCTTTGAATTTAGATTATATCTTAATTTTAGTAACTCCTCTTTTTTTTTTTTTTTTATAATTTCAAAAAATTATGCAATATTTGAAAATTCCTTATTAATTAGAGAGAGAGAGAAAGAGAGGGGAGGGAGAGAGAGAAAGAGGGAAAGAGTTGCAGCATTTTCTACTTAAACATTAGATGATTGAAATTCAAGATAAGGATGAGGTCTTGTTTATTGTTTTCTGTATTTGCAGAGCTGCAGCTGCTGGTGCAACATTTCACGTCACGGAAATTACCACACGTAAACGTTACTTGGCCCAATTACGTGCTTTGGATGAAAATCTAGCACGTAATATTGAAATGCAAAATAATTTGGATCATCCAAATACCATACAACTTCATCAGGCTATTATGGATCAAGGCATTGCTGTTCTTATTTATGAAAAGTAACATTTTAAATACGACTAGCTGAATCTAAAAAAAAAAAAAATTAATTCAAATTTCAAATGATACAAATAATTGTTTCACTAATTTTATTCATTTATTTTCATTAAAAAAATTATATTTTTAATTAATCAATTAATTAAATCAATTAATATTTATAAATTGCAAAAAAAAGCAATGAAAAATCTCCGATATAATTTTGCTAACTTTATACGATTTTCATGCTATCCTATTTATTATTAAGGTAAAAACAAAGTATTAACTTATTCCTCTCCTATTTTTTTTAGGTAACTAAATTACGTTTTATTTTTCTGAAATTGAACAAAGTTCAAGTGTCAAGTTTTATTTCCTCCTATCTTTTTTTCAAATTTGTTCCTCGAATGATTTTGCTAATTTAATTCCTTAACTAATTTAATCAAACAAAATTCAGAAAGAAACATTGAAAAATTGGATGATTATAAATTCAAAATTTTTAAAAATCATTTAATTCCTTAAATTTATATTGAATTAATATAATACTTAATCTAATTCTTTTTGATAATGATAAACGATCTATGAGATAAAAGATAAAAGGTCAATGTCAATGAAAATGGATTCTCATTCTGAAAGATTTAAAATAAAGTTAAAAGGAAACATTTTAATTTTATTTTAGTTTATCCGAAAAAAAAAAAAACACATTTGATAAACGCTTCACATTTATTCAGATTAAAACATTTTTTTAATAAATAAATAAAATCAGAAAAGTAAATATTTTATGAGTAGTTTGTTTTTTTTTTTTTTAAAAAAAAAAAGAAAGAAAGAAATTTTTTGCTATAAACAAGGAAATTTGATTTGAATATAAACTGAAAGCTAAATTATTGAATGTTAGATCAAACAGAAAAGTCTTTCATTTCTTTTAAATTCCGGAAAAAAATGATTTTTCTGGAATAATTAACATTTAAGATCAAAAAAAAAAAATCAAAAATATCTTAATATCCCTATTCAACTTTTTTTCAAACATTCCCATAAATTTTTGAATTCAAATTAATGTAACTACACATATTATTTGTATTTAAGAACGATCGATTAATTCTATCACGTATCACGTACGTACGTTTGTCAAAATAATAAATCAGAAAAAAGCTCATCAGAAAGAGTGCATTATTGTATATCATATGACAAAGCTAATAAAACTTAAAACAGTAGCATAATTGATTGATAATTTTACCTAATAATTTATATAATTATTAGATATTTAAAAAAAAATTATTGAAGATTTAAGTCGTTAAGAATTTTGGCCATTTTAAAATTAGCTTAAATTAGACTGTTGAATTTGAAAATTAAATCACTTGAAATGAATTAAATCGTAAAATTTTACATTGTAACATTAATTGATATACTACTAATTATTGACATTTATTTTCTAATAAATAGAAATAAAAGAAATTTTATTCAACAAAAAAAAAAAAAAAAGTTAAATTTATAATTTTAAAAGAAATTTAACTTAGAATGATTAATTTCAGTATATAAGTATAAGCATTTATAAAATATACTTTAGCAACTGAATAGTTTATAATTGTAAATATCAAAATAGCTTAGACAATTTAACATTAAAAAAATTATTTTAAAAATTTTGATATCAAAATAATTACAATATAACAAATAGCATTAATTAACTTATCATTATGATTAAATTTTATGTCATTGTAATAGCAACGATGAACTTTGATGATTAATTTGCTTCAATTGATGAATCTTTTTTTTTTTTTTGTTTACCTTTAAGCAGTTTATTTATTTGTACATTCATCAATTACATAAGATAGAGTTAAATTTGAAAATATACGAAAGAGTTTAAAGAAAATAACAAATAAATAAATAAAAAGGATTAAAAATAACGGAATTATTTGATCTTTAAGCATTTATTTTCTCATCAAATTTGTTTTGCTAATTTGTTATTATTACAACAGCAACTGATAACAATCAAAAATATTGATAATTTTATGTATAAAATTAAAAAATTATAGGAAAATGAAATTTTAAAAATTTAAAGAAAATGAATTTTTCATCGATAAGTAATATTTGCAAATACTTAATGCAATGCCGAAGCAATGATTTCATCTTTATATCATTCAAATAAAATTTAACTCTAATCAATAAATTTTTTAAAACTGAAAATTCTTTTTTTTTTCTTTACTTTATTTTTGCATCATCTTTTAAAGAATTAGTTAATTAATTAATCAATTATCTTTTTATAAATTTCTTTTTTCTTTTTTTTTCTTTTTGTTTTGTTTTATTTTTTGAAAAATTTAGTGCAAAAAGTGTATGCATTTCTTCCATCATTCAATCATTCAAACTTTCAAAAGATTGTAAAAAATAAGAAATGGAGGAGGAATAGAAAGTGATAAAAGTGTTATTTCTGATCATAGAGAAAAGAGCAGTAATCAGATAAATAGTATTATTCCTGATTTCTATTCCGAATTTTATTCATTTCCTGATTGCTAGAAAACGTTTTGCCTAAAATCCTAAATGCTTTGAATGTTATTATTAATAATTTATTAATACATTTTGTATTATTTCTATTGTCAACAATGGTTGTCGAATCAATCTGGTAAATCTTTTTTTTTTTTTTTTTTTTTTTTTTTTAACAAAAATTAAATTTTAAACTAAATTAATTGATAATTTAATCAATTCAAACAGCAAAAGCAACTCTTTGAAATGATTAGATATTACTATTAGAATCATTTGATATCATCGAAAAATATTTCAACTAATAGTAATTCGATAAATCATTCAATTAAATTCATCAATTCTAATATTATATTTTATTTTTTACAATTTCAAAGCTATTTAAAACATTTTGCTTTGAAAAAATTTTTTTTTTTCTCAACTTTCAATTCATCTCAATTTTCCATACTTCATAACCAATCTTTTCCATTATGTGAGTTAAAATTGCATTCGTTGATCTTATCATTATCATCAATTTATTTTATCACTGCAAAACTTTTTTTTTCCTCTTTTGCTTCTTTCATTTTTCAAATTTCTTTTATTAGTTCCTCTTACTTTGTTTACAAGTTCCAAAAATATTTTGCTTTATTATCAAAAAAAGAAAAAATAAAATAATAGTAATTTTATGTTTCATCGTTTCGTAGCATTTAATTGCAAGAAATTTGAGTAAAATATTAGTTTGCATTTTTCTATTTCAAATATTATAAACTAAAAGTTGTTAAATGAATTTTAAAATAATTGCTGAAGAGAATTTTATAATTATATTTTTGTGTATTTGCATTCACTTCTGATAAATTTATATTCATTTTTGATAAGAAATGTAGTATATTTGATTATTATTATTGCTATTATTACTATTATTACTATTATTATTGCTATTATTACTATTATTACTATTATTATTGCTATTATTACTATTATTATTATTATTATTGCTATTATTACTATTATTATCGCTATTATTACTATTATTATTATTGCTATTATTACTATTCTTATTATTATTGCTATCATTACTATTATTATTATTATTACTATTATTATTACTGCTATTATTACTATTATCACTACTGCTGTCCTATTTATCATCCTTATCGTCATTCTTATTATATCCTTATAATCATCATCAATTATTATCATTCTTATTACATCCTATTATCATTATCATTAAATTCTCAATATATCTTCGCTATCCACCAACTGATAACCAGTGTTAAGCATTGCATCTTTATTATTGTTAATTTGCAACAAAAATTAACCAATTCATTCTTATTTCTCTCAATGCTTATTCTAAATTAAAGTATTTAAATTATTACCTTAATCTAGTCTGATCAGTTAAAATGATAAAAAAACCTGCAAATTGTTAATTTAATTTAATAATTCAACCTTAAATGAATTACATTTGCTACACTATATTATTGCTAGTAATATCAATGATTTCATTATCATTAAATTTTAATTTAAGCGCAAATCGTTCATTATTGGATTCATTAATTACGTCACCAGCGGAAAAGACGCAGTATGTTGCTGGCGAACGACAAGTTCAAATATTTATAAAACAACTTTTATGTGCGTTAAAATGTATGCACGATAGAAGGATTGCACATTTGGATATTCGACCGGAAGTGATTCTTTTACAGGACAATCATCTTCGTTTGGCTGATTTTGGTCAAAGCAGGTGGAATTTCATTTTAAATAGAATTATTTTTACAAATTAATAATAAGTTAGAAATTAATTTTATTACTTGAAAAAAATTTTTAATTATTTGCTAAAATTAAAAAAAAAAATAATTTAATATAATAACACTTAAAACTGTTTACATAATATTAAAATGTTTGTATATTTCTTTTATGGATTATATTTTTTTTTAAAGATTAAAGTTTTTTTTTTTCTTGAAAAATCACATATTTTATTTCATTTAATTGCTAATAAAAATAAACTTAATTAAATCATTTGTCTTAACTTTTAACTTTTACTAGTAATATTGGAGAGTAATAGTAGTAGCATTGATTATTAAAAGTATACTAATAGCACTCGAAAACAACTGATAGTAGTAAAAATTTCTGATTATTTTGTTGTTAAATTTGTTGCTCAACCAAGAAATGACCATTTTAAAATTACACTAAAGCAAATTGATTGATTGATTGATTGATTGATTTATTGATTGATTGGTTGGTTGATGTTTATAGAATTATCATAGCAAATAGTTAGCTAAAATATTAGCTATCTCAAAAATTACTGGAAATTATTTGCTAAATAGATGAAAATATTGAATAAAAGTTAAATTTCCAATGGAAAATATTTTAACTGAAACAAAAAAAAAAAATAAAACGTTTTTCTTTCTTTTAAATTTCTAACTTTTATGTTTTTTTTTTTTTAAAGTTAATTTATTGCTATAATATAATTTATAAAAGAATTATAGTGAATAATATTTAATTTTCGTTTTATTTTGCTATAAAATTTCAGGCGATTGGTACGTGGTAAAGTTATAGCAAATATAATGGGTAGTCCGGAATTTATTTCACCAGAAATTGCAGCCGGTATTCCGGTTACACTTGCTTCTGATCTATGGAGTGTTGGTACTCTTACATATGTTTTGTAAGTTTTGATTACTTTTTCTTTATTGGTAATTATTTGGCTTAATAATTTAATATATTTAACTTTTTTCTTTTTTTTAGATAATTGTAATTTTAATATGAATTACATTTCAATATCTTTTCAGGCTTTCCGGTATTTCACCGTTTCTCGGTGATAATGATACTGAAACGGTGCGAAATGTTATGTTGGGTAATTATACACTTGACAGTGAAGAATTCAATCAAATTTCTAATAATGCCAAAGATTTTGTATCAAAACTGCTTGTTCTTGATCCACGGTATTGTTTATATAAATATGAAATTTTAATTTGGGAAATTATCAAAAAATTTATTTCCTCACTAATTCTGTGACTTATTGTTTATTTCCTCACTAATTCTGTGACTTATTGTTTATTTTCTCACTAATTCTGTGACTTATTATATTAATTAACTCGCCTAACTAATTAATTAATTAACTTTTTTTTTCAGCGGTCGTCTAAATGTTGACGAAGCGCTACGACATCCGTGGCTTTCGGAAGAATGTTTAGAAAATACACCAATAACATCAGAATGTTTACGAGAATTTAAGTACAAACATAAATGGCTGGTAACTTTTTAAAATAGTTGAAAATGGAATTATAAAATTAATAAGCAATTTTAAATGTGAAATATTTTAAAAGTCAATGATGCATAAATATTAATTAAAATTTTGATATATTTTTGTATAAATATTAAACATTTATTATTATATTATTTATCAAGAAGTGTTGTGTTTATTTTTTTTTTTTTTTAGTAGCACTAATTAATTAATTGAATATTAAATTTTTGCTATTAGATGCAGTATGAATAATTCAGGAAAGACGGGTATTCGTTCAGCAAACTCCATCCGATCAGCTAATGAGTGTTGTACAGGTTTGTTGCTTACTTTTTTCCGGAAAATTGCTTACCTATTTCTGGAAAGTATTGTAATAAAGTAAAATTAAATTAATTATATTATTGACGTATTTGCGAATGAAAATAAATGTAATATTTTTTCTAGAAAAAAACAAAAATTGTTGCTTGCAATTTTTTAGATTTTAAATGCAAAAAATAGTTGCGCTTTTATGACAGTTTTATTTTTTAGTTTTTAAATATTTTCATAAATTTTTCCATTATTTTCCAAAATTTTAAGCTAATTTTTTTAAAAAAAAAAAAAAATGAATAAAATATTAGATAGTCTCAATTTTTTTTCACTCTTCTTGAAATGAAAATGAAATTTTAACCTCTCTACTCTATACTACTACTAGATTTAAAAAAAATTTTAAAAGAAGTAATGATGTATAAAATATTTTTGACATCTCTTTTTTTTTTTTTTTTTTTGTAAACAACATTTGAAATTTTATCTTTAATTTGAACATTTCTTCAGTTTGTCTCAATTTTTTGTCTTATATTTTTTACATTAATCATAAATTTTTCTTTTTTTTTTTTTTTTTTTTTTTTGATTCACAAAAATACACAATGAATTATTTTTTGAAAGAAAAAAAAAAAAATCTTTTTAGGTTCCAAATGTAAATTTGGTTGGTACAAATTTACCGCAACGTATGCAAGGTTTAGCTTCTAGTGAACCTTATGATATTTATGATTATTTACGAATCAAAGATCGTATTTCACCACATGATATTGTTATCAGTGAAAATGCGCCAAAGCGACATTTGCAACTGCAAGAAAAGGATGATGCATTATCATCAAGTCGAAAGATATTGAAGCAAAAACCTCTTCAAATTTCATCCCAATTTTTTGATGATTCGGTAGGAAATTTCTTTTTGTTTTTTTTTTTTTTTTTTTTTTTTTTTTTTTTGCAACATTTAATTTTTTACAATAAGTTTTAAATTTTAAATTAAAAATAAAACAGAAATTAAGAGATTTAAAGTTACTATAAAATGAAAAAATTGAAATAAAAATAAATAGAATCTCAAATTTATTGTTTTCTTTTCTTTCTTTTCGTTTTTATTGCTTAAATTTTGCCAGACAGACTTGTTCATATGAGCTTTGAAAATCTTTTTGAGTTTGTAAATTAATGCTTGTTTAGACTTAACAAAATATAACTCTTAGCTAAATCATTAACTCTTATAGAAATCTTTGTAAACAATAATTTTTGTACTTATTGTATATTTTAAAGTTATTTCTATTTGAAGTGATATTTACTTTTCGGTGCTAAATAGTGGAATTAATTTTTGAAAATATTTTGATTATTCACAATTGTATAAAAGAGGGAGAAAGAGAGAGAGAGAGAGAGAGGAATAGAAAGAGAGAATAAAATCTCTTGTAAAAAAAAAGTAACAGAAAAAAGCCCATCGAAAATTTTTAACTACTTCAAAAAAATCTTTATCTATGAGAGAAAAAAATAGTAAATAATCATTTAACAATCACTTTTTTTTTCTTTTTGAGTTTTTGACATAATTTTATTTCATTGAATAAATTGAAAAATAAATTAATAAAATTTTTTTTTGTTATTCAATAACAAATTAAATATTTATGTATTTCAGATGTTACCATTACAGCTTGTTCATGGTGAACATCGTGAAATTGAGGAAGAAATTGCAAATCGAATTTTATCAGATATTTCCGAGGAAACATCAATAACAAGTTCAATAGCTTCACATGATGAACCGGAATCATTTCATCGAATATCTGAAGTAATAATTAATTTTTATTTATAATTATGGAAATAAAAGAAAAAAAAAATTCTTTTTTCATTTTAATTTTAATTTCATCCATTAATTTTTAATTTTGATAATATCAAATTCCGGAAATGAAATGTTTAGGAATGTTTTTTTTTTTTTTTATTGTTGTTGTTGTTTTATAATTTATTATACGTTTATAGTTAAAGACAAAATAGAATTAAACTTTAGCATTTTATGAATAATTATTTAAAGTCTAAAATCTATTTATTAATTCAATTAGCAGTTTTCTACGTCGTTTTGCATATTCTCAGACTTTCTTTAAATTTAAAAAAGTATTTATTTGTGTGTTTTTTTGTTTTTTGTATGGTAGAATACGCTTGCAAAATAATTTCAGTCTTTTTTAAATTTTTCAATTTTTTTTTTTTTTGATTGAAAAAAAAGTGAAATTCTTCGGTTTTCTCTATTTATTACTTTGAACAGATTTTCTAAAAGGATATTTAACCTTTGTAAAAACTCTGTTTAGCCAATTTTACCTTTCTTTTTCTTTAATACTTTTCCCTCGGGAAGAGCTCTTTTGTTTTCTTCTACCCTTACCCATTAACTACTTCAGAATAAAACTTTTTTTTCATTTTCATCAATCGATTTTTCGAGATTTTGCTGTAATATTAGTGTACAATATTGATTTATACATGGACTTTAAAAAAGTAAGGAGAAAAAACTAACTTTCAAATTGTCAAATTATTTTTTTTTTAATTATTAATTTTAAAAAGCAATTTTTCTGATTTTTCGAAAAGTGCCATAATTTAAAGGGAAATTGTATCAGAGATTTTGGGAATTTTACTATCTGTTATTCATAACTTTTTACTTTGAATTTTTTTATTTTCATTTCTTTACTTTACTTTAAATTTTTTCTTGTTGAGATTTTCTATTGTCACATATTTTTCTTTATTACAGAGACAAATGAGGCAAAAGAAAAGCCATAGTAAATCATCAACTCCACAAGTGGAAGGTTTTTCATTGGATGGTACACCGACTGCTTCACCAGTTGGAACAGGAAGTGCCGGTACTTCATTTCCGGAATGTTATTCCAATACTGATGTGGTACTTTTATTTTGTTTAATTTATTCAAATATGTATGTTATTGACTAATAACACCGGAAGGATATGTCGGAAACATTATGTTAATCAGATTGACAGAAAAAAACAAATTCCTGTCGATGATAATCAAAGACTAAAGTCTTGAAGACTTCGAGAGTGAAATGTGAGCAAGAAAGTGTCCTAGGCTAAATCATTTTGACTTCTGTCAAAAATTTAATATAGAAAAATTTTTGAAATTAAATAAAATAAGATACTTTTAAATAAATACTTTAAATAAAATACTTTTAATATAATTAAATATAAATATAATAATTAAATAATTAAATAAAATACTTTTAAAATTTTCACAGTTAAATGTTTACTGAGCTACTGTTATTGCAGTTTGATTTCATATTTTAGTATTCTTCAAAATATCAGTTTATCATTTCAGTTTATCACTGTTAAGCATTTTACAGCTTACAACCAATCACTGATAAGATTTAGTGAGATTAATGTAAAACAATCTGATAAGGAATTAAATTTTTAAATTTGCAACTTAGTGGAAGAGTGAGTTAAATTTTTGTAAAGTTTCAGTATCGACATCCGGTACAATTAGATCCGAGTATTCCGGTTGGAGCACCGCTTTTCCTCGAAGGACTTGAGCATCATTCTTTAGTACTTGACGGTAGTTTCTTTTTTTTTCTTTTTTTTTTTTTTTTTTTTTTGAGCAGTATAAATTTAATTAATTAAATATTTATTGTTAAAAAGTTTAAGATAGGAAAATCAAATTTTAAGCATAGATGAAGAAAAAAACTTATCAAACTTGTTCTATTATCTTTTCCACATCCTAAAATTATAACAGTAAACGTTCAGACATATCGCCGGATACGCGAAGTCCACGTAGTTTGCCGTCATTACCTGGCACAAAAAGTCCTGTACTGTTATCACCAAAAAGAGAATATACTATGGGAGTAAGTTTTACTTATTTCTAATCAAAAGTTTTAATTTCAAATTCTAATAATTACTGATATAATTGATGTTGATAAAATTCTATTTAGTTCCACTTCATTTATATGATTAAATGAAATTATTTCATCCTCATTCAGTTCTATTTCCTTCTTATTTGTATTTTAAAATTTACACAAATTTTACAAAAAAATTTTTGCCAGGTGATAATTGGTACCAAGCAAGGAACAAAAGGAGAAATTACAATATCCACACCAGAACTTTTTGAAGTTAAAAATTATCCTGAAAAGCAGGTAGCTCATGAAACAAAACATGAAGATGAATTTGAGAATTTCATGAACGAAATTGAGGAGATGAAAAAAAGACGAAGAAAGGAGGTAAATTTTCATGATGATATGATTAATGATAGCTTATCAATTGATATCGATAGCTTATCTGTTTGGATTTAATGCTAATTCTGAATTTACATCCATCACTTTTCATTGGTATTAGTGGTTTAAATATTTAAAAGTAAAAATTTTTCTTGTTTTATTATTGTAATTTTGAAATTAAAGAAAAATTGCAGCATGAAGAAATGGAACGATTGCGCCCAAAGAATATTTATGCTGAAAAGATTGATTTCAAAAAGCCAGATATTGATGATGATGAATTCCCATGGGAAAGTCAATATCAGGTAAAATTATTTGTTGACAATTTTAATTTGATTAATTGATGTTAAACAAATCGAAAAAGTTTTCAAAATTCAAATGGTACTTTCCTATCCTATGTAAATTTTATTGATAATCATTTTGAAAATTGTTTTTCCATGATTAAATACATTCAAATTTGAGATTATTTGCCGAAAATTCACCTGAAAACTCATTCCAATGATTATTTGAATTTTCTATGAATTATAAAAATATCATTTTTATGAATTTTTGATGCCAAAAAAGAAAAAAGAAATTATATTTCAATCTTTTATCCTAAAATTAAGTCTTAAAAATTTTCAATTGCTAATTGTCCAGATTGGCCCTGAAACACTTTTACTCGCAACACGTGGTGCAAGTTTCAATGCACGTGTACGTGACTATCGACGAGAGCTCTGGGGTGATGGTGCACCATTGGTAACTCAAGGATATCTCGGTTATCGAAATCAAGATATTACTGTTAGAGAAAGGAGAAGGTACCAGATGATTTCATTTCTTATTTTTTTAAGTTTTTTTTGAATTAATTTATTTGCTCATTAAATGCATTCAGAAATTCTTTAGGTTCACTGATTTAATACGTGAAGATGAAAATATTGCAAAATCAGTGGAGAATTTAGAACGTGATATGCGTGGATCACATCTTGGTGCTATAAAACGTATACGTAGTGATATTAGCAAAGCAGTACCAGTAGTTTCTAAAGAGAATGGAAGTAAAAAATAAATTTCTATTTGAAATTTTTTTAATTTTATTTTTTGAAATTTTAATTTTTTTTTTTTTATTTTTATTCTTTTGAAAATAATACGAAAAGTATTCAATTCATTTTCTTTTTCTTTTTTTTTTTAATGACAGAATAAAAAAATTATTTTCAGCTTTTGGTGCAATTTTCCGGAATCGATTAAAGGATGTACCATTTGTTGAAAACGGTGCTACAGTGATATTTAAATGTTCAGTGATTGGTAATCCACAACCAACAATTGAATGGTTTTTCAATGAAAGTTCCATTATGGATGATAATAAACACAATGTTTGCATATTTATAATTATTTTTTAAAATAATTTATCAGTTTTTTTTTTTAATTTTTTTTTAAACTTTTTTTTAAGATATTTTATGAAAATGGTCACTGTCAATTAACAATTCAAATGACTGATATAACTGATCTTGGTGAGTACTCGTGCATTGCAACCAATGAACATGGCATTGATAGAACCTGCTCTCGACTTATTACCGGAGGTTATTTTTGTTTAATCTGCTTGAAAATTCATTTTTCAATTTATCTAGCATGTACAAACCAGTGTTTTATATTTAAATATGTATGCAAAAATTAAAACTTTTTATTTTAGATACACCAGCAGCACCTGGTCGACCTGAAATTGAACTATCATCAGATACCGAAGTGTTTATCACCTGGGAAGTACCACAAATGAGCCATAGCCTGGAATGTTTCATGTATAAACTAGAAGTTAGACCAGCAGGTATGCAAATAATTGTTCTAATTGTTCTGTGAAATTTAAGGAGTAATTTAAGAAATAATGAAATGGTGTGAATAGCACAAACTAACTTATAAATGAGTAAATTTTTTATTATTCAAAAATTTTAGATTTAAATTTGAATTGAATCAATTTTTTTTCCATTAAATTTCTTTTTTGCAATTTTTCAAAACTTTTAATAGGATTTAAATTTTTAATTTTGAATTATATTTGTTGTATTCAGGTGAAAATGATCATTTTTCGGATTGGCATCTTGTTTCTGATAAAATAGAAGATGAAGCAGCAATTGTACGACATTTAACACCACAAGGCATTTATCAATTTCGAGTGATTGCTAAAAATGAATTCGGTTGGGGTGCACCATCATTAACATCTCGAATTATCCAAACACATCCTAAAGGTTTTTTTTTTTTTTTTTTTTTTTAAATTAATTTCAAATTTTTATTACAGGTAATTAATTGCAGGACTTCTTGCTAAATTTCCATATGTAAAATTTAAGGTTTTAAATTAAAAAAGAAAAAAATAATAATAATTAAAGGAAATTATTAGCCTAAGAGAAATTCATGTACAAAAATCTTAAGAAATTAATCAGTAATTTTTATTTTCTGATAACCTTAATGAATATATTGAATTTCCAGGAAAACAAAAGTTTACTTATAATTTTAGTAAATTCAATTTCAGGTTCACCAAAATTACAAATTGAAAGGATTCAAAGTCAGTGTCGTGTATGTGTGATTTCAAAACCACCACAAACACGATTAATTTCAAAATCTAAGAAACTTGGTGAGATTACTGAGGAAGATGAAGAAAAGACTGAAGCGGATGAATTTGTTTCAAAAGCACAAACTCAAATTTTAACTTTAAATACTTCGGAAGATCCACAGAAACGTTTTCGGGTAGTTATTTATTTTGCTATTCTATTTTTGAATTTTGTTTCGATAAAAAAAAAAAAAATCAATCTTCAGTTAAATATACATAGAAAAATTAAAAATTGATTTCAATTAATTCTTATAAACCAATTATAACTCTATTATATTCTTCGAATATGTTTGTATTTTTTTTTAATTTGAAAAATTTAAATTTGATTCAGAATATCAAATGTTTTCAATTAAAAAGAAAAAAAGTCATAAATTTTAGCTCATTGCTCCGATACCTCGTGGTCGATTTGGTGAAATTGCAATTGGCATTGATACAACTCGAGAATTGGATGCTAATTGTATGGCCAAAATTCGAAATATTAATGTTGAAGGTGCTAATGGTACCATGGAATTTGAAGCTATGAAAGATTGTCAACAAGAAAATATTGCTCATTTGATTGCTGCTTATCAGCGGTTAGAATACTAAAAATTTTTTCAAATTTTCAATTGCTGAATTTTTCAAATGGTTAATTAGCAAGGAATTAACAATTAACAGTCATCAAATATTTCATGATATTTTAATGAGTAATCAATTATATGGCTAAAATTATTTGATCAAATTTTGAAAAGGATATTTTTAATCCTAAAATGTTAATAATTTTAATTAATATTACATGTGATCCTATTGTTTCTGTTTAAACATAAACTGCTAATGTCTTTAATTAATTTCAAGAATGATTTATTTTTTTCCTTGTATTTAAACCTAAACCTGTTTTTTAATTTTAGGAGTAATTTATTGTTTTTGTTTATGGAACAATATCGAGAAGATATTTTTGAACGATTTACATATCGTGATAATTATAATGAGGAGCAGATCAGTAGAGTAATACTACAAATTGCTTCTGCTCTTCATTGGATTCATTTCAAAGGGTTTAATTTTATTGCTTACATTTATTTGCAATAAAAATTTAACTATCAAGTGATATTTGACTTTGCTTTCTAATTATTACTTATAATTAATAATTACTTATCTAATTTAAATGAGTAAATAAATTGAATTTCAGTTATATACATATGGATATACAAGCAACCAATATTTTATTTGCATCTCGTCAATCTTGGCAAATTAAGCTTATCGATTTTGCCTCAGCACAAAAAATTAGCAGCAATGAAATTAAACAACCATTAAAACCAAATGTCTACTGGTCTTCACCAGAAATATTGCGTACAGATGAGAAAAAAACTTCCATTACAGTTCAGACTGATATTTGGAATCTTGGTGTGATTACTTTTTGCTTGTAAGTAAAATTTAAATTTTTCAAATTTTACACTTGAAGAGCAGAGAATGTTTTTTTTTTTTTTTTTGAGAAAGAAAATGAAAAATGAAATTTTGAAAATGGTTTGTTAATAATCTTTACCAATATATATATATATACATGTAAATGAATAAATCAATTCAGATTAAGTGGTTTCCATCCATTTGCATCGGCAGATGATTCAAATGATGAAATTAAGGAAAGTATCATTTATCAGAAATGTAATCCAAATTTAATCCAAGTACAAGCAACAGAAGAATCATTAAAATTCGTAACATGGGCTTTGAAAAAGGATCCAATGTAAGTGACATTTTTTTTTTTTTAAAAAAAAATTTGGTTTAATTTTATTTCACATTTTTGTTTTGTTTTCTATTTGCCTCTCATAATTAATAATGAATAAATTTTGTGACTCATTTTTTTTTTTTGTTAATTTTTACTTTTAATATGAATTTTAGGAGACGTATGAGAACTGATGAAGCGCTAACACATCGTTGGCTAAGTATGGATCGGGTAATGATACGTCGACGTGAAATGGTTAACTACTCAAGTAGTCGACTTCGACGAACGGCATTTTTGACGGCTGATCATATAAAAAGACAATCTACCGTCAAATGATCGATTTTCCGAATCATTAATTTAAGATATAGAAAAATTTAAATTGTTAAAAAATCGTTAGGTTACCGAACAAATTGTATTCACTTTCGAATTGAAAAGATTTTGGTCGATTTATTATTCGTTGATTTCTTGAATTTTTCACTTCTGAAATTATGCATTTAGCATTATACATATCATATCATATATTTTGTGGAATTATTCGGCACTTTCTTGGATTTTTTATTTTACAAAATTTTACACTGTACTTTTTAGTTTATTGATTTCTAAAAATAATATCTTCTCAAGAAATTCAATTCAAAAAAAAAGCTAAAATAACTTTCCTTCATATTTTCTTTTAATCATTTATGAGAATTTTTTTCATGATTGTCTCAATCGATCAAAACAAAAGAGAAAAAAAAAAACTATTTGATTCGGTAACTTTAGCGCCATTTATTCATCATTTATCATTGATTATTATTCATATTACTTTCTATGTTAATTTAGTTTTAACCATTTCCCTATTTTTAGTATTACTGCATTGTTCGAAAATTAAATTCACTCTTATTGTCTTGATTGATCGAAACCGAATGCGCCTTTGTTATTTGTTAATAAAGTCTTGCTGTAGTGTTAAATTTTCCTTTCTTTTTTTTTCACATAGTAAAAAAAAAACAGACAACAAAAATTTAAATTTTCATTTTTTTTTAAATATTAATTCTCGCTGAATACAATTGTAGTCGATCTAACATTAATAGTATTTCGTTTCAAAAATATTTTCACAAAGGAAATAATAATTTCTCATTGAAAATGAGAAGTTTTACATCAGAACTGATCAATTATCTTAATTAAAATATCAAGAATAAAATGAGGAAGAAATGATGAATGAATTACTTATAAAAAAGAAAAAAAAATAAGGATAAATTACTTGTAAATAATTCATATGCAATGAAATCATATATAATTATTTTCAAACACAACAAAAATTTTGGCATAATGCATCAATGAATAGATCAATGCTTGCTGATCAATGAACAGATCAATGCCTGATCGATCGATCATTATTATGAAAGTATTAATAATCAATCTGAAATGCATTAACTGAAAAAAAAAAGGTTTTTTGATTAAATTTGATTGTCGTTTTTTTTTTTTTTTTTGCTTTACAAATTCTTTTTCATTATTTAAATAGCTAATTAATAATTATTACTATTTAGAAATTAATTACTATTACTATTTAAAAATTATTTATTATTACTGTTTAAAAATTAATAATTATTACAATGTCAGTACGACGAATTAAAATGATGTTTTTATTATTCATAACAATTTGCCACTGTTAACATCATTTCAGTTGATAACCATTTCTGCTATTTTTATTATCATATCAATTCTTGTAAGTAAATATCATACAGATAATCAGTTTTTATCATTTACAATCTTTTAACACTGTTATCAAAATTAATCAATTATATCTGTAATTATTATCATTTGTGTTATTTAACATTTATCATTAACAATTTGTTAAAATATTGTTGTTAGCTATTTTTATAACATATTGATTACTTGATTATCGATAAATTAAAATTTTAATAAATGAATGAATATTAATAAATAAATTCATTTTTCTATCTTTTTTTTTTCACCTCAGGCGATAATTTTTCGTTTTTTTTTTTTTTTTTTTTTTTTCTTCTGCTATTTAAATTATTGAAAAGGAAGAATCCAAGTACAGCACTGAATTTCTTAGCAACAAAAACTTTAAAAAAAACTTTTTTTTTTATTTATTTTTCTTTTTATCCTTTTTTCTTCCTTTCTTTTCCCTTCTTCTTCTTCTTCTTCTTCCTCTTCTATTTTGCTTGAATGAATCGGATATTTTCCACACAAAAAAAAAGCGAAATAATTTTGGAAAGTCTTTTCTTTCTTACATTCTACTGTTATTTTGCGCTTTTTTTGTTGGCAATTCGTCAAAGCTTCTTTTTTTTAAGTGAGATTATAAGGGAGAGAGAGAGGGAAAGAGAAAGAAAGAGAGAGAGTGAGTAATGAATAAGCAAATGGTTTGTTAAGATAGAAGAAAAGCAGCCGCTAAAAAAAAAAAAAAGAATTTATTGGTCGGATTGTTTGAAGGTGAAGAAGCACCTTGCAGTTCCTTAAATTTCACTTCTGAAACTCTCTCTCTACCTTTGTCCTCTTACTCTTCCTTCTTAACTTTTTGCATCATTATGTGATATCATAATACTTACATCTTTATCTTTTATCATTTCATTTGTTTTTTTTTTTCCCCCTCCCCCTTTCCCCTCCTCTTAAAATTATTTTATTAAATTTTGTTTACTTCTCAAAACGATCAAATCTTTTACAATGTGGTCACCAATTAATTATTGTAAATTTCTGCTTGTCTGTTGAGAAAAAACAAAAAACAAAAAAGAAGTCATTTCAACAAATCGTTCATTCAAATGTTAGTCATTTGGTTTTGAATATTTCACTTTCAAACTTTTCAACTACTAACGTGAAAATGCGCTTATTACTATCAGCAATTATCACTCCTTTCGTTTTTTTTTTTTTTTTTTTTTTTTTTTTTTTGCAAATTTTACTTATTGTTGTCAACTTTTTTTATTTATTAAAATAATATTTTGAAAGTGGCATGGTATAAGATGAGTGACGTTGTCAGATTCTTTCAAACTGTAAATTGACGCCTGATAAACTTTAACCCTTTTGGTGAATTCATCAATTTCAAAGTATCAGGTGTCATTTTTAAAGAGAAAATGTTTATTAGAAAAGGTGAGCAAAAATATCATTAATAAACATATCACAAATAATAATAATAATAATTTTTTATATTAGAAGATTATTATTATTATTATTAATTTTCTTTTGTTTTTCTCGATTAGAAAAAATTGGAATGATCCAATGACTTACTTAAGCTTTTGGCATTTTATTTACTGCCATTTTTCCTTGATAGCTTGTCTTTCAATAATTGAACAAAAACAAAAAAATAAAAAAAATAAAAATAAAAAAAAAATAAATAATCCATTCGCTATTTTTCTCATTTATTCCATTCACTAAATGGAAATTGTTTATTTCAGTAAAAGAAAAAAAAAAAAAAAAAAAACATTTCTTTTCGAATTCATTTTGATCGTTAAAATGCCTTCCACCAACTTTTCTAAATTTTTTCTTTCTTTTTTTCTTCCCCTTTTTTTTGTAATGTTATGAGTAAATTTAAAAAATTTTTTGAGTGATTTCTAAAAATAATATTTATTATATTTGCATAAAAGTACTACTATGTTTATCTCTCTCCCTGGAGATAACAATAATATTTGTAGAAAAGAATTGCAATTAATTCAACAAAAACAAAAAAAACAAGAAAAAAAAATTAGTCATTTAATTTCCATTTTTAAGCTTATTTCTTTATTGATTTTGTTGATATAATTTTAGTAGAATTTCGTAATTTTATCGAAAATTTTAAGTGGTATTCTCGAAAAAAAAAAGAGTGTAATTTGAATTTTTGACGCAATCAAGCATCCTTTAATGCATTTTTGAAGCTAAAGTAGTAATTTGCAAGTCAAAAATTTGTTTCCATCTATTTTCATTAGCTAAAAAAAATTTTAAACTATCAATTAGGAATGAAAATTATTTCAGATTGATTTTCATAAATTTCTAATCTAAAATTATATAATAATAATTTTATTTTACTTATTGCATTCAATCATTTCAATTATTTCAATGCGACATCCTTTCTTATCTTTTTTTGCTATGTTATTTTCTCTCTCTCTCTCTCTCTATGTTTTATGTGCTTGTTTTTTTTTTTCAACAAATTAAAAAAAAACAAAACAAAACTTTTTGTTTTTTAGATAATAAAAGTTATTTTATTCGGAAGTAGCAGCGAATGTTTTTCATTTTAACTTTAGACTTAATTTCATTCTTCTTACAAAATGAATGCTTTAAAAGTTTATCAAAAATAAATTAAAATTTCCCACTGATCAATGCTAATGTCACAGTTTACCAAACTTTACAACTTGTAATATTTGTTAATTTATTAAAAATTAAATATTTATGATATAATCGCAAAAAAAAAGTGGGTAATTTTAATTATATATTCTCTTCTTATCATTGTTAATAATCACTATTGCTATTCTAAAAATTTTTTTTTTCTGATAAATATTACATAATTAATTAGCCCAACAATTCAGTCAATTTTCATAAATTGTTAATTTTAGCTAATAATTTTTTTTTTGCAATTGTTTGATTTTAATTTGTCATTTATCATTTTAGAATTTATTTTAGAAAGAAATTTTTTTCAACTAAATTAGAAAACATTCTGTTGAGCAATTGGCCAACTTCTCTGCTTTCACATTTATTTTCAAACATAAATCATTTAAATTATGACTTATTCTAATGAAAATAATGATTTTATCATTGTTAACAAATTATCATTAATTGTTAGAGATAAGAAAGTGTAATGCAAAAGAGCAAAATGATCTAATCAAATAAATTTATTGATATTTGATCAATTCAATTAGCTAAAAAAAGAAAATGAAAATAACAATAGGAAGAAAATGGTAGATAAGAGAAAAAAGTAGAAATTTACTTACTATTTCAAAATTTTCTTTACTTTTCAAATAAAGTAACTTATGGATAGCTGTAAATTTTTGCTAAGAAATATTTCTGAAAATTTATATTCATAGAATTAATTTTAATTAATACAAAAATCATATAGAATTGCCAAAAAAAAGAAAAAAAGAAATCCTAATTTGTTGCTAATTTTAATTTCAATAATGAAATCCAGATTTAAATTCAGATCGAATTTTTAAGTTTGAATTAATTTTAGAAATTTGTGTTTCAAGTTAAATATGACATCATTGCGCTCATAATTTTGAAAATAATTGAATTACAAATATTTTGAACATATCAAAATATCACTTTCAAATTTAATTTTAATTTCATTTTTTTGCTTATTTAATTTTTCTAAGCATTTTCGTGTTTCATTTTCTATCCATTTGCTAATCACAATAAATTATATTTTAATTTATGATAATAATGATAAGCGATTTCTTCAATGCCATCTCAATGTCATTCATTTAAAGTTATTACAATTTTAACAATTTGTCATATCATTTTCACTTATCATTTTTATGCAAATACAACAACAAAAAAAAAGAAATACTCACTAAAACAATGGAAAAATTAACGCAGTAAATTTAATAAACGTAAGTGAATGACGTAAATATCACAACAAATTATATATAAATAAATAAGAAAATGGAATGAGTTGATCACATATGATCTGATCATTAAAATAATTCTAGAAATTCTGTCGTAATCGATCGAAAAAAAAAAAAAACTTTTCCTGATTTTATCATCTAATCAATCATATTTGACGTATACGCTGAGTCATTACGTGACACTCGTAAGGAATGAGTTCGAATTCTGATCACATTTCATTCGTTATGCACTTTCTTCACATAATTTTCATCACTTCACTAAAAGGCAGCTAAAATTCGATACATTGATGTTTGTTCTCTGTACCTTACACTTTTCAATTAATGTAACAATGAATATTTGGACGGAAATATTCGAAATCACGTCAATTCTTCTGTTATACGTGAAAGATTTACGTGTCGCATTGGAGAAGACTGTTAACAGTGATTACGTTAACGTTAAAATTATATATATGTTATAAAATGTATATTTCAAAAAAGAAAAAAAAAATGAGGTGATTTCAAACCCTCAAAAATAGTTTTTTTTTTTTTTTTTATTTGATAGATTTTTAATTTGAGTTAAAAAAAAAAAAAAAAAAACACAACGAAGAAAAATGTAAAGAGACGAATGTTTATTTTGATAATCCTTGTCTTCAAAATTTAAATTTTAGATTTACTGAATTTACTAAACAGAAAGAAAAAAAAAAGAGAGAGAGAGTTGATTTATATGAAAAGATAAAAATGAAAAATTAGAGTTGCAGTGTTTATTTTCGTTTCATCTCGTAAAAGTATCTATCGTCGAATACTAATTCATTATTAGTTGAAATAAGTAAAAATGTTTATTAAATTTGATTTTAATTTAGATCGATAAGATATCAGAGATTATTCTGATAAGATATTCAAATCGATATATATAAATATATTTGCTTCCTTCTTCCTTCTCGCATCAATTTAACAAAATTTATTTTTTCCTACTCTATCAAAGTGGCAGACATTATTATATTGTGCTAAACAATTTATGCCACAATGTTTAAGCTTAAGCTTATTTATTTCACACAACAATGAAACGTTTCTGGAAGTGGGTTGTGGATCAAAAAATAAGTACCATCCGAAAATGGCAATCAGTTATGCTTCATCTGGATCGTGATCAACATCACGGACGACGTCTGAAACCGATCGGTGGTAGTGATGATCAGTTGGAGCGAAAGCAAAAACGAAATTCAACAATTGTTCAGGAGGAGAATAATGATTATCAATCGAGTATTTCATTGCAAGATTTTGATATTGAACATTTAAATGAACCTGTTGATTTTGAAGAATTTTTTGAAGAATCTTCAGTTGCTATCGAATCAGCTTTGGTAGGTATTTTTTCTTGATTACTTTGTTTTTTTTTTTTTTTTTTTTTTTTTTTCAAATTAAGTAATTATCATTTTTACATTTAATTTGAAAAACCTTTTCAAACTATTACAATATTTTGTTCAATACCATATATTTTTATCAGTGAAATTTTTATAAAATTGTATAGATTTTAGAATTTTAACTATTTGAAATTTGAATATTTTAATTAGCAAAGTTAAGATTTCAATTTGAATATTTTAATCTGAATTTAAAACATAATTAATTTTCTACTGCTATTTTAGCATATTCACTCCATTTACTGTCTCTTCTACCACACAGCAACTATTAAATAAATTTATCACTATGGTTACTGAAAAATTGAAAGGATAATTTCAACGAATAATTGAGAATTTTAACTGAAATTTCATGAAACTGTCAAATTCTGTTTCCTTTTATCAGAAAAATTACATAGAAATATAATTAGAATGGATTTTTTTTTAAACTGAATTGATTTCGATTTAAATTAATAAAGTGGTAGTTATCTAAAAAAGAAAAAGAAAAACTTTTCTTTAGATTTTCTCCCATTGATAATATAATTAATTAAATCATTTCTAATACAATCATCATTAAGATAAAAATTTCTAATTATTTTTTAATTAATCTTATCATTTTAATTTTAAATATACTTTGAATGATATCAATGATATCTCATAAAATTTTTTAAAAAAAATTTTTTTCATTTATAACATATATTCCATAATTTTTTTTTTTTTTTGTTTTTTTGTTTTTTTTCCATTTTTTCTTTTTGAAAATATAATTTATTTTGTTAAGGAAATGTATTATTGATTGAAAAAAACATTCTGTTTCATTTTTCCATCAAATTCTATTCGAATTAAAGAAAAATTTTTAAGAACGATTAGGATAAGTAAGTGAAATTGAAGCACTGTTATCACTGCAACGGATAATGTTTTAAGTATTGAAAGTGCATCTTCACTTACAAAGTGAATGACGTTTACGACAAATGGCACAAAGTATTTGTTTGCATTTATTGATGAGTGGAACGAAAAGATGAGAGAAAGAAATGGAAATTTTAGGGATTGTAAAAGATTTATTGACTCATACATGAAAATGAAGTTAAATTTTTTTTTTTTTTCAATTAAATCTATTCCTCCTCTACTATTTGCTTTTTAATAATAATAATTATAATAATAATAATAAAAGTAATAATAAAGATAATCTTATTTCTCTACTATTTACTTTTTAACAATAGTAATAGTAGTACAAGTAATAATAATAATCTCTAAACAATATATACTTCATTTCATTGTTATTTTTTTCAAATGAGATTAACAATGGAAAATTATCCTTAGAAATTGAATAGAAAGAAGCATTCGATCAAAATAACAACAGCTTAATTCTTATTTATTTCTAAATTTCTTACAGAATGTTTATTATTTTGCAAATTGTTCAACAAATCACTCTCAATTATTTCGGGAATAAAATTATTTGATTTATTCGTTTTTCTTCATAACTAAATAATTATATTATAATATTTTTTGTGATAATATCAATGATAATAATAAGTTCTATATTCAAGGAAAAATAAGAAGGAAAATTTTAAAATTGTTAAAATTATTACTTCAAAAGATCAACATTTATTATTTATATTTCAAATGGTTAGCTAATTAGTTCTTAGTGATTCATTCACTCATTCATTTATTACTTTTATCCATTCTTTAATGACAAAATAAAGTTAATTCTTTGTGTTATTTTGCTAAATTAGCCAAGCATTAATTGATTAATTAATTAGCTAATTAAATATGCAAGCAGAACTTTTTTAAATCTTTCCTTTTTAATGGCCATGAAATGTGGAAAAAGGAAATTTGAATTTACAAAATTTTTTATTTCCTATTTAATGATACTTTTCTTTTCTTTCCTTACATCGAAATTTTAATGGAAAATTATTTTAAAAGCAGAAAGATTGTTTGCTGAATGTGAAAAATGTGCTTCAGAAGTGATAGAAGTGCTGGAAATTAATAATTAACTTTGCATTTACTCTGAACTTTTACAGTACTATTAGCAATGAGGAAACTTAAAAAGTATGATTTATTGAAAAAATCATACAAGCATTAATGTGAAATAAATATGCATGACCTTTAACCTATTAATAACAAATAGTCTGAATTTCTCTGTTTGTACGGTCTGAGATACGCTTTTAACCTATGATTTGAATTAATAGTTGAAATTTTTTCGGTAATAATTGATGTGAAAGCATGCGCAAAAGTTGAGAAAAAGCAGGCGCAGAAGTTGAGAAAAGGCGGGCGCAAATGGAGGGAATTGCGCATCTGCTACATTTCAGTTTTGATGCATGATCCGACATTGCAAAGATGCCTCGTGCTGGGATCGAACCAGCGACCTTCTGTTTACGAGACAGACGCTCTGCCACTGAGCTAAGGAGGCTTCCAGCACTCAACTGCAACTTTTTATTTTAATATAAGATTTAAGTTTGTAGTAAAAATGTAAATGAATTCATTTCAAGAACTAATTACTAAAAACTAATTTATATACTCAAAAAAAAAAAAAAAAATTAAATTAAAAAAAAAAAAGAAAAACGAATTTTACAAGAACTAATTAATGCATTATCTTGTATGGCGCCAATCTTTAACTTTTTGTCATTTTTGTCACCGTTCAGTCATTTTCATTCATTATCTATTATATCGGAGGGATGATGGTTAATTGTATATAATATCAAATTACTATTTAAACAATAAATTTTATGGAATAATTTTAGTCTATTCTGAAAAAAAAAAAAAAGAAATTACTCTATTAATTAATTTTAAAATTGTTAATTAATATAATTGTTTCAGGAAAAAAAGCATGGAAGTTCAGTATCAACTCCAAAAAAATTATCTGCAACAATGGAATTATCATCTACTCTTAGGTGAGTGTATTTTATCCTTTTTTTTAAAATATTTCAAATAAAAAAAAAAAAAATTTGTTTTTTCTTTTTCATTTTATTTAAATTGTTATGCAATAATTTAAAACAAAATTGTATTAATTTTAATTTCTAGTCTTGATAACCCATCAGAATCCTTTCAACATGATAAACGATCAAGAAAACCGACAATTTTGGTGACTAATATGAATAACGATTCCACGTCAGTACTACTTTATCATGTCCGATTTACGATGTCTTCAAGTTCTTTTATCTTTTTGATGATAGTATATTGTTTAAAAAGTTGTAACATTTGATCATTTGATCAATCAATAATCGATCATAATTTAAAATGATTTTAAACAAAATAATATTTATTATTTTATTATTAACAAAATATAATTTTCATTATTATTTCTTTCATAACATTTTTTTTTTTATTGTATTATAGTGAAGTGGACGATGAATTTATTAGTGGTGAATTCGACGAACTTTCATCTTCTCCTCTTAGTACAAATCGTAAATATACGATTAATATTCCACAGGTTTATTCATTCTTTCTTGCATATTCTCAAATTTTAAATTAATATTTGAAATTTGAGAAATTTCAAATATTGTTTTTCTCTCTCTTTCCCTCTCTCTCTCTCTCTCTCTCTCTCTTGTTTATCACAAAGAGAAAAATTAATGCTAATAATTCATTAGTTTTCATCATTTTTCAATAGTTTTATTTGTTTTGTTTAACAATTTCAATTTTAGATGTCAAATGAATCGTCCAATTTATTGATAACTGTAAGTAATGAAAGCACTAATACACCTTCACCTCCATCTATTTCTTCCAATCAATTATCTTTGACAAATGACAATGCTTTGACATTAGACGATCAACAAGCAGCAAAATGTCGTGGACTATCATTAGCTGGCACAAGTAGTACTTTACATGAAAATGAGAAAGAAAAATTAGCTGAAAAGAAAAAGAAAACATCGTTACAAAATTTGCGACTTTGTAATATACAGGTATTATTAATTTATTATTGTTTATGCTAATTTATTATTTCTACATTTTAGTTTTAAATATTTTAAAAAAAAAAAAAAAAAATGTCTTTAAAGAATGTGTCAATTCCAATGATCTATTTGATAATTTTGAAAAGTGTAAAATTTGATTACTTTTTAATTTTTTTACATATCAAAAAATTGATGTTTTAATTTAATTAATATTTGCTATAAAATGTTTTTTCTTTTGCAACTTTTTATTACAAAATGAATGTATTTTGTGATAAAGTAAAAGAAATAAATGAAGAAAAGTATGAAAAAAAAATTGAATATAATAAATGAAAAAAAAAAAAAGAGGAAAAAAGTAAAACTAAACTTTTAGGTAGAACATTCATTAAGTAGACATCGTTCTACCGAAACATTGCCTTCTCTTACATCGGCACAAATTCACTTAATACGAAATATTTGGCGACAAGTTTATATCACAAAAGGTCCAACTGTAATTGGTTCAACACTACTGCATGGAATATATTTTAAATCAAAGAAAATAAAGGATCAATTCTTTAGATGTCCTTTTCCTCATCGATTTCCCAATCGTGATAGTTTTAATAAAGCACATGCAAAAGCTGTTGGTGAAATGTTGGATAAAGTAAGTCTTCTGATATGCTTATCATATGATAAGAAATGCTAACAGCTACGAAGACTAAAAGCAATTAAGCAGATTTAATTAGAATGATAAAAGAAATGCTTGTGATAAGATAAGAAATGTTAATAGCTGTTAGTAGAGTAAGAAATAAAATTAAAAATAATTAAACAAATTTTCAAAATAATTAAGCAGATTTAATTAGAATGATAAAAGAAATGCTTGTGATAAAATAAAAAATATTAACAGTTACAAAAACTAAAAATAATTAAGCAGATTTAATTGGAAGAAAAAAAAAATGTATCTTTTATATTAATTTAGTATTATTGTTGATCAATTTTTCTGCTTAAAAATAACTTTAACTTATTGTATCTTCAGATTAGATTTCTTCTAATTAAATTTGTTTAATTATTTTGAAATCATTTCTGTCTGCCATATTTTTTTTTTATTGTTTTCCATTTAATGATAGCTCATAATAAATTATTGATAAGAAAAATGTTGAAAATTGTCGTTGCTTAATGTTAATTTTTTTTTTTTTAATAGAATATTTGATTCAATTATAATTTCATTCCTTTGTTACTTGCAGATTGTTGACAATTTAGAAAATTTAGAATCAATGTCTGGATATTTATTTTCTATTGGTGTCACGCATGCAAATGTTAGTTAAATTTTGCAAATTTTATACACAAACATTTTGTAAATGCAATTAATTTTAAGTAAGAATTTATTATCAAAATATTGTTGAATTTTTTACAAATTATAATAATAGTTTGATATTAAATTAGTCTGTAAAAATTGTATTTGAAATATTATTATCATTAACACAGGTGATGGTACTTTTCAGTTAGCTCGGCGACAAATATCGAAGGAAATTTGGAATTTAATGGCAGAAGCATTTATCGATTGTACCTTGGATTGGGGTGACAAGAAAGGTCGTACGGAAGCTTCAAGAAAAGCATGGGCTTTTATAATTTCATTTGCTATAGAGAAAATTAAACGAGGACATTTACATGAAGTAAGCATTTTTAAATTTTATTAAAATTTCTTTTTTTTTTTTTTTTAAATAGAATGTTTCGAGTTAATTTCATTGTAAAATTATGCTAAAACACTGCAAAAAAAAGAAAATTTTTTTTTCAATCTTTTGCAAATATGTAAAATTTTTGTTGAAATTTTGTTGGATATTAATAGATTACAGTAGTTTTCAAGAAATTTGAATTAAAGAATTAATTTTTTAGAGGCGGCAATTAGCCTATCATAGACGATCATCAACGGTTGTACCATTTCAAACCATTGCGCCAGTTCCTTCGTTACCATCTTCCGCTCCAACTATTCCATTTTGGAAAACCACCGAAGAATCTGACTCACATATTTAAATGTTTTAAACTGTATTTAAAGAAAATAATAATAATAATAATAATGAATACTTTTCTTTTTTTGCTATGCAATAAAACACGCAATCAATTTCTGGTTGATTTCATTAAAAGTAATTAAGATATAATTTAATTAAATAAATTATTTCCATTCTACATATTCTTGTTTGGAATTTAATTTCAAATTTAATATAAATTAAGTGAATGCAAATGACAATTTGCTCTCTTATTAAAAAGGATGAAAAGAACTTCTGCACAATGTTTCTTTTTTTTTTTTCTGAAAGCTGAGTGCTCAATTAATTCAATTTTAATTCTATTTAAGTATTTATTTTATGAAGCAAAAAAAAAAATGGGAAACTATGGGAAAATTTAAATATGACAAGAAAAAAAGAAATTCATTTGCCTCCAGGAAATTTAGTTAAAACCTTTTGTTATAGAAATAAATATTTAAACAATATCAATACAAAACAATTTTTATAATCACACCTAAAATGCTCGACCATCATTTAATTTATTTTAAAATATTAAATTTTTAATTTATTGCTTACAAATTTTTGAAAATTGTCAGATGCGCGCATTTTACCTTGTGTCGTTAAAAATTTTCAAAACTTTTCTTCTAAAAGAGATGAAAGATTGCTATTTGAATAAATTGGAATTAAGAAATATTGCAAACATTTTGAGGATATTTAATGATTTCTGCTTCAATCAAAAATAATAACCAACAATGTATTTGAATAAATTGAAAAGAAACTATTTATAATTTATGATTTCAATTAATGAAATTAAAAAAAAAAAAAATCGTTTTGCTAAATTTAATGAATAAAATAGAAAAGAAAAAACACAAATGATTGCTTTCTGGAAATTTCATTCAATTTTATGCAGAGAAAAATCTAAAAAATAACAAAAAAATTGGTGTGATTGCAATTTATTAATTTATAATTTTTTTTCCAACTAAGAACTTTTTAATTCTTTCTTTTTTTTTTTTTTGAATAATTTCTATTATTTAAATTTTAGCTTCTTCTCAATTCTCGACTTTCATTTCATTTGTACCTTTTGTACCATATTTTTATGTAAGTATATAAGTTTTATCCTCAAAAATTCCGCTGAACAAAAAATTGTAAAAAAAAAATAACTAATTGTAATTGTATGTAAGTTAGGAAAAAAAAACTAAATATATCTATTAAATCTACTATAATATAATACATTTGAAAGATTTCTTTCAAAATTAACAACATAATTATTTTCTATTATATATTACTAACTATTAATTAAATAAATATTGTATAGCAAATTACTAAATTAAATTTAACAAATGCAAATTTGTTTTTTTTTTTTATCACTTTTATACATTCCTATAAATACTTTTTCATTGTCCTAAAAATTTGTTTAAATTTCAGTATCAATTAATGATATATATATTCGTATGTATGTGTCATTTTAATTCACAGAAATTCCGCTGGACAATATTTATGAAAAAAAAAAAAAAAAAAACAAACAAATGACCAATTGTAATTGTATGTAAGTAAATTAAGAAAAAAAAAAAAAAAAAAAAATGATTGAAATGGCTGTAATTGGTGTGAAAAAAAGAACATTCCAATGTTATTTTCTTAACTTATCGATATAATAATTTCAATGATTTATGTGAATTCCCATTAACCTGGTTAAGCTTTTTTTTCTTCTCATTTCATTTACTGAATATTTTTCCTCTATCTTTCTTTCTCTCTCCCTCTCTCTCCTTCTCTCTCTCTCTCTCTCTCTCTCTCTTCTGGTCTCAATTTAACTCATTTCAATAAAATCATCATTGTGTTATAATATAATTTACAAATTATTAGTTGACATGATTTCATGTCAGTTTATTCAAATTTTTCATTCGTTTCACAAATAACTCTGAACTGACTACAATATACTGTTTACTTTAGATTATTATCACAACAAATTGGATATGATGGTGGCATTTGCTATCATTTCTTGCTTACTACTTATTAATATTGTTAGTTTTTTTGCATAATTGATCTAATCATTTTGAATTAAATTTAAATTATTAAAATTTCCATACAAGTCATCTGGTGCAGGTGGTCTAGTGGTTAGGGCATTCAGCTTTCACTTGCGGTTGCTGGGTTCAATTCCCGCCAATGACGAGGCGCAGTTTTCTGCTCTGGACTATCTATCTTGTTGAATTAGGTCTTGGTTTAATTCAAATCGTTTGAAAAAGGAGAAAAAACCTTCGGGAGAATTTTTCAATCGCTGATTTCATTGAATCATAGTTGTCTTTGCATAAATGAACTTCTGGGTAAAATTTACTTAATTTAATTCGAAATTTAAATTTTTAATTACAAATTACAGCAAATTAATTAATTTTCAAGTATTACAAAATTAATATTATGCTGAAGTACAAATGAAATACAAAAATAAAAGCTAATACAATGATAATTCTTAAGAAATTATTGAATTAATATTTAAAGATTTTTGACCATTTCATGTTTTTGCAATGAGAGCCATAAAATCTAATTACTAAGTCATATTAGCATCATTTAGACGTGTCAAGATTCAATATCAGATGTTAGCCTGATCGAGAATAGTGTTGCTGGTGAACCGGAAGTGGAATGCGGTTTAGATGGTATTGAAATTGATGTGATTACCACATATGCATTTTTTGGCAGATTGTATGTTCAGGTATCAAAAAGTATAACTTTATTAGCATTCAATTTTGTCAGATATTCGGTGATAATTTAGTTTTTGATAGAATGTTCCAGTTAGCACTTAGAATCACTGATAGTGATTGATCTGTTCGATCATAAAAATTGATCACTGTGTATGAATATTACCTTGATAACACTTATCGAGATAGTCTGACATAAGATAAAACTGAAAAAAACATTTTAATCATTCCACATCGATATTTTTGAATAATTAATAAACAGAAAGAAATTATTCATTATTATTATTATTATATCTTCTTGAATTGTACTCTTAATTAAGTAAGTAATTTTGAAAGTTTCAAGGGTGAAAGTGATAATCCTAATTGTGTAACATCATATTTTGGAGAAGATCAGCAGTTAAATAACGATCAACAGCTAAAATTTTCATTGAAATTTGGTGAATGCAACATGCGACGTCAGCGCACGGTACTTTTTAGCCGATTTCTTTTTTTTTTTTTTTTTTTTTTTTTTTGAAAATCTATTTCATAGATTTGGTTTATTTTTCATAAAAAGTAATCCATAATGGGATGAAAGAATCTAAATTCATTATTCCTTTATCAGTTACACATTTTTTTTTTTTTGTAAAATAATTCGATAACAGTAAACAAAAGTATTTTATTGTTAATTCGCTTGAAAATTTCATTTCTTTTTTTTCTCGGTAAAATTTAATTTTAATTATTTAATTCCATGGCAGTTTATTGCAATACATTTCAAATTTAACTTTAAGTCAAAGCTTTTTTTTTTTTAAAGTTATTTAAGTTCCTTCTGAAGTGTTATCTTTTCATTATCAAAATTATTTTCCTCTTTTTCTTTTTTTAATCTTCGATCAGCTTTTTAAACATTTTATGAATTGCAAATTGTAATTAATAATATTTTTTTTTTGTTCCAAATTTTCGTATATTTTCAAATTTTAGTTGAATCCACGTGGTGTTGTTTATACGTTTACACTCATCGTATCATTCCATCCGGTATGATATTATCCCAATTTTGTTTTCAATAATATTTTTAAAATTTTAAAAAATTTTAAGTATTTCTCTAAGTTAAGCTAAATAACGAGAATTCAATCGAAATTAACATCTTCTTCTTAACTTAAATTTTTGATTGCTATAAAATAATATCAGAGTTGAATTTAAGATCTTCGAGACAGAAATTGATCGAGCATATCAAGTACGATGTTTTTTCTCTGAGTCAGTTAAAGCATTAGAAGTTACATTAGGTGTTAGGTAAGTCATTTATGTTTAACTAAAAAAAAAAACTTTTTTAAATAAAATTTATAAGATTTTTAAAAAAAAATTTTTTTCTTTTTTGCCAGTTAAAAATCTGCTAAAAAAAAATTTGTTGTTTAAAATTTATAATTAAATGTTTGTTTGTTTGTTATTGCTTCTTTTTTTTTTTTATAATTCAATGTTTTATTCTAATATCTGAATCATAGCTAATTCTGAAAAGAAAAAAAAACATTTAAATCAGTAAATTTTTTTTTAAAAAATTGAATTGAATGAAATGTTTAATCTTTTCTCTTCCATTAAATTATAATTTATTAAATTTTTTTCTCTATGAAAGTTAAATAAATTAGTGATATCACATATTCATAAGTATTTAGTCAATTAACAACGCAAATTATTGCAAGAGAATTTACTCTTCCGACGTGTATGTACGAGATACGTGAAAGCCGTAACGGTCCATTGATCAAATTTGCGCATATCGGTGATCACGTATGGCACGTATGGCATTGTGATTTAGGTTAGTTGTAAAAATGATTATCTTTCGAAATTAATTCACTTTTTTTCATTACAAAAAATATTATCTAATCTGAAAATTTAATGAGATTAATTAATTTGTTGCTAAAAAAAATTAATGGAAAGTTCAAATTAATTAATTAATTTCATCAATTTATCCTAAAAAAAAAAAAAAAAAAACCTTAAAACTTAAAAAATTTTTATACCAAATTTACTGCAATAATACTAAAATTAAGAATCTGGTGCAATATATGGTATGCTAATTCATTCATGTTATGTTGATGATGGCCAAGGCAAACATGTCCCAATTGTTGACAATAAAGGGTCATTTTCAAAAATTTATTTTTCTAAAATTTAAAAGTTTTTTTTTTTTTTTTTTTCAATCATTTCCATTTTTCTTTATGTTTCAATTTTACATACATCTAACAACGTTTTTTCATTGCAAAATTTTAACATTCTTTGCAATTTCATACATTTTACTTTTTTTTTTTTTTTTTTTTTTTTTTTTGCATTAAAAAATGGAAAAAAGTATTTTAAATGTTTTTTTTTTTTAATGTAATGAAATTAATTTAGATGTGTTTTGGATTCTTTATTATTATCTGATATTCAATATGATGATCAAGCTATAACAGCATATGCAAAAACACGAGTTTTTAAATATTCTGATAAAATTCAATTGTATTTTACGTGTACCGTGCAACTTTGTGTGAAGAATGATGGTGGCTGTGATGATGTGACAGTAAGTTGACAATTTTATAATAGAATGAAATCTTATGAGAATTTTTTGATCCGAATGCAAGATTATTAATGCAAAAATGATGTAAAAATTTAAGCCTAAAAATGTAAGAGTAAAATGAAATAAAAAAAATAAAATTAAAATTTATTAAATAAACAGTGATAATAGTATTGTGGATAATTATTTGATAAGATTCAACTATATTATCAAAATAATTCTAATTTTGTTATAAATGAACAAATCCGCTCTTACTTTATCTTTCTTTTTTTTTTGCACCAAACTTTGAAAAGTAGCAGAATTTTTTTTTTTTTTTTTTTGTTTACTTTTACTTTCAGCCACCAGTTTGTGAAGATGAACTTTTGACACAACTACCAATCGAATATTCTTCGCCAGAGCGTAGTTATTATGATGATCCATCACATTTTCAACATCATAGTATTTTTTAAGATTCTCAGAAATTTTGCCAGTACTTTTAGTATGATGGATATGATATGAGAATATGATGAATAATAATAGTAATTAATAATAATAATAGTAATAACAATAATAAATAACAGTAATAAATAATAATAGTATTTCTCTTATCAATAATTACAAATAATAATAATAATAATAATAATAATAATAATAAATAACAGTGATAAATAATAATAACATTTCTCTTATCAATATAAGTAATAAATAATAACAAGAATTAATAATAATAGCACTTCTCTTATCAAAAATACTTAACTAATACTTACCTATGTCCTCAGTAATACTTACCTATATCCTCAGTAATACTTACCTATGTCCTCAGTAATATTTACCCATGTCCTCAGTAATACCTGTGTCCTCAGTAATACTTACCCATGACCTCAGTAATACTTACCTATGTCCCAAATACCTAAGTAATCATTATCACTTACATCATAGCAACAAACATCATTTTGATATAATTTGACAGTTATCATGATAATTGGTACCTTATCATGATAACAGCAATTGACTGATTTTAGAGATCGAAAAAGAATTCTTTGGACCCATAGATGGGGAGCGTAAAAAAAACACAAGAAATTTGCATGTGACACCACCGTCACCATTGCAATCACCACTGGAATTTGGGTGAGTTTTTTCAGACAATCAAAAATTGTCTTTCATAATTCTTTTTTTTTTCTTCTTTTTTCTGCGAAATTTCATCAATTTCTAATTTTATAAAATTTTATGAAAATAAATTATATTAAAAATGTATATATCTCATTTAGTTTCCTAAAAACTAGCGCTGTACCACGTAAATTACGTGTTCAAAGAGAAATTCGTCGTGACAATAATTTGAAGAAGCAATCAAAATTGTCAAATACAAAAATGAAAATTGCTGAAACAGATCTTACGGCACATGTTATTGTCTTTCCAATGATTGAAATTTCACCTTCAAATACATCTTCAAATGTTAATAAAGGTAATTTAATTAACAAAACATTAACATTAAGCAAAATAAAAAAGTATGATGGACAAATAGTAAAGATGAAAATGACAGAAAAAAATGAAGAAAGAAAGAGAAAATTCGGTAAGAAAACCGGAAAAAAGAAAAGATCAAAGAAATGTTCGCTTTTGAAGGACGTTCCTTTTTTTTTTTTTTTTTTGTAAAGAAGACAAGTTTTTGAAAAGGTGAAATGATAATGAAATAAATTGATATGCCAATCATATCAATAAGTGATAAAATATTATCAAAATATATTTTGATAACATTTGATTAAGCTACGATCGATTTAATTTATTGTATGAATTAATTGTCTTTTGTCTTTCTTTTTTTTAAATTATAAAATTAATTTTTATTAATTTTAGCAATAAGCGAGGAATCGCATATTATTTCAATTTGTCTTTCATCATTGGATATGCTTTTACTTCTTGGTACAATAATGTTTTTATTTGGTGCATCCTGTTTGATCACAATGTTATTTATTAGACATAAACAATTCTGTTGTATTACTTCAGTTATGGATGATGATGGAATATGCAAGAAAAGGCCTACTAATAATAATAATAGTCTTTGGTGAAATAAAAAAATATTTTTAATAGTTGAAAAAAAATTTTGAAAAGTGTAAAAAAAAAAAAAAAAAAAACAAATCTTTACTCTTATTTAATTTAATTTCAGAAATTTTTTGAATTGTAAACTAGATAATATTGTAAAATACGATGGGTTTTCTTTACAAATACTTTCAATGATTTCTCTTTTTTTTTTTTTTTTTTTTTTTTTGTTTTTTAATTTAATGCTAAAAATAGTGTGAAATAAAAGTTTTATTTGTGAACAAAAAATTTTTGAAAATTTAAAAATAATTTCGTAAATGAAAAAAAAAAAAATAGGAGCATTCTTATTTTTATTTCCAATAAATGAAGAAAAAAAAATAAACAAACAAACAAATGATAAAGTAGAGATACCAATATCAAACATAAATATCCTGAGACATTTGAAATAATCAATTTACCTTAGAATGCTAATATAATATTTCTTATCAAAATTTCGCTTATAAAAAATTTCTTAGCAAAAAATAAAAAATAATAATATAAAATGAGCAGTTCAAAGAAAAAAAAAAAAATGCATAAAATAGTGAGAGGTAGATTAAAAAAAATGTAATAAAAAAAATATTGCATTAATTTTTACCTATCTATCATCTAATTAAGTATTTATCAAAATTTACTTTAATTAAATTATCATTTAATCATTTAATTAACTTAATTAAGTTATCATAAATTGAATCATTTAGGCAAATATGTTTAGAGAAAATGTGTCGCCGCATAATATAAAAATGAAATTTAAACTGAAAAAAAAATTTCTTTTTTTTTTTTTAAAAATTAAAATAAAAGAATTGCTAAGTTCTTTTTCATTTTTTTTTAACTTTACTTTGCATTTAAAGAGACAATTATCATTTAAAAAATTATACATATTTCTTTCTTTCTTTTTCTTTTTTTTTTTTTTTTTTTTTACACAGAATTAAAATAAGCATAAAATGAGAAAAAAATAAATGATTTCACGAATTTCACTTCTTCCTACCAAGATTTGCAGCCAATGAACCAAGTGCAGCACCAATTTGTGCACCTTTATGTGCAGAATACCTGATAATGATAAATTATAATGATTAGCAATGATATCGTAACAATGAAAATAATTATAATAATTTTGTTTATGTGAATGAAATTAAAATTAATCGAAAAATTGTTATAAATAAATAAGCATAATAAATGGTCATACATGTGATGAATATCAGCATAGTGATAAGGATGATAAGGATGAGGCTGATAATATGGCATTGGACCAAAAGCAGGATAAGGATGATACCAAGAAGCATGATGATAACCAAAACCATAACCAACTGGTTGATACCACCATGCTTGAACTCCTTGTGCAATTAATATGATATATAAAGTAGTAAATATTGATAATATCATAATTGAAATCTAAAAAATAGATATAATTGAATTTTGCTTGTATTTCTAATTGCACTATAATTAAATCTTTCATTTAAAAAAAAAAAAATTAAATAAACTCAAAGATATTGTTTATAAAACAATTTAGCATTTTATAAATGAAATGAAAACAAAAAAGAAAAAATAAGAAAATTTCAAAAAGAAAATTCAATTTACAAAATTCAATCAAAAAGAAAATTCAATTTAAGATGGAGAAAAAGAAGAAAAATAAAAATATTTTTTTAATTCTTTCGTAAATTGAAGAAAGAGATAAAAACAAAACAGTGAACAAAATAAACGATAATTAACTATGAACTTATTTAACCCATTAAGAAAATGTTAATCAAGTTTGTAGTATGTCATGTCATGGATGAATAACATACACACATACACACATGCATACATACACACATACACACATGCATACATACACACATACATATATTTTAATTTTTAAAATATTACTCATACATAGCAGTACTGCAAATGAAAGGGAAATGAAAAAGAAGTATGAAAGGAGGTATTTTTTCTTAATATTGTATGAATTAGTAACTATACTAGTAAGTAATACCTAACTACAAGTAAGCAATACTTAATTACGAATAAGTAATAGCTAATTACGAGTAAGTTATATCTAAAAAAAAAATAATAATAATTAAAATAATAATAATAATAAATAAGTAATACCTAATTTGACTTATGCAACTGATCTAAAACAATTATTTGTGAAAAAGCTGCTGAATTCATGAACAGCATGCAAATATTAATTGATTTCAAAGTTATCATTTATATATTTATTTCATTTTTGACCTTCAGAAACTGGTTCTCATTACCCGCTTATAATAAATAGTTTAGCTCAAATTTCGTAAAATTATATCAAATAGAGCAAAGGTTAAGAATTCCACTGTCCAATTCTTACTGGTTTATTTGATTGTTTATTTGATTTTTTTTTTAAAAAAAAAAATAAAATAAAATTAAGAAAAAAGAAAGAACTAACCTTTTTCAATTCTTACCTGCTACAGAAAGCAAGCTAAGGCCACAGTTCACTTGATTTAATTAATTTAGCAAATGATAAAAGTAAACTGATTTGTTTTTCTCGTTGATTGTTAATATTATATCTCGAGAATAGCGCTAGTAGATTCGATTTTTAAATGATTGGAGATTTTAAAAAATGTGATCGAATTATCACCAATAACAATTCGTCTTACTATCATTTAGCTATGATATAGCAAATTATCAACATTTGTCATTTTATGTCAATTTTGATAATTAACTTTCATTCTGCCATTTAAATCGTAAATTTTGTAAAAAAAAAAAAAAGGAAAAACAATATGGAACAAATATAGTTATTTTATTATCATTGAAGCAAAATATAGAAAGGAACAAAGATCATACAAACACGTTGTAATCAAATAGAAAAAAAAAAAAAAAAGCAAAAAACAAATCTAAAAAAGCAATATTAAAAGAAATAATAAAATTTCTTACAAAAAAAAGAAAAAAAAAAAAAAAAAAACTGTCACTTGCACTTTGCACTATTTAACAAATAAAAAACAATCATAATATTTGAATATTATTAAGTTATGAAAATATATGCAAGTAATTTAACTTTCAGTTTTTTCTTTTTTTCTTTCAAAATTTACAACTTTTACGATGAAAAAAAAAAAAAAAATTTAGCATAGCCTAGTTGTTCAATAAATATATGAAATATTTATTAGAATTACTACTAAAAAATCAATAATACAATGAAGTTATGTATATATATATATTTATAAAATTATTATTATATGAAGACCGGCAAATTGAATTTACATAAACGGAAACAAAGACAAAGAATTAAGAAATTAATTTATTTTAAGAGAGTGAAATGATTTATTTCAGATGAGCAATGTGAAATATTTTGGATCTCTATTGAAAATAATTAAAATGAATTGAAATTTAAACATTTGATTACCTACAAATTTATCTCTCAGATTCATAAGAACATATATTTCAGTGCAAGAGCAATAACATTTATTTAAATAAAAAAACAAAATTAAAAAAAAAAAACAATGTATGATTGTAAATTGAATAATTTAACGTCTAACAAGGAAAATGTGTTTAATATAATTTTTTTTTGCAAATTTATAAGATTAAAAAAAATTTTCATCTACTTTTCTTAACAAATTCATACAGTTATTTACTTATTGAAAAAAAAAAAAAAAAAAAAACAAATGTATAGAAGTAATTACAGCACCAGTAAAATGCAAAAGAAATTTAAATGAAAAAAAAAAAAAAAAAAAAATGCAAAAATAAAAGAGACGAAAATAAACAAAAAAGAAAGTTTTAATAATGGCAAATATAAAAAGGATACAATTTAAAAGAAATGAAAATTTTTATGCCATTAAAAAATGAAAATTAGAAATAAAAGAGAGCATTAATCAAACAAAGAAAGCATATGAAAAATTAAAGAAGAAAAAAGAAAAAGTAATAATAATGAAAATTGACTTATAACAATAACAAATAAACTTATGCATTTTTTAAAAAATTTTTAAAAATGATTAATTTTAAGAGAAACAAAATGATCTGTTACCACTGATGAAGTATTCTTATCCAATGATACTTGATCCCATTGCTGTCCAGTACCAGATTTTAAAGCTAGTGACCAATTTTCACTACTATTTGACACAGAATGAGGCAATCTAAAATGATCATTTGAAAAAAAAAAAATTTTTTTTTTTTCTTTCAGATTCAGCTAAATTTGAAAATTTTGAAAAAGTTTCTTAACACATGAACAAAGCCAACCATCAATAAAAGTGTCAAAAATTGCTTTATGCTTATTTAGTATCACAACATATACTCAATAAGTGTTTTCAAAAAATTTTTGTGTATATTAAATTTTTAACGCTAAAAATTTCTCGGTTAAAATTTCATGTGAAAGTTAACTGAACTGCGTGCAATAATTCAAATGAAAAATATTTGTTAAATTTTTGAGACAATAATTAATAGCATAATTTCAGAACGGTGGATGCAAATTACGCAAATATATATAAAAAATCACCGTAATTCGACCGGAATATTGAATTGCAAATTCTGTGGTCCACACATCACCAGTGGACTCATTAAACTTTCACCGCGACTTTCATCAAGTGGTGGTCGATTTCCGGCATCGCTTGCACGGCAAACTTTTACGTAAATTTCTTGCTGAATCTGAAAGATATGAGCAATCTTTAACCTTTCTCTTTGTTAATAAAATTGTGTTCAGAAATTTCAAATCAATTAAGAAATTATGAAATTTTGACAATTTTTTTTAAAAAAAAAAAATGACAATTTTTAGAATAAATAATATTGCAAAATATATATAAGCACTAAAATAAGATTTAAAAAATATATTTAAAAAAAAAAAAAAGAAAAAAACTCACGCCTTCATTAATTGCTCCTTCCGGAATGATTAATGAAACACCAGTTTTTGGGCAATTTAATCTTCCACCACGGGCATCTATTATTGCTGTGGAATGCTCAATAACTGTAGCATTAGGATCTGAACTGATAATAACTTCTTTTTTTGTGATATCACTATTATCAGCACTAGTGATACGATCCATTGCACCATTTAAATCACTTGTTGGAGATGCATGTGATAATCGCAGAATAGAACTATCATCATCAGTGTTATGCATCGTTTCATTATTCTCGCTAAATCTGTTTTAATTATAAATTGTCTAGGAAAGATATGAAATTTTATCAAAAATTCACTTCTCTAACTAACTTAATGACTAAAGAATTTTTAATTGAAAAAACAATCTTAAAATTACTAAAGTATAAAGAGTAGAAAGAAGACATTAAACATTTTATTATTACAGTCTGTTATTTCAGATTATCTATTAGAACAAAAATGAAGAGTTACCTTATCAATACCTTATACTTATCAATATCACAAATACCTTATCAATATCTTATCAATATCAGAAATACCTTATCAATATCGGACTTTCACGAGGTAACGATGATAATGGAGCATTTGAAGAACGAAACGGTGAATGAGTAATTTGCGATGACATATTTTGCTTTTTCTCACTTTGATTACTAACCCATCGATCTCTGTAATTTGTTTACATAGATTTTTTTTTTTTTTTAAATTTAAGTTTTAAGAATTATAACCGATCATTTCGGTCAAATATTTATAAAAGCCATTGTTGTAATAATGTATTTCAATAGTTTTTTGTAGTTTAAAATTCAAAATTTCAAAACATCTGAAAGTATCTACAGCAATAAAATAATAGTAGTTCTTGAGAAATTACTTTTATTCTAGATAACTTCACTAGAACCTATTCAGTAAGCTATTCTTCTCTTCAGTGCTTAAATTAGAACAAATGATTAAATTTAAATTTTAAGAATTATAACCGATCATTCCGATCAAATATTGTCATACAGTAATGATTTATTTCTCATAATAAAAGAAATTAAATATTAACCACCTTGTTAAATGATCATAAAACAATCCCGTTCGTCCCGAATGCATCATCGTCATCATATCATGACCACCAATTACAGAATTATTTGCATTATATGATGATGACGATGAATTGTCAACATTTTCAACATGACTTCGTATCATTTCTCGTGTACCATCAGTTGGATACTCTTCAGTACCTTCGGCCAAAATCTAAATCACATTATATCATTCATTTCTTTTCTATAGTACTATTACATTTATTACTTAGCAAATTTAGATAAAATATCTAAGTTAACTGTATTCCTATTAATATTTAAAATTTGAGAAAAAGAAAATGAAACCTGTTTTGCACCACTGAAACCAGCTTGTATTGGTCCAGTAGTGATGGTATTAGCATTGGTGTTTATAGTTCCAGATGTAGTAATATGATTGACTCGACGATTATTGCTAATGTCTGCAATGACATTTGTAGTCGTTGTATTACTATTACTAGTTGATATCACAGCAGATGTTGTGCTATCACGTGCTGTTAAGGTTGGATATCCTGTAAAACTGATAGGTGATCGTGGTGGTGACACTTTGACAGGTAACTTCTGAGCATTTCGTATAAGACGAGGAGAACCAGACTGCATGACATTTCGTTGTCGTTGTTGAAGAATTGGTGAGTGTTGTTGCATAGAGGTTAGCTGATGAGACATACCAGAATTTGTTAGTGAAATTTGTGATTGATCCATGGGTCGATTAGAATTATTAGTGATAATCAAACTAGATGAATCCTTTGTTGTTGTTGTTGCTGGGAAAGTGTCAACGCCATGACTGTTATGACGACGAGGTAATGTAACCCATGGCATTAAGGTTGTAGCAGGTGTCATATCAACATAACAATTACGATGAAAAGGTGAGTGCTGTGCTGTGGTAGGATTAACGGATGAAGTTGAGAGTTGCACACGTGAAGAATACTGTGACAAAGGCTCACAAGGATGAACGTTTTGATAGAAATTGCTTCGTGATGCTAACATTCCAGCAGCAGTAGCAGTAGCAGCAGTAGAAGAAGAAGAAGCGGTAGCTGGTGATGGTGGTGGTGGATAATTCACCAGGTGTGATTGAACTGAACGAAGTGGTCCTGGATATTGAGGATCATAGGTACTTAGTTGAGGATCAAAACCGGATCTAAAATTTTACATATTCTTTACAACTATAACAGAACACTTAAAATGAAAACATTTAACACAAATTTTATATAAACAAAAAAAAAAAAAAAAATTCGAAGCTTAAAATACTTTACAAAATTAATATGAAAAATGATTTACTTCACAAGAGGATCGCTATTTTCCAATTGTAATTGTGATTTTGTGAAATATTCATTAGCTGAGTAATCCTAAAAAAAAATATGTTAAAATTTCTAATATCTGACAATAGAGAAAGGGAGAGAGAGAGAGAGAGAGAGACATTAAGTATTGCTGGTGAATATAAAGTTATTTTATTTCATGCATATTTCACTATTAAAAAATTTTAAATATGATAAAAAATAGTAAAATTATAATAAAATACTTTCAATATTTTCTTGATTCATATAAATTCATCTATATAAAATTCATAAACATCTATATAATTCAAAATTTACCCCCTTTAATGATTCTATATCGGAATCACTCTGATTTTGAAAATTATGCATGGGTAATAAGATCACATCATTTAAATTTGTAAGTGGTCGAAATTCTGGCATCCATACTCGACGATCTTGCAAATGAGATATTAGTTGTAATAGAGCTTCAAACCAACCATCTTCTTTTGTTGCATCTAGTGTTGCTGAAAATTATAAATTCAAAAAATTCTATCATATCAAATTCAAATGTATTACTAAAAGTTATAATTTAAAAAGTTTTGAATAAACTTATTGATCAAAATAAAATTAGTTAACCCGAACTACAAATAATTCAAATATTAAGTTCGGATAATTTATCATAAATTATAAGTGTAAATTTAATAAGTAATCCATGTTGCAATTAGTTGAAAATAAAAAAAAAAAGAAATTTTCTTTTAAATTTAAAACCTACCTGTTAAAAGATATGAGTAATGTTTCTTAATTTTATGCGCTTGTTCAGAGAGTTTTTTGGAAGAAATAGCTGGAGCACCAGCTTTACTTCGAAGTTCACGTATTCTGCTTCGACTTTCAACATCAATAAAAATAACAATAGGCGCATATTGCGCAAGTTGTAAACGTTCCACTGATCCTGGACTAATATCTAGTACACAATGCTGAAATAACAATGATGAAAATAATAAAATAAAAATTTAAAATAATAAATCAAATTTTATTCAACAAATCTCTTCAATATGCTTCAAATATTTTACTTTAATGCTTTAAATTATTACTTCTTAACTTAACTTATACCTTATTTGTAGCAATAACAGCATCAATTGCACTTAATCGTACGATACTTTCATCGATAACACCAGCAAAACGAACAGCAAAATTAGCTAACAATCGTTGTCGAGCAATATCAGCTAATGGACCAAAAAGTACTAAAGGCCTAAAATAATCATTTCAAATAATTTCAATACGAAAAATTTTTGAACACTCTAAATAAATAGAAAATAGTGGTTAATGTTAAAGTTAAACATGTTATGTAAATAAATTTACCAAAAATTACTTATGAAATAAACATATAAATATCAATAAATTTTATATTTGATAAGAATTGTTTTTTAAATGAAATTTATTTTATTGTTAATTCTCAAATCCTAAACTAACCTCTGAAATTGTGGATGCCTCAATGTGACACGTTCATAAGCAGGAAAAGTCATATCACAAGCATTCTCAAAAGTTACATCATCGATTACATTCTTTGTTAACGATTTTGTTCGTCGTTCTTTCAATTTTCGACGGAAAAAAGTAGAACGACCAAATGTTGACGTATCATTACGTGTTGCTTTTGCTAATTTTTCAGCACTAAACAAACAAACAATTTGTATTTTTTGAAATTCTTAAAATTTAAAATGCATAAGATACACATGCAAATTAAATCAATCAAATTACATTTGTTTATTAATTTATGAATTAATTTTAATCAATCAGTTCTTTTTTTCTTTTTTTTTTTTCTTTGAGCATATCAAATTAAATACTTTTTTAAAAGCATTTTAAAATTAAAAAAAAAAAAAAGTTTTATTAAATATTTTTACGTTTCTGAATTTGGTATAACGCCTTTATTATTATCATTTTGAATATAATTTCCATTTTCAGCAGCAGAATAGACACGTGTAGCTTGCCAAAAACCAACTGTTCCACCAAAAAGAGTATCAGTGATATGAAAAATATCACCGCTATGAAATGATAATTCCAAATGATTGGATGTTTTTTGATGAGCAAAATGAGTTCTGAAAAAAAAAAAAAAAAAAAAAAAACAAAAAAGAAATTTCTCGACATTGATTTTAATATTGTGCATAAATAGTAATGAGAATATCATATTGTATTTGATATAAAGATAAAAAGAAAAAAAAAAATTTTTTTTTATTGATAAAATTTAATATATTAAAATTTAAGAATATGAAAATAATTGATGATGAAGCAAAAGAAAATAAAAAGATAAACCTAATATAAAAATTATCTCCTAATGGTCCATTTCTGATTCTTTCATAATCTACGGCCGAATATTCCACTTTAATTGTCACATCATCATGTAGTGCTAATAAATGACGAACAGCCTGAAATATTTGAAAAAGAAAGATTATTGTGTGAAAAAAAAAAAAAAAAAAAAGTAAAACAAAATGAAATGATTAATACTGATACTTACATAAATTAAAATTGATATTTTTCACTAAGTACTTAGTATTTTTACCTTGAAATATTTGAAATGAATAAATGAAATTTACTTTATAAATAATACTTACTTAAATTGATATTTTTCACTAAGTAATTAGTGCTTTTACCTTGAAATATTTGAAATGAATAAATTACATCTACTGTCTATCATAAAAATATATTACCTCTTCTCGAGTAACACCAATCATTGATTTCTCATTAACAGATAAAATACGATCACCCGATCTGATAGAATGTATTGCAGCAGGTGAATCTTCTTGAACAGCTGATACAAAGATACCAACTTGATTTCCACCAATTACACGAACACCCAAACTTCCTGAAATTAAAATTTATGTCAAATTGATAACTTTTAAATTCAAATAATTCAAAAAGTTGGTTAGTTTTGAGAAGAGAGAAAAAAAACTCAGATGATCATGAAATTATCATGAAATGAAAGAAACACTCGAAGAAATTTATACGACTGAAAACTTTTGAAGAAATTTATACGACTAAAAACTCTTGAGAAAATTTATAGGACTAAAACATTTCATGATAAACAAACCTCCAATTTTTCGAAATCGAATTGTTCTAATGCTCACATCACTTTGACTACTTTGACTGTTTGTAATACTTCCATTTCTTCGATGAAAATCTCCATAATCAATTGACTGTCGTTCACTTTGAGACCACCTGAAGGAAAAATCAAAATGAAATCATTTTAATAAATTAGTTAGTATTATGCAAAAGGAAAAAAAAAAGTCGCTGAAGATACATGTTTTCAAATTTATATTCATTTTATTTGTAACTAAGAATTAATTTAAATTTTAAAATAAATTCTGAAATTGCAGTAAATGTGAAAAAAAAAAAAAAAAAAAAATTGCTACTGATATCATAGAATGAAAAGACACAATGTAATGCCAACGTTTGGATATTTCTCAGATAAATGAAAGTTTAAAACTTTTGAAAAAATTTTAGAAATTTCAATTTTATCCTCCTAACCTAGCATTTGACATTGTTGACGTGTTGACATATTCAAGTGATGATCGTGGTGCTAATGACTGATGTAAATTATGCATCGGTGATGGACTATGTCGTGGTGTTCCTGATACCGAACCTAATCGTTCATAAACTGTATTCTGACTTGGCCATCTGTAAATAAATTATCCAATGAAATTTATTTAAATGAAATATACATATATATTTTTTTTATGTCAAAATTTTCATGTCAAAAAGCATATTGTTTAAATATAACAAGCAGTTTAGTAATTGTCCAGATGGTTTCAGTAATAAATGGAATACACAAATATGTAATTTAAAAAAAAAAAAATTGTCTAAAAAGATAATTGTTGGGTAAGAAATAGGAATGTAGAAGAAATATCAATAAATAAAAAAAAAAAAAAGGAAATTCATGTTATAAATTTGAAAATTTTTCACCATTTGTATTATTAGTATGAACATGCATCAATTTCTAATTTTAACTATTTATTCTAACTCTAACAAATAATTAAAATATTTAAATTTCATCGAAATTTATTTCTCGCATAAAACATTTATATAATTTAAATTTGCTCAATTACTTAAGAAAAAAGAAAAAGCTTCAGTAATTTTCTACCATCTAGGATTAGAATTTTGGTAGTAAGGAAAACCAATTCTTAAAACATAAAATCTTATAATTCAATTAATTAAATTTTTTTTGGAAAAAAAAAAAAAATTAAAGATTAATTAAATATTTGATATTTACCTGCTACTATCTCGTCGTACATCTCTTTGAACAACAAGAGAAAGTTTTTCGCGACTTTTTGAAAGCCATTTGGTTGCTTCCTCAATTGTGACACCTTCTACGGATTGACCATTTATCCTGAGAACCGTATCACCTTCACGTAAACCAGGATCCTTTTCAGCTAATTTACGATTTGTAATTTCTTTGATATAAAATTTACAACCAAGTATGATACCAAAATCTAAAAAAAAATAAAGTTATATCTCTAAAAAAAAAAAACTTTGAAAACAAACAATAAAATAAATAGTTTAACACTCCTTTTTTCCATATTAAAATTTTCAAAAATTATATCTTAAAAATGTTAAAATGCAATAAAATAATTAGAAAAATAAAAAAACATTCAATATTTAAAACTAATGTCTTTTTTATGCAAAAAAAAAAAAAAAAAAAAAAAGAAAATCAACAAAATAAAGGAATAAATTTACGAAAAAAATAAGAAAAATAAAAAAACGAACAAAAAGAAATAAAAAGAAAAAAAAGATAAATGAGCTAAAAATCAGTCAAACAATGCAATAAAAATTTTTGCATTATAAATCAAAAACAAAAAAAAAATTCATATAATTTAAATATTTGAATAGAAATTAAAACAATCAAATGATCTATTTCAGTCACATTTTTCTTTTTCTTTTTTTTTTTTTACTAATTCTAAAAAGAAAAAAGCAAGCATTTTTAATTTCATGCAAAAAAGCAATTATTATTTTTTTTTTTTTTTCAAAAATACAATTTTGTGTATTTTCTCATTCAATCACTTCCACAATCAGTCATTTATTTTTATTTTTTTTTTCACAAAATATTTGTTAAAATATTTTATGAAAATAGAACATAAAATTTTATAGAATAATTTGCTTTTTGTATTACTAACAAATTTATTTGTAAAATGCGTAGTAAATTTTCTTTTTAAAAAAAGAAAAAAAAAAAAACCTTTTGTTTAATTTAAAATAACCCTCTCTCTCCCTCTTCTCTCTCTCTCTCTCTCTTAACAAACAATTGGTCCAAACAAAATTGATGTGAAAGCTTTTAAATCAACATTTTAAAAAATATTGCCGTAATAGTTACTTAGAAACTAATTCATCAAATTATCCGATACAGCAATACTCAATTTTGTTGTTGTTTAACTAACTAACTTGTTGAAATTTAAATTTGCTGTTGAAATTGTTGAAATTTAAGATGCTTATAGTTAAATTTGTAAATTTCGGTTTTCTTTTTTGTCTTTTTATCTTACTGAAAAAAAAAAAAAAAAGTTTATTATGCTTACAACAATCAATTAATTTACTCGATAGAAAAAAAAAAAGAAAACGAATAGGAGGAAAAAGGAAGAATGAAATTGTAAACAAATGAAATTTCAAAAATAAACTTTCAGTTTTATTAAAATCTTAAAAAAAAAAGGAAAAGGAAAAGAATGAAACATTCAAAGAGAAACATTTAAATGTTTAAATTTTAATTATGAAAATTAGCAAATTGAAATCAATTGATGTATGCATAATGTCAAATGCATTTTGTTTTTGTTTTTTATTTTTTATTTTGTTGTTTATTTCTTTCTTTTATAGACAGAAATATGAATAGCTTAAATCATACAGCAATTTCATTTATTATTCTAACTGAAATTTTATTATGATTTATTACGATTATAACTATGACAGAATGTACAACTTAATTTTTCCTATGCATCTTTAAAAAGCAAATTTAATCATTTTAAAATTTAAAGATGCATAAGGAAAAAAAAATCAAAATTTGCATTTAATTATAATTTTCCAACCGTTTTTTTTTTTTTTTTTTTTTTGCTAAAAATTTTACTAATAAAATCTATTAATATTTAATAATTAGAAAATCTTTTTTATATCAAAAATTATTTGCTGCAAATTCAATGATTTCATATCATCTAAAATACTTACCTATGCAATCATCATTAGATTTTATCAAATTATCACTAACTTATCAATGACAAATCTATGATAACATTCTGAGTCTAAAAAAAATAAAAAATAAAATAAAACTAAGTGAAGAAATAGCTAAATTAGCAAATATAGCTTAGAAAAAAAAAAATTTTTTTTTTTCTATTAAAATTTAATCCAATCTATTATTACCTTCCTTTTTTCGAGATTTTGATAAGGTGAATTTTAGTGTACGTTGCTCATATTCGATATGTGGTACTGGTACTCGTCGTTTTACAATCTGTAAAATTTTTTAATCAAAATAAATAAATAAATGAAAATTCCAATTATCATTTCAAATTATAGGAAATGATAGGATGAAAAAAAAAGAATCGAAAGAGAAAAAAATAGTTAAATAGTTTCATTTGCTTCGAGAAAATTCCGATATTTCCCGGTAGAGAAACTCTCTCTCTCTCTCTCTCTCTCTCCCTCTCTGGGAATTTCTTAATAAGTTTCTTATTTAATTTACAATATTTAATTATTAATTAATAAATACTGGGATATTTAATATTTAATTAATAAATACTGAACCATATTTAATTGTTGCGATTCTTTCATAATTTTTATCGCTTCCGCGTAATCAGCTGTTTCAAGTGCAACACCGTTTGCTGATAATATGCAATCGTTTACCCTGCAATTTGATAAATTCAATAAAATAAAGTAAAAATCGTTATCATTAATTGTAATCAATGTTCACATTATTAATTTATCAATTATCACTTGAATATTTGATTAATAGGAAACTATTGCATCTAAATATATATAGCACTATCTATTTCTCTTATCAATTGCATAATCATATCAGTAATTTGAAAATTTTTGCTACTGGTGTTTTTTTTTTTTTTAGTTTTATTTCAAATTATAAAAGTCAAAAATTGCTTAGTTTTATTTTGTAAAAAAAATTTTTATTCAATTGAAAAAAATTCATTTTTTTTTTTTTTTTCATTAATAAGAATATTTGATAATTTGCTCATATTTTCCTCAATCATTTTCACTTTCTAAATTTAAAAGATTACTAAAATTTGATGTTATCAATCAAAATGTTATCAACAAATTGTGAAAATAAAAAAAAAAAAAAAAAAAAAAATTGACAAAAGATTTTTTTGTATTCTATTAATTCTAGCAGGCAGATGATATGTTTGAATGGTGACTGAAATATTGTCAAACAAATATTTGCATAAGAAAAAAAAAGAAAAAAAAAACAGTTGGTGGAAAATAAATTTTGCATGATTCAAATTATTATTACGATCATGATATAAAGAGAGAGAGAGAGAGGGAGAGAGGGAGAAGTTGCTTAACAAAATATTTTTTTTCTTTTTTCTTAAAATTATTTTTTCTTTTTCTTTTTTTTTTCTATCTTAATTCCTTAACAAAATATCACATTCTTATTGATATTTGGCTTAAATTATCACTCTTTGAGTGATAATATATGATAATCAGATATAATAAAAAATTCTCAAAAAATTTTAGAAAAACAAAATAAAAATGAAAAAGGAAAAATGCTGTTTCGCTAAAAATTATTAAAGAATGGAAAAGAGATAAAAGTTTGATAAACTGATAAAAAAAAAAAAAAAGATAAAGACGAATTAATAAATGTTAAATTATGAAAATAAATTAGAAAATCAAATATGAATTGATTCCTTCATTCTTACTTATTGAATTAATTATCATTTTTGAGAATGCTTTTAATCTTATAGGTAAAAAACAGATTATTTTTCCTCGTACTATTGCTGAAACAAATCATTGAATTTTTAATAAGTTTATGAAAAAGATAAATTTAAACTAGTAGAATTGAAATTTACTATTTATGTTCAATTATTTTACAAAGTATTCACGACAGAAAAAAAAAAAAAAAAACTATTGCTAATGATAAATAATAAATTAAAATCGGAACTGTCTTCCATTTTCCATAAAAAAAAAGAAAAGAAAAGAAAAGTTAGAAAAAGAGAGAAAAAAGATATGAAAAGCACTTAAGTAAATAAAAAGAAAAATTAAAGTATCGAATGGAAAGAAATTTAAAATTCCATTTACTTTATCTGACTTATCACATTTCAATTTCAATGTATAATTATCGAAAGAGAAAATACACATTAACCATTAACTATTAACTCAATAATTTCTATTTTCCGGCAGAATACAAAATGTAAATAAGTGAAATGCGTGAATGCAATCGTAATTTTTAAATTCTTAAATTAATTTTAATTAAATTAAGAAAAAATTAATTTTATCAAAAAAAAAAAAAAACAATAATGGAAACATACTGAACAAGTCCCCAAGCAGGACCAGTTGGAATCACGTCACTTACGATTACAGTCGGATCACCCGATGTAAAATTCGGATTCTCCCGACCGCTGGATACTGCTATCCCGAAACCAACTTTTGGAATCTGAAATTTATGACACAATATTAATGTTAAAAATTTAAATGATAGCACATTAACAGTTTCAAACAATAATCATTTAATTGATAACGTGTTGAGGATTGATAACGTGTTGACGATTGATAACGTGTTGAGGATTGATAACGTATTGAGGATTGATAACGTATTGAGGATTGATAACGTATTGAGGATTGATAACGTATTGAGGATTCAATAAATGATAAATGATATGAAAGTGAGAGGATTGAATGCAATAATTCGATAATTAATTAAATTTAATTGGAATTCGTTTATTTTTTATGAATGATTGAGTTCTTTGCAAATATCATTTTTGATTATTTATTGTTAGAAATGAGTTATTTTTATTCACCTTTTAAGAGAAATGATAAAATTTTGTTAAAATAATTAAAGAGAGAAAGAGGGAGAGAGTTCCTTAATATGAATCAACAATAGAAATGAAGAGAAAAAGAAAGAGAGAGAGAGAGAAAGAAAGTAAAAAGAGTTAAAAACATATAACATACATATATCAATCCATTTTGAATATCCATTCTAAGTTAATTTCCGTCAAAATTAAATGCTTATCTTTCACTCTCTCTCTCTCTCTCTCTCTCTCTCTCTCTCACTCACACACACACACACATCAATAAAGAGAGAAGAAATATTAAGTGAGGGAAAAAAAATGCCCTTCAAACTTTTTCAAAATTACTCAAAAAATATTTTTGATATTTTGTAAATTGTATTAAAGAAAAAAACTATATTTAATTAAAGTAGTAAATTACACCCAATTATTTTGTAGTAATGCCTTAAACTCATTAACTCAATTAATCATAAATAAAATAAAAACTTTAATATTTTACTTAAATGCAATATATATTTATGTAAATGATGTAAAACATTACATTTTGACAGCTTCCGGAAAATGCGCTCCGCTTATTCTCAAAAATATGAATGTCCGGTACTAATGACGTCCTGTGTCTTCTCAGTGCTTCTTTTTTTCATGTGATTTGTATGAAATGTTTGTGCGCATCTATACATGTACACAAATGCGCATTTGCATTTCATGATTGTAACAAAGAAGTGAAGCAAAAAAAAGAGAAAAAAAAGCTATGGGAGAGGAATGTCACGAGAGTGGCGCTATTGTCGCTTATATCACTGTATCTTCTAATTTTTTTATGGGAAAAAAAATGGAACTAGAACGAAATAGTTTGAGAAAAATCATATAAATAACTGAATAATACAAGGAAAGAAGCATTTCCATAGAGAGAGAGAGAGAGAGAGAGAGAGAGAATTGACAAAAGCCGCTCGTTTATAGCCCCGTTTATCTCATCGTATTAAATCAACAAATGGAGGAAAATATATTAAATGGAATCTATCATGAGAAAGGATGCACTTAAATTAAATGGAATTTAAATCAAATTTAAATTTCGATTAATTTTATTCTAATAAAATAATGATAAATTTGATATTGCTAGTGAAATTTCTTGATAGTTACCATTTGGGACTAAATTTATAACTTTTGTTGTTATTATGGAAAACTCAAAAACGAAAAGTGAGAAAAGTAAGATACAGAATTACCACGATGACATCCAATTTGATAGTTAAGAGATAGAATTTGAAAAGAAAAGATGAAAACAGATGAATGTGAATCGATTCAAAACGATCACTTAATAGAATTAAGGCTAAAAAAGAAAAAGAAAAAAGAAAAAAAAGATCGGCAAAATAAAGCAATGTCCCAATTTGAAAAGAATCACTGTGATAAGAATTAATACGAAAAATATTTTGCGACATAAAATTACCAAAAAAAAAATTGGAATATGTTTTCAATCAATTTGAGGAAATATTGCAACGTGATTATGATTGAAAATTTGTATTAATTTGACGGTTAGTACGTGAAGCACGTGAATGTCATTTTATATAATATTGAATAATATGATAAGATAAAGTAAAGTGGTTGATCAAATAAGAGTATGCGTAATTCATTTAAATGACTGAAATATGTGACATATAATTCTGTGATTATTTATGTTATTCTAAATTGATTAAGAATATTTGTAAATTTTTATCCAATCTAATGCAAATTGTATGACTTAAAATTAGTTAAACATTTAAAATGAAATTTAATTTAAAATTTAACTTGACCTATTTACTTCTTTTATGATCCTCTTTACAGCATTATTACATACTCTGATAGATATTATCTTCCCGTTCTCATCAATGTTCACTTAAATTCTCTTCTGCTACCTTTTATCATATTTAACATCTTCTTCTCTCCTAAATATTTCAACAAATGAATTTAAATTTTTGATTACATTATGGATGGAATTAAACGTAATATTGTCATGACAATAGGTCAAGTGTTCCACTGTTGCCAATAGGTCAAGTGTGTTCCATAAAGGAACGCATTTCACGTGATATAGACGTAATAAACGGATTAGATACCATCTTGATTATTCGGAATAAAATATATAAATGAATGGATAAATATAACAATGAATTATTATTTATATTCAAGCAAATTTTAAATAAATCAACAAAGGAAAATGTAATTAATTAGGTAATCAAAATGTAATTAATTAGTCTTGTAAATGAGTAAAAATCTGTGTAATCTTTTTGTTTCTTTTGATCTCATTTAATTATTTTTCAATCAAATCTCAAATGATTATAACACGTGAAAATATAGCGCTATGTCACGGGAAAAAAAAGCTCATAGACAAACAAGAATGATAAGTAAGTGATAGATATGTATAAAGTGATAAAGTAAGTTACGAAATGATAAAGTAAGTAAATGATGGATAGGTGTGAAGTGATAAAGTAAAGTAAATGATGGATAGGTGTGAAGTGATAAAATAAGTAAATGATGGATATGTATGAAGTGATAAAGTAAGTAAATGATAGACATATATATATGAAATGATAAAGTAAGTAAATGATAGACATATATGTGTGAATTGATAAAATAAGTAAATGATGGATATGTATGAAGTGATAAAGTAAGTAAATGATAGACATATATATATGAAATGATAAAGTAAGTAAATGATAGACATATATATGAAGTGATAAAGTAAAGTAAATGATGAATGATGATAAGAGAAAAATGCTTGTTTAATTTAATAGAATTAATTGTTTTCAATTTTTACTTATTTCTTTTAGACAACGATAAAAATATGAATGTAATAAAGTCAAATAGATAAATAATATTACATTATTCATCATTAATTAATTATTCAGAAGCTTATCAAAAGCAAAAAAAAAAAAGATTTTTTTTTTTTTTATTTTTGCAGATCATTGCAGAAAAAGCGGTAATTGTATATTATATTGTACAATTACCGCTTTTTTTCTAGCAGATCTTTCCTACTGATAGTACCATAATAAGAATATATTTATGATCATCTATTAAAAGTAAAATAGAATAAATCGAAAACATACAGTAAATAAAATTTAAGTAAAATTTATTGTAAAAAGCAAAAAAAAAAAAAAAGCTAACATGTCTTTATCCATTGCTAATCTATTCATTATTACTTATTAATAATAAATAGTAAATTAGTAAAAGTTGCATTAGTAAGTCTTTTCTACCGGATATACAATAATTTTAGGATATGTATTTTAATAAATTTTAAATATAATTTGGAAGTATAAGAAGGAATTTTGTTGAATTTGATTAAAATATTAGTGAGTGAAATGCAGAAGTGACATGTGTAAGCCTAAAATGACAAGCAATTCAGGTTTATATTTGACATACTTTAACTAATTTCCGGAATGCTCTTTGTTTCGCATAAATAGAAAGTAAAAAAAAAAAAAAAAAAAAAAGAAAGAGTTTTCTACTTCATTAAAATCAAGTAAATCACAAGAAAAAATAAGTTAATATTCTCAGAGACTAATTATTTACAAAAAAAAGAAAATTATCATTATGCTTATTATCAAAAATTTTTAATTCAAATAATTTACATAAAGTAATCAATTACTTAACTTATCATTAAATATTTAAAATGATATGTAAATTTGAAAATAAATTTATGATTATTACTATTATTAGGGTTTGCATTGATGGAAATTAAAATTTTCACTTCGTTATCTTTACTTTTGATATAATTAGTAAAAGATAAGAGAATTTCTTAATTAATTAGTTATAAAATTTTATGATTATAATATACTGATAAACAGATATTAAATTAATTAAACTAAATCCGGTAAACAAAAAATTAAATTAATTAATTAAATTAATTCCAATAAACAAAAAAGTTTTTGCGAATAAATCAATAATTGCTAAAAACGAATTTGCATATGTTTACAAAAAAAAAATTTGCGCTACAGTCTGATGTAAAATGAACGCCACCATAAAAGTTATCGGCAATTATTGTGTCTCTGAACAATATAAACCTGTCTGTCTGTCTGTCTGTGTATGTGTGTGTATGTGTATGTATGTGTATGCATGTATGTGTATGTATGTATGTGTATGTATGTATTTGGAACATATTTACCTAAACATTTAAGTAATGAGTATATTTAAAGAAATGAATGAAATTTATAAGAAATTAGATAAAATAAACTGTAACAGAATAAGTTAGTACCATAAGTATGGTATTAAAATTTTTTTTTTTTTTTTTGAATTTTAGGATTTTAAATTATTTTCAATAAAATTTTCTAATGTTTTATTCTTTGTTTTTGTTTTTTTTAACCAACATAATTTCTTAATTTGAACAGTAATTTTTCAAAAAAGAAAGAAATATTTGAGAAATTAATTAAAATTAATTAAAGATAGAAAGAAATGAAAGAAAGAGGAGAGTAGATATTATCAGGATGATAAGAATTCAAAGAAATAAGCTCTTCTGTTCTTTAAAAAAAAAAAATTGAAGTTTAATTTAGCAAGCTTACAAATCAGTTCATTCCCATCAGCAATTGTTCATACTCAACTTTAAAATGGGACAGAGAAAATTGACTGCAATTTAAAATCGTTCCCTCTACCTCACATTCTCTCTACCATCGATTTCACATTTCATTTCAAAAATAATTTCATCAGCATTAATTAGAGGCAAAATATATTTTAAATTATATGGAGAGTAAAAAAAAAAAAATTGGAGAGAAAAAGCTTAAAAATACTCAAATTTATCCTAAAAGGTTAAAAAAATAAATAAAAAAAAAATGCTCCTTAATAAATAGTTTTATTAAATAATATATCTAATTTACGCTTGAAAACATTTTACTTTTATAATTTGTGAAAAATTCAATTCAAAAATAATCTAATAAATATATCAAAAATATTTAAAGAAACAAAAAAAAAAAAAGAAAAACTGCAATGAATTTGAATGATTTTAATAAAATCATTAAAAAAAGAGAGAGAAAAAACCATAAACAATTTATGCTTGTTTACTTACAATAATCAATGAACATAATATAATACAATAAACAATAAACAAAAATTCAAATAAAAATAAAAAAAAAAAAAAAATTAATTGATTAATGGAAAATTACATGAAGAAGTAGTCAACTTTTTTTTTTTGTAAAATTTATTTAATTCAAATTTATTAATTTAATATTTTTACATAACAAATTTATTACTTGAAGTAATTTAAAGGAATTAAAATTCTATACTAACAAATTTATTAATTGAAATGATTTAAAAGAATTAAAAAATGAAAGTGTAAGCAATTTCATTTTCCATTTTTATCATTCTTTTAAGCTTTATTTAAATATATTCAAATGAAATGCGATTGAAATGATAAATGAGAATTTATGAGAGAATGCAATTGAAATTGAGGGAAAATGAACGAACGAATCAATGAGAGAGAGAGAGAGAGAGACTACTAATTCCTCTTTTAATGTCTAAAATTGATATTCAAAAAATGAAAAACAATGATAGTAATACTACTACTACTACTACTACCGCTCTGCTAAAGCTATCATCCAAATATATTACTCATCTTATAGTAGAATATTAATCTTTAGACTAGACAATATCGATTTCAACTTAGTAAATTAGTAACTTATGAGTAACTTATGATGGCTATCCCTAAAAGAAATGGGCTTAATTTTAAAAATGATAAAAGTTTAGAGAGAAGAAGTGAGTTTTTCCTAAAATCAATAAATTTTATTTATTGTATTATGAATTCATGAAGTACACTTACAAATAAATCTCTTTTGATATGTCTAAAAGACAATTTTGATTTGCTTTTTAAATTTTGCTTCCTCTATTATTAGAATATTTATGAATTGCTGAAAAGTTAATATTAGCATTAAAAAAAAAAAAAAAAAAAAAACTCTTTCTTCTTTTTTTTTGCAAAAGATATTACATATTTTTTAAATTTATCAATTATAATTTACTAAAAAAAAAAAAAAAAAAAACATAAATTTTATAATACTGAATTAATAGAAATTAATATGCTTAAAATACATTTTTTTTTCTAAGAATTTTAAATTAATTAGTCAATTTTTTGATATGATAAAATATGAAAATAAATGTTTAATTCAAGTTTATCTGCTAGGAAATGAAATAAGCGAAGGTATGCTAATATCATTGTCTTTTAATATTTAAGTAAATAAATGATTTGTTGGATATGAAAATGAAATAATAGAGAAAAACATTAAAATGACAAAGAAAAATTTGAACTTATAATAGATAATGACAAATCTTAATTAAACAAAAAAAAAACTAAATATTGGATTTGGAAATTAATTAATTTAAGCTTAACTGAAAAAAACAAAAAAAAAAAAAACTTGACTTATTATATTTAAGCGAAAAGAAGAAAATGTCAACTTATTACATTAGAAAAAAAAATACATTAAATTTTGATAATAAGATTAAAAAAAAAAAATTTTTTTTAATGATAGTTGATAATTTTTTTTAATATAAATGGTTAATTTGAGTTAAATTAATGAAAATAAATTAAAGAGAAATGAATGAATGAATGAATGAAGAGATGAATTGATTGGAAATAAATATTTATAAAAGTAGAAAGTAGTAAATAAATTTGATAGTTAGTAGTAAATAGTTTGTGTATGAAATTGAACGAAACGAACTCACTCGATGAAGTGTGACGGAAAGAAGTTGCCAACTGACGCTCGAACTTGAACCATTAGCTGTTGCATCCTGAAATAAGTGGAAATGAATTTTGAACAATTTCATATCAATTCTTATTTTAAGGAAATACTCCCATTGCTAATGCTAATGCTAATGCTAGCACTAATGCTAATGCTAATGCTAATGTTGTAAAAATTAAATGAAAGAGTGAAAATGAATGAATGATTTTTGAAAAATTAAAATTAACATTAAATGCAATGAATTAATCAAACATTCCTTCTTCTCTTCGTTTTTTTTTTTTTTTTTTTTTTAACACTCTCTCCCTCTCTCTCTCTCTCTCTTTCTAAATAATAAATTATGAAAATTTAAATTTTGTTAATACCTAAACAAAAAAAAAAAGCATAAAAAATATTTGATTTTATATTTTAACTGTATAATTTAATTATCATCATAATAGTAACTGCATTAAATGAATAATTCTAATTACATAAATTTAAATAATAAATTAAATTAAATATATAAATGAGGAAGAAAAAAGGGAGAGAGAAAAAAAAAGACATTTGTTTGTTAAATAAGAAATTATTTTACTAATAATATATTTTTTTAACTGAAAAAAAAAAAAAAAGTTAATTTGAAAATTGATTTTATAAGAAATTACTTAATTCTACAATTTGTATTATAATAATATGTAAAATTAATAAATTATCATCATTTTTCTCATTGATTATAATCATTATACTATTATTATTTTTTTGATAATTTTAATGTTTCAATAAAAGAATTATTTATTTATTTTTTTTATCAAATTTAAGAATTTATTTCAATGTTTGCTTAACTGTGAAATATTTCATATCAAAAAGAATTTAGCAAAAAAAAAAAAGTAATTTTATTAAAGATAAAATCTAGTTTTCAAAATGTAAAAATCAAAAAATTTCTTTTCTTTTTCATAGAAATGTGACATTTTCTAAGGTATATTGCAGTTTTCACTCATTTCTTTTTTCTATTATCAATAAAATTGCTCCGAGAAAAGACATTAGTTAAATTTAAAAAAAAAAAACTTTTTTATACCTTAATTTTGTAAATTACCTTGCTATAAATGCATTAGTATTTAGAAAGAAATTTGAACTATTCAAATATTAAAAACTTTTTACAAATACACCAATATTTTATCAAACAAAAAAATAATAATAATTAATTATTTGTTTATAAGATAATAATATTATATATTCCCTGGTTTAAGTAAAATGCAGCATTTTTTTGAAATTTTTTTAGAAAATCTACGAGAAAAATTAATCAAAAAATTTCGAAGGGAAATGAAAAATTTTTGTCGAGATTCTCGAAATAAACAAAAGTTGATATATTTGATATTGCATTATTTCAATTCAATTTGATGAGATATTTTTCATCACTTAAAGATATTTTTTCTTCACAACAAAATCAACCAACAAGAAGTAATTAAGGCGAGAAATGAAATCAGGAAAACTGAAAATTTTTTGAAATCGGTTTTCTTTGAAAGCTAATCAACGGTTTGGCTAATTTATTACTATCATCCGTAATATATATGTATATATGAATAATTAAATATTATAAAATTAAATATTCCTTTTGATAAATGATTTTTAATAATTTTTAACATTTTTTTTTTTAAATATATTTGTAAATTTTTTTAATAATCAAAAATAAATAAGTAATCTATAAAAATAAAAAAGTAAATATCCATTTTTTAGTTTTATTTTTATTTTCTTTCTTATAACAAAACAAATTTCTCACAATATGTCAATTTCTAATATTATAATATATAAAGTAATATAAAGTAACTATAATATAAAGTAATTAAGCATAATATATACTAAATATTAATTAAGTATAATTTTTTTTTAAATGATAAAGTGATAAAAATGATACAATGATAAATTTTTTAAATGAAAAAAAATGATAAAGTATAGATATCAATAATTGAATAACATATAAATCATCCATTCAATCATGCATAAAATTTATATTAGAAAATGTAAACCATCTTCAATGAATTATATAATCTTACCGGATCTGATAATTGATCCGGTTTACAGGATGCTTTATCACGTTCGTTACGTCGTGGATGTTGTAATGAATTGGTGTGATTTTCTTTACTGATTAATTTTGGTGAGTTACAATTCATTATCATTGATGTGGACATGGATATTCCAGTATTATCATTATCATTTCCAAATATTGGCCAACCATTGATAAAATCGATCGGTCGACCTTCCCACATTTGTTGTATTGCTTCTTCGTCTCCTAAAAAATTTATTTGAATTTGAATTTTTTTTTTTTTCTTCAAAAATATGAAATAAGAAATCATTAATTAATTAACGTGCCTTTTTTTTTATATTAATAGAACAAATGATCTTTTTATTTGCAATGATTTAAATCTAATTTTAAATTAAAATTATTATAAACAGTAAAATTAAAATTTGAAATATTATAATAAAAATTTGATGAAGACAAAAAGGTAAAAGAAAAGTAGTAACTTTTAATATGTTCAAAAATTTTTTTTTTAATTTTCTTTTCTGATAATCTTTTGAAAAGTTTGTATCAGAGAAATTTCTTTTTTTTTTCTTTTCAATTCTAATTTCATTTCATTAAAATGAATAGTAAATAAAAATCATAAAAATTGTAAGATGAATGATATATCATAAGGAGAAAAGCATGCTGAAATTGTATCCATTCATTTAACTCTAATTTAAGTGACCTAAAATTAAAGTTATTGACAAATTTTATAAAAATACGAAAGGTATTATAATAATTGCAAAAATTATTGTTAAATAAAGTCTAAAAAAAAGAAAAAATATCAATGATTTCAAAAATTTATACATAAATTTATAGTATAACAAATTAAAAATCTATGAAAAAAAAAAAATAATTAATGATTAAATATTGATCGTTGTCCAATAATTTATTTTATTTTAAAATTTAAAATTAACTGCGATAACATTCCAATAACACTTTTACATTTATATCTAAAAAATGAATTCCATTTGATCAATTTTATTATCAAAATTATCATTCGTAGTATTAAATTTATCAATAGTTTGTGTATTTCAAGAAAATTCCAAAAAAAAAAAAAATGAGAATTTATATTTGGATAAGAATAATTTTTTTTTTTTTTGATAATTTCACTTAATCATCTAAAATTTGTTAAAAAATTTTAAAATTGAAATTCAAAATAACATTTTTGATCAGATTTTTTTAATAACAAATAGTGAAGAAAAAAAAAAAGTGAAAGCTTACCATAGCGAACAAAAAAAAAAAAAAAAAAAAAAAAATAGAAGTATAGTAGTAAGTTGAAATATTTTAAAATTTTGGCTTAAATTTTAAAAGTATTAATAAGCCATAGGATGATAATAGCCACAGGGAATAGATTAGTCTAATCAGACGTAGTACACGTAATACATACGTGATTTATGAATCAACATTATTCGATGAATTCTTCGTCGTACACGCAGATAATTTATAATGTTAAGAATTGAAATTTGAAATTTAAAATTTGAATAAAAGGGAAACAAATAGGATAAGAAAGCAAATATGGCAATAAAGAATGGAAATTTTGAAGGATGAAAGAATGAAAAGAAGAGTGAATATACAATTCCCAGTGGTATTTTTCTGGCTTTTTGAGGAAATACTTTGAAAAACAAAAATTTAAAAAATATATACCATCGATGAATGCAAATATATATAAATATAAATATCATTTATAGTTTCAATAATAAAATTTAGTTTACATAATCAGAATTGAATTGAAAAACTAAATTTTTACATAATATTTTTTAAGCCAAAAAATAATCAATGAAAAATTCTAACAATTAATTTTAACCAAAGTTAAAAATAAAAAAATATAAATGTATAAATTTTTTTTTTTTTTAACTTTTTATTTTTATCATAAATTTGTTAAATTAATAAAATTTCATTCTAAGCCAAAAAAAAAAAAAAAATTGCATAATCGTTTCTCTAATTATTCATTGCATTTGCATTTGCAATAGACATTTTTTGCAAGTAATATTAAAAATTTTTTCATGCAAACGTCATTCTTATTCGATTATAATTGCTGTAGGAATTAAAACTGAACCAAAATTTATAAAAGTGAATAATAATTTCAAAAAAGAATGTAAATTGAAGGACAAAATGACAATGTACAATGAAAGAAATGACATTGAAATTTTGTATATTTTAAATTGATCTTTGTTATTTAAATGATGTTTTTTCTTTTTGATCATTATTAGCAAAATGTTTAATGAACTTAAATTATAAAAATTAAATAATTTTACAATTCTTTCTAAAAAATTTTATAAAATTTTCACATATATATTGAAGAAAAAAAATAATAACAATAAATTTTCATAAATTCCATTTTTTTTTTTTTTTAAATTATTCCAATATTTTTCAAATTTAGATCTATTAATGAGAAACAAAACAGCAAAAAGTGAATTCAAAAAAAAAAAAAGAAAAAAAGTGGCAAAATTGAATCAAATAATTTTTTTCTTTCGTGAAACAAAATTTATAAAAAAATTCAAAATAAAATATGCTAGAAGAGGAAATATAGAGAAATAAAAAATGACAAAAAAAAAAATTCAAATTCAAATTTAGCTATAATCAATTTAAAATTTTTGCCAGTCATTTTAATAATTTTTTAGTCCACGCAAAAATTATATCTTCCACTCTTTATTTATTCATTCATTCATTCATAAAAAAAAAGAAAAAAAAAACCACCTGCAATTATATAAAAATGAAAAAGTGACATTCAATTGTGACAGAAATAAATTTTGATAATGATATGTTTAAAAATGACACGATAAGTGTTAATTTTATGAATTCATTGAAATTGTGACGACACTGTGTAAACATTAATTTTAATATTATTATCACAAACAATTAAATCAATAATAATTAACTTAATCAATCAATAATTTAAATTTATAAAAAAAAAAAAAAAAATTATTTCAAAAATATTAGCAATTATTTTCGAATAATATTATCATTCATTCATTTACGGGAATAATATTCATAAAAATAATTGAATTTAACTTCATATAAATGAATTAATCAAATTTAAAATATTCTAAATTACATTTAATATAAAAGAATAAATGAACAATGATAATTGGTAAAAAAAAAAAAAAAAATAAAATTATAATTTCTCGCATAAATAATCAATGAAAGAATAAATGTCCCTCCACTAACAAAAAAATTGTCACATCTTTTTCAAATTTCAAACATTTAAATTCTTACTATTAATGTTAAACTTTTTTTAAGTGTCCTAAAATGTATTTGAAAAGGAATCATTAAATACTTTTTAAATTTACTAATATCAAGAGAAAAAAAAAAAAGAAATAAATCAATAACAGAAAATTATGATAAAAATAAACAAAAGAAAATTTGTTTTGAGAGAAAAAATTATGCAAATATCAAATATTACAAAAAGAAAAAAAATTGCAAATTTAAATTTTGTAAACAAAGAGGAAATTATTTGAAAAGTAACTTCAAAAAATTGTTTAATTCAATTATACGTCATTAGTGTTGGAATGATTGAAAGTAATGAAATAATTGAAACGACATAATATTGTTATAAATTAAATTAAATTAAATTAAATTAAACAATTTCTTCATTCTTCTTTTATTTGTTTATTTCTTGTCAACAATATATTTGCTAAAAATGATGTTATCATCATTTGAAAAGTTATATAATTTGATGATAATTATGATAAGTGATGGTACAATGATAGTACAGAATGATTAGAATTTTGATAAAATTGGAATTTTGGAATTTGGAATTTTCGAAAATATTGAAGAAATATAATGCAAATATGAGAAATTCTAATTCAAATTAAACTGGAAAATTCATTCTAACAAATAAATTGAAAATATCAGAATGAAAAAAATGCAAATTTTACAACGATAATATGAAATTATTGTAATGAGCATTTTGTCAATAAAATATATATGAAAATTGTGAAGTAAAAAAAAACTTACAAAAGAAGTAAGTAAGTTTATTCTATAAGAAGTAAGTAAAAAAAAGTAAAAAAAAAAAAAAAAAACAATAGTAAATGTTCCAAAATGTAAAATTTACTATTTCAAAAATTTATCAAAACATTTTATAAAAATTATAAAAAAATGTTCAAATGTTAGCTATAAGCTTTGTATTTTAAACTTTTTGAAAAAGGATTAATTTAAATGATATTTTAATGAATGAATAAAAATATGATTTCATTGATTTAATTGATAAAAACATTTGAATCAATGATAAACAAGTGATGCTATCATTTGATCACTGTAGTTATATTGATGATTAAATTCCTAAGTGAAAATTTTTGCTTATCACTAATTTGTCAACGTTATCAAGAACAAATCTCATAGATTCCAGTAAGGTATTGTTTTTTTTTTTTTTTCTATGATAAGAAATTAAACAAAAAAGTGTAAACAATAATTTTAGAATTGCTAATTACATCTGAAAAAGAGAATTTATACTATAAGTAAGTAAGTAAGTAGCAAAAATGAGTTAAAGTAAGTATTACTTGTTTGATCGATGTGACAACTAAACATTAAGTATTTAAATATCTATGAAATAATATGATATATTGATAATGTCATCCATTACTTCTAACATCCATTTAAAATATCGAACTAAACTTTACAAAATGGCTTATATTTTTATTCTCTCTCATTTCAAATTAAATATTTTAAATGAATTTTTATAGTATTTGCTTTGATTTAATCCTCAAGAATGTAAAAATAAACATTAAATATTTAAATATCTATGAAATAATAGAAAAAAAACGATTTTGTAAAAAAGATTTACATCAGTTATAAATTTAAAAAAAAAAAAATTAACTTTTTTTCATTTCTTACTTTGTTTAGTGAAATTTAATGAATTAATTTTTAATGAAAGCAATTGTATCTGTCGTATGTTTTTTTTTTTTTTTTTTCTAATTTTTAATTTTTTAAATATAAAAATACGACATTTGAGCATTGTAAGAATTAATAATTGGAAAAATGACAAAAATATTTTGCCGGAATATTTTCTGTTAAATGTTGTAAATAATTATTTATCTGAGCATGTCTTCAACATCTTACAAATATATGATATTAAGAAAGAGGGAATCAATTTTAAATTTTAATTTTAAATTTTAGTACCGTTAAAAATCTTTAAAAACATTAAAAATTTTACTTAATAAAGTACTCTTGCTATAACGATCCAATTTTTTTTTTTTTTTTTTAAAT